TTTTTTGTTTTTTTTTTTCCTCTGAAGGAAAACAATATATTTGGCTGTATTTTCCATTTCTGTTAATCCTTTAGGGCAAGGGTCTCAAACACGCGGCCCGCAGGCAACCAACCGGCTACGAGCCCCAGTTCTCACGTCTCCAGCACTAGAAATGGCATGCGCCATAGTGATCTCATCTCATTGATTTATTTTTGTTCACAAAGTAGCTCTGCTCTTTAAACGTGTTCACATAGTTTATTATACAAATCTGTGTTTATTTTCCCTTTGTTTGGCTTCATTTTTTGCTTCCTAGATTTTTGTAATGTACAACGATTCCGCTATTTGGCTGCAAGCGCGAGCTCTTCGTAGAAAAATGCACTTCAGCTGTGTACACTCTCCATCAGTTGGAGCAACTGCTCAAGATAAAGCTACAAGCTCGGGTATCACCATTAAAAGAAGATAAGTGTTTGTTCAGGGTGTAGTAATAAAAATTGTCAGGAAAGCAAGATCTGTCAAATTAACTGATTGTTTTTTTAGAGACATGTCGAGCTTTGTTAATTCCCAACTGAATTGAGCAATTGGAAAGACAGTGTACTTGCTCTCTCGTTCTATTAAAAATGCCAGCACGTTGGCGGTGCGGTGTCATTTTAATTCTTGTTATCACATCAGGTCAGGGTTGAAAGTAGTGATATAAACAAATCATACCTGAAGATGTCACTGGCAAAACTCTGAGTTGTGACCACTGCTTTAAGGCACATGAGACAGGCTTTTTCACAATTTTTAAATGTTTTTAGGAACCGTCCAGACAATAACACCACTGACCAAGATGCCACAAGCACTCACATTTTTCAAAAGCAATTAAAAACATGCTTCTGGTTTACCCCTGTAGAATTACTAGAGAAGGTGTTGTATTTGATGCTTTAGAGTGGCGTGCTTATTAATATTATGCTGTCATTCTCAATGGTTCCTGATGCATCCTAGATGCTTTAGTAAAGGAATCCCACTTGAGGATGCTAAAAATGCTGCCAGGTAATGTTTCAAGGTGACTAAGGTGTTCTGGCCAGGATAAACTGTAGCAGTCTCAGCCATACTGTCTTGATCTCGACAATACAATTCCATCGATCATGATCGCCCACTAAAACCTCAGCACATGAAAAACACGGTAATAGGTAGGGAATAAGCCAAGAAAAAAGTGAAAGGCATTTACAATTTCCTGTAATGTGAAATTAGAGTGCAGTTCTTGAGGAGAAGGAAGGAAGGGTATGCCTTTCCTCCCCCTCCATACCCTCCCCTCCTCGCCTCCCATTTAACAAGAAATTTTCGCTAAATCTCCCGCTAAATTTAGCAAAAATTTTTCCACCAAATTTAGCAAGAAATTTAGCGAAAAATTTCCTGCTATATTTAGCGGGTTAAAGGTTCATGAAACAAATTTTTGTCTGGGATAAATGAATTTAGATTGGCATTTTACTAATAGCATATCGCTTAGTGGGCCAAAAGAAAGAAGGCAGAATGTCCAAAAGCCTGATTTTCGGTACAAAAATTCGAAAACACAGCGGACCATTTCGTACCTCCTTCCCTTTGAAAGCTCTCTGCCTTTTCACTGTGATACATCCGCAATATCCCAAACCCCATCACCGCGCCCAAACGCAAGTCACATGACACCGGACCTCATTGATTCCTTCGCCCCTAAGCTGACAGTGCGGTGGAAGCTATGCGCTTGCCGGACCAATCAGCCGCCTCCTTTTCATCACCTGACAGCATTCTCTGCGCATAGGTGTGCTCGAGGGAGCGTGATCACATGGCAAAAGTGTGGCTGGCCCAATGAGCACATAGCTTCCACAGCACCGTCAGCTTAGGGGTGAATGGGGTGGGGAAAGCAACTTTTGTTCCAGTTTTGAGCGACAGGCTAATCTTCTAAGAGGAGAATGGCCCTTGTCCGGGTACACAAACAAAGGTCCGAGCATGAGGGGAGTCCTTCCTTTCTGTCTTCTTGAACTGTTTGGATCAGTGTGCTATTTGTGAGTTGAGGAGGAAAGCCTAAAAGGCAAAAGTTGAAAAATCGTTTCATGACCCCTTTAAGTTTCCCCACTAAATTTAGCGGGGAAATTGACGTCGCATGACCTCAACACCAATTCAGTTTCCATGCTAAATTTAGCGGGGAAACTGTGACGTCGCATAATGCAACGCGCGTGGTTACACTGACAGCAATGCCGCTCAACCCGGAAACAAGCGCCTAAATGCTGCGCCCTAAAAAGTAAACTGTAACCTACTTATACCCGTGTCAGACGGTGTTCTAAAGATCCTTTTCACTAAGCTCCTTTATCAAATCGGCGAACCAGTGCACGCCATAGGGCACATGTGCACTCAACATCGCAAGCAGATTGGCCGATTTTTTAAATTAGCTTAGTGAAAAGGAACTTTAGAACACCGTCTGACATGGGCATTAAAAGAGATGTCACCTTCATTACCTTTTCTCTACTGTAACAGAACTGAGAGCCATGATGGATATACCGACATCTCTACATGGTCCTTACTGCAGTGAGGCAGTGAATGATCTGATGGTCACATTCAACGGTACAGTGCAATCCGCTTATAACGATACTACATACAACAATGTACTGCATATAACAATCAATATCTAAAGAAGCATGCTTTTTTGCATTGGTGTAAAAATAAACCACATATAGCCAGGGGTGGACGCAGGTATTTCCAGAGGGGGGGGGGGGGGGGGGGGGGGGGGGGGGGGGGGCAGTGTATTATATGCTTGAGAACCAACTTCCCCACCCTCACAACCTCGTTCCCCACCCTAAATGTTTATACAAGCAGAATTTAAGAGGGGGGTCAGGACATCCGGACCCCACTCTGAATCCGCACTGCATATAGCAATGGAATATAATAGGCATATCGGCTACAGCAATCATAAATACGTCGATTTGCAAATATTAACAAAAAAAAAAAATCGGGCAATAAATGAAGTTATGTATCAATAAAAAGAACCGCCAAAGGAATGACACCCAATTTGCCATGCACATATCTCATACAAATGCACGTCAAAATTCACCGCGGATTGTCGCTGAGCACGACCTGAAGCCGACTGATATCATCATCATCGTCAGTGGTCACAGTTGAAAGATGGCACCGGCAAACTACATGCCCTGAAAATGCAAGTCTCAGCAGCTTCGGTGGAGATGGAACAAAACATACTGAAACATACGTGTCAAGGTTTAAAAAAAAGCCAGGAGCCTCGTCCGAATCTATTAGCTCTTCCCATGCACCATCTCTGCCACCTTGAGGCAACGTCGTGGCCCCACAACCTTGATCGCCGCTGTCACCGTTGACGAAAGTGGCCAGAGCGACAGTGATGTCGATGAAGAAATTTGCGACGATGTCAATGACATCATCTATCTGTGCCATCATTGATGATCGTCTGTCTCAATTTACTTTCAAGGTGTTTTCCTCGCGATTCGGTTACTGGTCGATTTTGTGCACACGATGAGACTGTGGGCGGCACACGTGTAAGAAGTGGATACGTGGCGCATCACAATCGCGTATGAAGCGTTAATTTTATGCCTTTTATGCAAAATTTTTTTTTTTTTTTTATTTTAACATACTATTAGTTCCTTACAGGACCAAGTTAGGGGTGGGATACAATGAACAGCCCAACAATCACAGTCTGCGGTGTCCTGCGCCGACACAACCAGAAGAGAAACAGCAGCAGAACAAAAGCAACGACAGTAAAATAATAGTAACCCAACTTTCCCCACCCTCACAACCTCAACAACCTGATAGATTTATCAAACATTTTTTCATACAAACTACTAAATAAAGGAAGAGTTGATTGATCTTCAAGCTGATATTGTATAATGTGATTAGTATGTTACATTGCTGAGTAACTCGCTTCATCCTGCAGCAAGGGGTATCATTTCGGGCACTTTTTGAGGCCAGTCCAGATACAACGATGATCGGCTATAATGATCGCATTTTCGGGTTTTCTCACTATCGTTATAAGTGGATTGCACTGTATATTGGTTTCAAAAAGCCAAACATGGTTGATACAGCTACTTGCAGAAGAAATTGTAGTCCTCAAATTAATTACATCACATCCATAAAGTGCCTTAAAGGTAGTATGTACATATTCCCTATGTAATTCTAAGGGTGAAAGCATATATTTTTCAGTCTACATTTTGAAACAGGACGTCCACCATTACAACCCCTTCAGAATTTGTTACCTTCCCATGTTTTCCCCATCTACACTTGAGCAAAATTCTTGGGACCTCAAGCAATAATACATATTTTTAAATGCGTAGCATTCATAGGGCCAGCTCTTAGTTTCTTCCTGTCCAAGTTTGGCAAGTAGACTTGATGGAGCAAGGAATGCGGAGCATGCATTGCTGAATGTACAATCTGTGTGTAATCGCCGAACGCTCTTGGAGCAGGGACTTTCCCAGTGAGCGCTTGGCGGCAGCAAAGAGGACTACGCACACTACGAAGGCCCTTGCTTGCAGGCTTCGTGTACGTGGCGTATAATGCGGTGCGAGGGTGACAACAGCGGGTACAGCGGGGTGAAGGTGGACGAGCGAAGTATGCGGCTGTGAAACTAAAGTTTTGCAACCGACCGGGCCCAGCAGCGACAGGAAACCGGCTGTCTTCACACAGCGGCCGACCGGCAATTCAAGTGATGCGTGCGACAGAATGTGGTTTCGGGTGACCAAGAGTAAAGGCATTCTAAAGGCTACGCATTCAAAACAGCACTGAGAACTGCCAAAGTGATAGCTATATCTTTTGTCGGTTGCCTTTTTGCAGACACTTTGATATATGGAAGGTGTAAAATTTGGAGCACACTTGTTAAAGGTGCATTCAAGATTCTGAACTGGGTTGTCAATGCTCATTCAATCAAACTGAGCTAGAATTTCTCACAAATGGCCGTGTATGCGAGCCTAGCTGTAGATGCGCGATGAACTGCGGCAGACCCAACTTTGCGCAGCGGCTGGTGAGTGGACAATGAACGGGTCGGGACTTACGTATCATCGGGAGTCAGCTGCACGGGCTCGCTGGTAAACTGGGGGTCGAAGTGCTCGAAGTCTCGCTCTGTGCCCAACTTGGGCTTGTACGGCGGCATCACTTGCTTGCCCTCCAACTGCGCAATAGGCGGGCACCCAATCAGACGCCCCGGCACCAGGGGCGGCACTTAAAGCCATTAATGTGGTAAATATTGCACTCAATCTCAGCCTGTCAGTGCAAATGTTTTTTATGCAACTGAGATTAGAAGCTTTATGACAGAAAACCAACTGTGCAGACTACTGTAAAATACCGGGCAAGCCTTGAGCTACATGCACGACGATGTGTGTGTGTATTTTTCTTTTATCTTCCTGTTTTCACTCATCTCGTGGTGTGACCGTGCTCATCTACTCGTATGTGCTGCCGACAGGTGGTGCAACGTGAGACACGAGAGGATGGGGCACATTGACTGAACGTCTTCGCACGAGAAATGGGGGGACCTAAGAGATTTAAATACCCGTTTTCATCATTAGTTTATTCAAGGACAATTACCACGCTTTGAAAGTCGCACATTAGAGAGAGAGGTGTGCAGCGCTGAAGGAAGCGTAATCAAAACTTTCGGAAGACTGTCCGCTAAGCTCGGTGCCGGTATGCCCTCGATGCTTCCGACATCTGTTGGCAGCATTCCGCGGACGGCACACATCGTCTGCGAATGCCGCCGTAGATTGCCCAAAACAGGTTAATCTTTTTTCTGTTTTGAAAAAGTCAAGTCCCTCTGATGATATTTTCACTCCAAACTACCACCACCTAGCCGCACCTGTGTAGTAAATCACAGCGCGATGCATTGAGAAACCAAACTTTGCGAACCGTCTAAAGCGGGTTCGGAGCTTTAGTGCACATGCTGCACATTTGTATTTGGCACACAAAAAACTTGAGATTTGCATTTTGTAAAATTATTGCATATTTTCAAAAAAGGCAGTTGCACTAAAATTATGCATTTTGTTAAAATTATTGCATATTTTCTAGAAAGACAAACGAGAGGTCATAAATATTTTTGTAATACACTTCCCATATTCCTTTATCAACATACCATTACGAGAAGAAAATTAAGGTTTCCAGTGGAAATGTAAGAAAATACAAAACAAGCATCAAATTCAAATTCTTTATTTGTACCCATCTTGAAAAATGGAGGTCGAGAAAAGAAGCAACTTGTTGGTTGCTCTTTTGCCGAAGAGTACATGAATTGTTCGACTTAGCAGTTATTGCCATAGAGAGACAAACTCAAAACCCTCTTCAATGGCCTTTTAAACTTCATTTCCCTTCTTCCTCTACAATTTTTCATGAAAAGGGTTCTGTGTGTTCGGTAAACATCGCTAAAGCCGGAAAATTAACTCCCCAGACGGTTTCATCAGCATCAACCTGGAACACGGACTCAACAAGCTGTCCGCAAGGTTGCTTCTAGCTTCAGAACCACACATCTCGTTTCTTTTTCTTGTCGATAGGGGCAAATTTTTCAATTATTCGGGTCACACATACGGTCTCGGGGGATGGGGACCCTGGGGGATGGAGAATCCCATATCTGCGTTTTACTTTCTTCGACATTAGCCCCGACAAGCCCCGATTTTTCATTCCAGAACAAATATTGACACCCAAAAGCACCATAATCTAAAAGAAAAAAAAAAAAAAAAAATCTTAAATTTGAATAAAAATAAATTTCCCAGACACAAAGCCCGGCTCATAAATCGCGCCTAGCAGGCCAGAAAGAGGGGACACAGATATTGCCACATAGCAGTAAAGTTAGCCTCTAAAGACAAGCCCATAGATCGAAACCACAGAATTGATAAAAACAACCTCCCTTTGGTCGACGACAGCGCATGAACAATTTCTCTTTATCAAGGCGTCGCTGAGCGCGTGGGTACGCCGTACGCGGCAAAAGAACTTCAGAGTGGGAGTAAAAAATGTGGGGGCAACAAACGTGCGACAGTCTAAACACGTTCCCGTGTTTATCGTCCTCGTTTTCACCCTCAGTTTAGGGTTCTTTCGAAGGGCACAAACTTTTCTTCCGTGGTTTTGCGATGACAGGACTACCTTAGGCTTTTCGCAAAAGTTTAAGCTCGTCTCGATCGTGTCCGATGAGCTGAAAGATGCGCAGAACATGGAGTAAATGAGTGACTGAGCTGGCACGTGATGTGGTGTGTCACGTGACACCCTGATGCAAAGGTCGTATAAGCAACATAGCCCCTAATGGGGCTATGTTGCATAATAGCCATAATGGGGCTATTATGTTGTTTATATGGTCTTGACCCGCGTGTTGGTCGAGCGTAACAAGCAGCTTTTGTCACTACAGTCGAGCCCGATTATATCAAGCCCATATCAAGCCCAGGTATTTCGAATTATTGTTCATGTCGAACGGTCCAAACATCACCTTGAAAATCACATGTAATAGTATAGGAGCATAGTTTTGCTGTACGAAACTCCCATGACAACTCCCATGGCGGGGACACTGGATACAGCGAACGAAGCAGCGGGCCGCGAGCACACATAGCTCGCATTGCAGGGCTGGCAGACCGCCCGCCAAGCCAGCATACGCGCATAGAGATATGCAGCAATAAAGCAATTGTAAAAAAAAAGTGAAAGCCGTTTACAACTCCCTGTAACGCCGAATTGGAGCGCAGCTCTTGAGGAGGAGGAGTGGAGGGTATATTCCTCCTCCTCCCTCGTGATCATGCCTGCTAGTCCTCCTCCCCTCCTGCTCCCCCTCCCTCTCCTTTACCACCTTTACTGGGCGGGGGAGGAGGGGGGAGGAGGAGGAGCGGAGGGGGAGGAGGAGGGGGAGGGGCGACGCCGATGCCGACGCCGCACAGGCTGGAAACGGGTCATGTGCCCCTCCCCCCGAGGTCACGTGACCCGCCCGGACCATACTACACAATGAGGGTAGGAGGAGGAGAAGGAGGGGGAGGAGGAGGAGGGGGGAGGAGGAGGAGGGGAGGAGGAGGAGAGGGAGGGGCGCGGTTACGCCGACGCCGCTCAGGCTGGAAACGGGCCCCTAAGAGCTGCGCTCTAAAAAGAGGAAAAAAAAAAAAAAAGAGCAGAGAATGTCAAAAGCAGGGGGAAAGGCACGCGCGCGGTTAAGGAGGGCAAGGAGTGCCCGCTGTCGGAACTGTTGGAATGGTAGAGTGCGCTCTTTCCCCGAACATTGCTGTCGCTGTGCGACCGTTCAGCCCCAAAATAAAATAAGCAAAAAAACAAAAAAAGTCTTTGTCAAGTCAAGTGTGTCGACAACAACGGTTGAGGAATCGCACTCCGAATGCCTTATCTTTGTTTACCTTTATCTTTCGCTGTTTTTTGCTTTGCCCATTTTTTCTTTTTGCCTTTCTTTTTTTGCTGCCTCATTTTAGTGAGGTTTCTTTTTCGTTGCTTGCTTAACTTTATTCTATGGATCAAAAGCTTTTTTTGTTGTTTTCTTTTATGCGGCTCGCTTTTTTGTATTTTAAAATTAATTTTCGTATTTTGTCGTTGGTGCTGTGTGGAGGTCGCGCGCGCGTAAACGATTGCAAACACTGTTGCGTAAACGCGGCGGCATTTGCGATCTTCACCAACTAAGCTCTACTGTATTTAGCGGCTCTTAGTAGCTCCATTTGGTAAGGTCCCGTTTGTCGCGGCCTTCGGTAGTAGCAGAGACGCGTGGAAATTTCAACTTGAACTTAGGTTAACATATTTTTGTATACCAAATTATCGATATATCAAACTATTTTACGATCCCCTTTGAATTCAATATATCCGGGTTCGACTGTATAACAGATTCCAAGTGCTTGGCTCATTTCCAGAAAAGGGGACTAGCCTCTCACCTGCTCCCAATTGATGCTCTTGAAGAAGGCGTGCGACATTATGTCGCTGAAGCCCGTGGTCGGATGGCAACCCAGGCGCTCCACGGGGTTCTGTCCAAAACAAGAGGAGACCCCAAGAGGCGAGAGGTCAGGCTAATCGTGCAAACCATTGCATACGCCGAGACCCAGCTATCCAACAGACCGGAGGGTCCGTCTCACGTCGAGCTCTCGGCGAGGCCCAAGTAATGAAGACGTCGGCGTTAGTAACCGCCAAAAACGAGTGTTTCACATATTGCTGCCCTATTAATCTCGTACCTCATCATTATTAAATTTCGTGACTTTTGAAAAAGTGCTATTTTTCTGTTGTTGTAGAACTCCAAGGGAATTAAGTAGAACTAGTGTAAACTTTGTCACATTCAAATAGTTCAGAAATGAGATACATATGCTGCAGTCCGTCATATTAACTTTTCGTCAACAAATAAGAGTATTAGTATCCTTCGAGGGATTAACAAATTCTGTACATAATCATTACAAAGGCAATTTAACCCACTGTTTTTAGTGGCACAAACAACCAAACTGCTAAAATAGCACTTTGCTGCAATAGACGACATTCACAATAAAGAAAAACCAATTTCTGTTCTGCCTCGATGTTCAGGACAGAATACTACCACAAGCTTCTGCTTTTACTCTTTCTCAACAAAAGTCAAAAAGTGTAAAAACAGACTTTGGTCTAAGAGTTTACACTTACTTAAGTTTGTGCTTAATTTTTTCCATACATACTGACAAAGCAGCGAACCTCGAATATAGAACTGCAGTAGCCCACACAAGAAACATAGCTTGGCTTTGTCATTCTCTAAGTTTGAGACTTTTTTTTAATGAAATATAACTGGAATTCGAGACTAAGAATGCTGAAGAGGCACGTTGCACCTACCTTGTTCAGGAACCCCTTGAGGACAGACTGGGCCTTCACCGAGATGGAGCGAGGAATACGAATCGTCTTCTCGAGGATCGCTGAGGTGGGAAGTACAGAAAGAACACTCTTGCTACCATCAGCAAGAACAACGCTTACATACACTCTCACAAAAATTGTGGACAGGAACAAGTGGCACGAGTTTTGTTCGTTACAAGAGCATAATTACCAACTCAGTCACAGTGTCCATTGGAGTTAAACTGCCTGCAACACTTGTCGCCAGTACAAGCGAAGAAAACTTGTTGTATTTTGTCCTTTGGTTTCACTTAACAATTTTCTCTTTGGCTTCGGTAAATGACGGCAAATAGGTGCACTTTAGAATGTATTTTGCTGCAGCGACTGGCACTCCTTTTCCATATCAGCGTAGTAAAGAGAGGGACGTACAGCTTCCCACGTTGGTCCTGGTAGGTGATTGGCACGCTTGAAATGCTCATTAGGACCTCTTTCGAAGATGGTCAATGTTTACATGCGTCCATTCCCCTAAGAAAACTTGCGGCTTTACTCTGGAGGCCACTTCGCATGTCTGCGTCTGAGTACAACCAAGTGCACCGTGACCGTCTGCGACTGCTAACAAGAAAGCACTTTGTCGCCATCTGTTGGGTAGCCCTTCAATACTTCCTATCTGCACATATTTTCTAATTTTAACACAAAATATGTTTTGCGAGTTCTTTTTTTAAAATAAAATTGTCACGAACGACTGTCAGGAATGAACGTCATGAACGATAGACAGGGACGAGCAAAGAACGACATAAACAAGAGTCATGAAGTGTTACATGGCGTTCAGGTTGTGTATAAAGAACTGCCTCCGCACCTAGGTCAGTGCGGAGGCAGTTGGATACTATAGCCACTGAGTTGCGCAGCACAGCTGCTCTGGAAAGATGGAGCTCCCGGCAAAACGTGCTGGTGAGAGTGATGTAACGTCATACCGCGCAACTGGTTCCCTCGTCAAGAGCCGTATAAGAGGCTCGTCCGATTTACCTGCACCGGTGCAGAAACGTGTAGGGCGCTGTACTTCTGGTCATATCTAGATACACAAACCAAAAGTACACTTTTCTGCACCGGTGCACGAGGTGCAGGCAAATCGAACAAGCCCAAGGTAGTGCCCGTATGGTGTACTCGGTCTTGCCCTGGCTAGCATCTGTGGTGTGCAATAAAAAAAAGCCACATGCACCTGTGCGGGACATTATGTACTCCCTGGTCTTTGTCAGCATGATAGAGCGAACGAGTCTTTTTGATCATTCATTTGCCACATGCTCAACTTTATTCTCACAAAGTTGTAAGTGTCTATTTATCATAGGTAGCACGTAGGTTTCATCTCAAATATACCGCAAAACTTTCGGCCCAGTTACATGCAGACTGGAAGAGTTCCGGGGCTAACTCAATAGAGGGCACCGATGTGCAGCGTTTTATCTTGTCGTAAGCGGTCACAACGCACTCCGTTGCATTAAAGCTCAAATATGACTGGTTTTTAGAAACCCCGACCTTCGCAAGACGAATCGTTCGACCAGATAGTATAGAAATACCCAAAGACACCCTCCCCGTGGACGGGACGGCTGCAGAACCTACCCTGGAAGAGGAAGTCCTCCGTGTTCTCGTCAGGGTTCTCGCTGGTACCCATGATGTCGAAGGGGGAGTGGCCGGCCAGCATCTCGTACAGCAGCACACCCAGGGCCCACCAGTCCACGCTGAAGTCTGCATGCGCGCAAACAGACGGGCACGTCAACGGGCCGTGTGTCGGCCCCCGCCTCGAAAGATTGTGCTCAACGCCATTTTCCACTCGATTAGTTTGAATCGAAGTGCATACGAGTATCGACCGCGACGCGGATAAGTGAAAATAAAATGCTTCTTTCCCCCTGACCTTTCCCTCGGAATTAAAAGGCCGCAATAGAAGTTGCTATATTTGCCGACGGAATTATAACGGTAGGGAGGTTCTCCGGCTGTAATGCCTCCAGCGCAAGCTTCATACTTTCCACGACACTTTGGTGCCCCGCGAGTGCCCGGCGTGCATGTGCGACTGAAGCACAGTGGAAGGCAAGGAGTGCATGGTGAAGGCCGGGTGTTCGGAAGAGACGTCCGGCTGTTCCCACCCCATCGGTGACTACAGTGCGGTAGAAAGGGCTCGTTCGGGGATCCAAGTTGAGTGGTAAAATTTGGCAACCGCCAGTACACCGTGTGATTAGGTACTAGCCAAAAAGCGCCAATGTCGAGCGGCGTACGTGCCATTACGGTAGAACCTTTATGATAAAGACCGATACCCCTTTAAGTTACTAGACTGAAATCACAATCCAAAGGTAAAGAATGCTTTCGGTATTGGTACGGGCGTTTGAGGTACTGATACTATAGTGAAGCTGCTCAAGAAAGAATGGAAAAGATTTGCATGGGACAGTTGCGCGCGTGGTCGGTTCTCTAGCAGACAATATTGAAATTTGCGCTCGACTTGTACTTTATATCTCTCACTAATACGCTAGTTAGCGCTCTCAACTGCCATTAAAGGACAACTCCGCTCAATTCCAGGAATTTGGGGTTTTTGGTTACATTAAGTATACATTAAGGTATACTTAATGTAACCGTTTATCAGTATACATTAAGGTATACTAATAAACGGCTAGACGTCGTTTGTTTCTCCAAAAAGGAAATAAAATTCTCGTAATCCTTCTTTGCTCCTGATCATGAACCGAAACCGAAACTGCGCCCGCGCCTGGCAACATTGGTCCCGCCTCGTCATTGTCTGGGACAACCCACGTGGTACGAACGTCACCGCACAACCTCGCCGACCGCACGGACGAACGGATCGGCGGAGCAAGCGTCGTCGCACCGTGTCGTCTGCTCCACCATCTCTGCTATCCAATGATGTGTGCACTACCGCGGCCGCAGAGTGTTTTGACGCAGAAAAAGGCAAGTTGTTTTAAAGTTATGTTTTGGAACCATAAGTAGTTGAAGTTAAGTAAACCACTCGTAATATGCGAGGCATCGCAGCACAAAACGTTGCTCCGAGACGCAGCAGGTTTGGTCTTCCCGACGACGAGCGCGGAGCGCTCGCTCAGACGCTCATCAGCGCATGCGCGTTTTGGATCACGTGGACATCGGTATGCACGCTGCTGGCGCCGCCTGTAGGCTGCGCCTCAATAAAGTAAAAAACAAGAAAAAAAGCGGTCCCAGACTATGACGTGCGGCGCAGTGTTGGCTGCGCCAACACGCGGTATTGACTGCGCTGTTCTCTGCGCCGCACATCGGCCGCTAGAATTAGCAGATTTCGGAGACTTGACGCATCTCAAACTTTGTTTACCAGTTTAACAAACTTTTAGGCTTACTTACATCGTAAAACTTGACGTGTAGTCTTTCTAGGTGATACTAAAGAGAACTGCGTTGTTTTTTCAGCATCGAAAATGAAGCGGAGTTGCCCTTTAAGCCAACGATCATTGGCATCTCTCAACTGTCACCGAGCTTAGCCAAGTTGTTCGGCGTTACATGGTACATAGGCCTAACAAACCCAATCGAGATGCGCATCACGGGACACAGTTGAAACCGAGACAAAACAAAAACTGATGTCGCATTACCTTTTTAAAAAAAATGATGCAACGATTATATGCACTTTTCATTCATTATCAACGTATAATAAAACAAAAATATATTAACTTTTTTGTTTTGTTTTTAGAGTAAAGAAACAATAATCGGAACGTTGCACACATAAGAAAGACATAAGAAAAGTGACCCAAAAGTCTTCTTGGCACCGACATTACAATGGCTGCCCTCGCCGAGCTTTAGCTTCCGCAATGGGTTGCAATCGTTCCAGCGGCAGCTCTGGCCCCAAACCATACCTCTTCCGACAATATTTGCTGCTACGATACTTTCTAGATACCTCCCCCAATCCTCTGCAACAGTAAGTGCTTTGCTGGTCCTAGCTATGGGCGGCGGTGACAGCTAATGACAGCTAAGAATGCTAGTGTAACTAGAGTATAAGATGTACTTTACATCTCTTACTAACATGTGCTTTACCTCTCACTAATAAAATGTAGTTTAAATCACTCATTAAATTGTACTTTACACCCCTCACTAAAGCGTAGTTTAAATCTCTCATTAAAATGTACTTTAAATCACTCATTAAACTGTAGTTTAAATCTCACTAAAATGTAATTTAAACCTCTCACTAAAATATACTTCACGTCTCACTAAAATGTACTTTACATTTCAGTAAAATGTACAATACATCTCTCATTAAAATGTAGTTTAAATTAGTCACTAAAAATAAATAAACATTGGGCACGATAAAAAAAATTGGTTAGTGTTGACTAAGTACACATTTCAAAAATACACATGTTCTCACCTTCACATGTGACAGAGTGCTTAGCAATCCCCGACCCCTCCATTGGATCCAGTGCAGCTCGAACGGGAGAATACACATGTCTTCTTACCTTTACAATATGCACTGAATTTGTTTGTCGTTTTAAATGTTGTAATAAAAATGAAATACTCCAACCAAGGCCCCAAAAAAGTGTCCCAATGTCTCGAAACCTGCTTAATTTTTTCTCCAGGGGTGACTGAATCGCATGGGGAAGCAACAGGGGAGAGTAGCAGCTCCCGTCTACGAAACCAAGCACGTTACGAAGTATGGGACATCTTTTAGGGCTATGATTAGAGTATTTAAATTTTTGTTACTACAGTTATACCCAATCAGACAGATTTCTGTCCAAGATGTTTGCACTCCAATATGTTGCAACATGCTGCCTGTATATTCAACAAAAAATACCCAAAATTACAAGCAGAAAAAAAAAAAAAAAAATGAAAGAAGCTTTAAAAAGCTAGAGCTACAAAAAGTTTCAACAAAAGTGTTAAATTCTCAGATGAACTGACAAGGTTTATCATTGACGGTTTGGTACCACAGCTTCAATAAAAGTGAAGATAATGCTCATTATCAATTGGAAGTCAGAGTTCAGAAAGTGATCAGAGCTAACAAAAGCCACAGCTGACATAGGCTAGGGTGCAGTTTACAGAGCTCCCTTGGTGTATGATGAAATTATTGACTTGAGGGGGGCGGGCGACGGAGGGGGTGTGGCACACACCATAGTCTTCACCGCGCAGAATCTCAGGGGCGATGTAGTTGGGTGTCCCACAGAACGTGCTTGTTGTGTCTCCGGGACGGATCCCTTCCTGCGACAACATCAGCGATTGATTATAATGAGACAAGAGAAGGGTCCCTCAGGTGACATCATGAGAACATGTTCAAGGCATCCTCGATTCGGGAGCACATGTTTGGAACGGTGTCGACCACCGAGACTAGTGTACAAGGACAGACTGCACGACAAGGAAGAGTGAGTTAACAGTCCAAATGCATTTGTCCGAAAAAAGTAGTAAAGTATAGCTTCTCACGGTTAAAGGGGAGCTCCGGCAAAATAATGATGGTCATTGATTTTTATAAAGTTTTCACCAAGCACTAAACATCCGCTCCTGAGTATACCTAGAGATTATCTTTTAGAAACAATAATTTTCTTTCGAGAAAACGTATTTTGAAGTTTACGCATACAGCTCTGAATTGCGGGCTGCCGCTCCACTGGCAACAACGAGCAGGGGTGCTCGTGACGTTAAACGTTGTATCCGAGAGCAGACGACGTTCCCTCTTCCACGGCGTTGTGGGTTGTGGCGATAGTGAGAGCCTGCGGTATGTTTTCCCAGATTGTGTCTGGTTTGGGCTGTTTGAGGCATGTGATGGAGGGTGGGAAGAATTGGCGATCTGCTGTGGGATGCAGTAGCACCACGAAGAGATGCAGCAGAGCTACATCTCGTCGGCTTCCAACCGAGAAGTCTCTGCCACGAAAGTGGGTCCAAGCCGGCCGACGCGAACGCTGGCTTCTTGCAATTGCATTGTGCTAGGAAACAGTTTGCACCGTGCTAGCAAACAAAGCCTTCTATAAGATCCTGCTTCTGAAGCGGCATGTGGGTCCACATGTCGGCAGACCGTGGATGTGGCCGCTATAGGTGGTCTCACCAATTTCTATGACAATTGCTGGATTGCACTACACCGCTCCGCAAATGCGGCCACCGGAAGTTCTGTGTCGGCCATCTTTGAAGTACCGAAAGCCGATCCTTTGGGAGACAGATTTCTGACTGTTTGCCGTCATCTGGCAAAAAATGTGTCTGAAAGACACGTTTTCTGATTATGTCTTTCAGAAAATGTCAGAAAACGTGTCTGAAAGACACACTTTCTGATTGTTTGCCGTCGTTTGCCAAAGAAGTTTCTTAACCTTGTGTAAACGGTCATAGTTGCCTTTGAGAACACGAGAAAACGTTTACGAAAGCGCAGCAACACAGGAAAAAGGCACAGCTCGTCGAACGCAAGTCTCGTGGCGTCACCAGAGAACACGCCTTGGCACGCTAGAGTGCTGCGTCTCTCTCTGCCTTTGCACGCTTGGCGACGCCGTGTGTGTTGTGCGTCATGGTGTATGTGCCTCACGAGCAGTGTTTTACTTCATTCCGACGACCGTACTTGTAACTTGCGGCACTTGCGGGCAAAAAATAAGTGATTCTGTGCAGACAGACCAGAGAGGGGACAGCGCAGCGGCGGCGGCGATCCTTCTTTGCGTTTGAGACATTTCTAGCAATCAGTTCAGAAGAAGGGAACAAAAATCTATCTTTCTCGGTCCCCCCCTGTCACCCAGAACGCTTCCCACGCCCCTGGTTCTATTGTTGAAAAGCAGCGATGTGGTTTGTAACCCACACTTATATGCGTTGCTCTATCTGTGCTTCTTAGTGATGCGAGTAATTCCCATCCATTTGAGCAGATTTTGAACACTGTTAATAGTGCATAACAGCAACCACTGATTGGTGCAGCTTACTGGAACAGCTAAACGATACAGAACTCTGCGAGCGATATGCGTGCGGCAAAAACTTGTACGCACGACGCACCTTCGAAAGTTTCCCGAAGGGTTAAAACATCCACACGGCGTCAATTCTTTATTTATATCCAAGCGTGAGATGGCAGAGACACGGCCCTTCGGCAAGCCAGTTGTTACCTGACAACGCTGCGAGACTTGCATTCAACGAGTTGCGCCCTTTTCCTGCGATGTTGTGCTTTCGTAAAAATTTCCACGTGTTCTCAAAGGTAACTACGACCGCTTACACAAGGTTTTAAAAAACTTTTTTGGCGAATGACGGCAAACAAGCACAGAACGCTTCTTCCAGCCCGCTGCCGCCCAGCCTCTGCAATGCTCCAAAAGGTCGACTTCTGGTACCTTCAAGCTGGTCGATACAGAACTTCTGGTGGCAGAACTCGCGCTGCAGCAACCAAGCGGGGAAGCACGATCACGCAAATTGTCATAGGGTGGGTGGTCCCCTCGGAGGCGATGCCGGTGGATCGAATGCGAGCGGTGAATCGTTTGGAATCTCATGCTGAAAATCTTATAATGTTTGCTGGCCATTGCTTGACTCAGACAAGCTTGATGAGTCATAGTTCATTAGTTCCCACAGACAACTGTGACCACCTTTTGACTGCTTCTGAAGCTGGGCGAAGCAGGCTCAATATGTCCCTGAACCAATGTTTATGCAACATCTGATGTCACAAGATGGCAGACCAGTAAAGTTGCAGGTTAGTTTCGGTATCAGTTTTATTGTTATTCTACTATTAAAAATTATTTATAAACTTTGAGGTAATTTACTTGCTGCTCTAGGTTCAGTTTCTTGCTCTCTTTCAGAAATATATTTACTTTAAAACTTCTAAATTGATGCCGGAACTCCAATTAAGCAGAAAAAGCTATGCTCTTGCTTGAGTAGCTTTTTTCGGGGGAGCTATGGAGATTTTCTCCTGGGTGGGGATTTGCCTCAATATTGTTTCAACACATCGATAGACTGAACTGAACTAGTTCTTCTTTGACATACGTTCATGCATTTTTTTTTAAACCTTATTTTTAGTAAATATTAAATATTTGCTCAAGATGAAAGATCTAACAATTTAGAACTTTGTACCCCAAGAAGAAGTAGTCTGGCGCAATTAAGATACCTGAAGAAACCCGCTCAGTTGATATGTGCATTTCCCCAAGACTAATGGTCTGTGCCTCACCTTGCACATGCCATAGTCAGTGAGCTTGATGTGGCCTTCGTGGTCCAGCAACACGTTGTCCAGCTTTAGGTCCCGGTAAATGATGCCTGCGTTACCCCGGCACCCACCACAACAGATCAAGCTTGATGCTCATTGTTCTGAAGCTTCATTCTCTATTCAAAGATAACCCATAGCACCTAAAGGCATTACTGTTAGGCATCGGGGGGTGGCATAATGCTTTAAAAAAAAGATTCAAAACCACTTCTGCCAGTAACCTAGAGAGAAGTCCAGTGCATACTCTGTATTTACCACAACCTGTTGGTTTTCTTGAACTTAAGTAACCCCTATTATTCTCACACAGCGACATCAATATTTAAATCTGCAAGACTATGTAGTAATATTCATGAAGATAGCGTCAATTAAATTTTTTAGGCCTAATAACATACAATCAACTTGGCTTTGTTGTTAAGTACTGTGGCGACATCTTGATTAAATTGATCAGCACGAGCGAGAAACCTCATCCGAAGCCACATTGATGATTGTCCGAAAACCTATGCGGACTAAGGCGCTTCGACTCGTAGAATACTCGAAAGGACAATGTGCGTAAGCACACTCTGATTGGTGCTTACTGTTCAATGAAAGTCTCATAAGGCTAATACAGTATTGACACCCATACAAGACTTGCTGGCCATGCAATGCAGACTATCTACACGTGAAGACAATACAATAATTTGCCATTTAACAAGATAAATTATTAGAGAGAGATGCGATGCATTTTATGGAATACATGCCTTGAAATACCAAGCATCTCCCCATTCTGAAAGTGCCCACCTCTCAACTTTCGTAACATTTGGAAAATACAACGGACATATCTTTACGCATCGTTGGCCTAACAAGTGCTCATGGTGATTATCTCCAAACTTTGAGTGTGCATTTGTTCGTGATCTTACGATATGCTGTAAAATCTTGCATGAATGCCCTTGCCTGAGAGACTGCCTGTCCTGTTTTTCTGGTTAAATATCCATAACACAAGTGTTTTTGATACATACCACCCCCCCTCCGATTCCCGTCGAACATTACGCAATGTCTGACGGGCGCAATATTGGTTTCTGTGACACACGAGTTGTTCTTGCGAGTACAGTCAAACCTGTTTATAACGAACAGCAGGAAACGGTACAATCAGTTTGATATAGCAAAAAAACATTTACAACGAACTTCCGCGATGAGTTCGTTGTAAGGCGAGAGCTTCTCTTTTTTCGTCATCTCTTCAGTTCCGCCTTGTAACAACGCGCAAGAAAGCTTTTTTTTTTTTTTTTTTTTTTTTTTTTTGTTTGTGTGCGAGCAGGGTATGTTTTTTTAGGTTATCTCCCCTTCTGAATCGCTTCTTTTCGTGGGCAAACGCTTTGGGATGAAAAATTTTTTTTTTCTGTGCAAAAGTGTGCAGAGTGTATTTTTCAGCTTTCTTCCCCTTCTGAATCGCTTCTCTTCGCTCAATTTTGTTCGCAACTTGAGCTTTTGAAATTTTCTTTCTTTCCTACTTCTTTTTTGGGGGAAGGGACAGGCTGGAAGAGGATTGTCTGCGCGTTTTTGGAAGTCTTCCCGGGGGGTTAAAAGTTAGATATAGCCAATACGTTATTCGTTATAAAACATACTTTTTACATGCAGTTTTATTTAAATATTCCGTGAGTTTGATATCGACAATATTTTGCTGTTTGTGGGTTCGTTCTAAACGGGCTTCACTGTACACTGCATCGCGAAATGCGAGCCTGCTGTGTCTGCGATCTGTGCCATCCGTTCCCGTGATATGCGAGATCGTAGAGGGTTCATGCGTTTTTGCTGCAATCTGCACATGCAATATCGATTCCCACACATTTCTTGCGCCAGAAAACTCGAATTTGCATATCTGTAGTATCTGTCCCCGTGAGATGCAAGTTCACCGTAAATTCCCACGCGTCCTTCGCACTGTGAAACGCCAATCGGCTGCGTCTGCAATCTGGAGTATCCTTTCCCGTGACACATGAGTTTGTAGCGAATTCCTGTGTGTTTATCACATTGTAAAACGTTAATTTGCCGTGTCCGCAATCTGAGGCATCGTTTCCCACGTCATGCCCCGGTATTTATCACTAACTTTTGATATAGTTTTGCTGTGGCAACCTCAAAGATGACTCAGCCCATGTTTTTCACCATTTATTTCTTTATTTCGGATGGGCGTTCTTACGGGATTTTATGAAAATGTTAATGGTTATTTCTATATCATACAAGTTTCCCCATGTATTAATAAAGTCAGCATTTTCAAAGGTGTGCTGTGCGAGAACTTCTCATGTGCAGAGTACGCACCATCTGCAGACTATCTAAAGAAAAACTCTTTTTTTCAGCCGGATGCTGACTGCAGTCCAAAAAATACGGCAATTCTTTTGGACTACCCCACAGCACCAGTGGCATTACTGCATGGAGGTAAGATTGCATATAAATAAAAGGAACAACTCAGATTTTTTACTATAGGGAGAGGAAGAGTGCTCACCCCTCTCATGAAGGAAGTTGAGGGCGAGGGAGATCTCGGCGGAGTAGAAGCGGGCGTGCTCCTCGGGCAGACGCCGCTGCCGCTGCATGTGAAACATCAGGTCCCCTCCTCGCACAAACTCTATCACAAAGAACAGCCTGCAAAGAAGACAAAGAAAGGGGGGCTTGGCGGAATGAATCACCTCTGCGACTGTGCCACACTTCTCAACTAAGACATTCCGTGAAAGAGTTATGATTTGTTTAACGATCTTTGACGTAGATTTTCAAAACATAAATTAATTACTGTAGTCAACATGGTAGAGAACAACACACAGGGACATGAACAAAGAACAATGCTCATCAATTGGCCCAAAAGCTACCAGCATGCACAGTGGCCAAATGAATGTGTCCTCAGGTGAGGACAGTATGTGACCAAGCATGTGGACATGTTAGAACCTAGCACCCGTGTACCAAACATTTATGTTGGACATGATACATCCCTAGCACCTCTCATCAGAGAAATACAAGCATCATTTTAAGTCGCTTGCTGAAAAAGTAGCTTTCTAAAGACACAGGTCCCATTGGTTACAAAGCCATCTGGCAAGCATCCCACTGCCAGCAGAGTACAGTCGAACCCATTCATAATGAACCCGGGAATAGCGAAATATTGGATATAGCAAACTAATTTTCATGTCACGCTCCTGCTGGTATACTATCAATGTAAGTTAAGCCCACTTCTGATGTACATAAGCTTCAACATAAATTTAAAAAAAAAAATCTTTTGTCCTTAATCGCAGCGCGCTTCGGCGCCGGGCGACTTCTTCCACAAAATTCACGGCGCCCTTCGCGCTCGCCGGGTTTGGCTTCTTTGCAACGCACACCTCGACGATGACCGATCTCGCGAAGTCTGGCGTCGAGCGCAACAAAGAGAAAAGAAAGGCGGGCAAAAGAACAAAATGCGCACGGGAAGGGAAGGGAACGGAATCCAAGTTCAGTCGCGTTGAACCCAAAACTAATCTGGCGTGGTCAGAATTCTGCACACTACCACTGAAATTAGAGCAAAGAGAATGAGGGGACACTAGTTTTTGTATGGAGTGTCTTTCTCTTCCATCGCGCGACCCCGACTGTTCAGCTGCCTCCTTTACATCGAACACACACTTAACCCGCCTCTTCTCGACATCGACTCGGCCCGCTTCATCGCATTGTAATCGTTGACAGTGTTGATAGTGCACCATCAACGCTGTCAATGATTATCAAGAATGGCGGCAAGATTGACAGAGTCCTCAACCATGATGCTGCCAATGGAGATTGGAAGAAGATCCAGAAGGCGACGTATTGCGACATCGAAGAGGCGCTCTACAAGTGGTTCCTCGACACCTGTGCGAAAGCTGCTCCTCTAGGCGGGCCAATTCTAGTGGGGAAAGCTTGGGACCTGGGGTTTGTCTTGAAACACAATGATTTCAATCTCGGAACTGGCTGGCTGCAACGACTCAAGGATTGCCACGGCATTGACTGCAAGAAGATTGTCGGCGAGGCTGCTACCGTAAGCGACGCGTCCCTTCAACCCTGGCTTCAGGAGAACCTCCAGAGAATTTTTGCCACCTGTGCAGATAGAGACATTTACAATGCGGACGAGACCCGGTTGTTTTATCAGCTGTTGCACACAAAGACGCCTGAAGCCAAAGGCGACAAATGCATTGGCGCGAAGCTCAGCAAAGAACGGTCAAGCTGTTGGTATGCGCCAACGCCGACAGATCCGACAAGCAGGAGCTGCTTGTTATCGGGCAGCCCAAGAAACCCCGTGGCTTCTTGGACATCCTGTCCTTCCCCGTCAAGTATGTCGACAACAAGAAAGCGTGGATGATTGGGGATCCGTTTCCGTGATTGGTTGGTCGCGTTCGACAAGGACATGGTCAAGCAGAAGAGGAAGGTGCTGTTATTGCTTCGTAACTGCAGTGCCCACCATGTGAACCTGCTCCTGAGTGCTGGGGAGGTTCTGTTCCTACCTACCAACACCACTGCAAAGCTCCAACCAATGGACCAGGGTGTGATCGCAAACTTGAGAGTTCACTACCATATCCACCTGATCGAACGCCTGCTGATGGATATTCGTACCAACAAGACTCCAAAAGAATGAAAAGTTACAATGGCCAAGGTAGTGTATTTCGCCAGTGGAGAGAGATGTCAAGCATGAGACCATTGCCCATTGCTTTGAGAGCGGAGGCTTCTTCCGAACACGGGCATCACAAGCGAACGACACGGCTGAGGCGACTACAGAAGGCAGTGGAACTGAAACTGCCCGCGAGCTCTCTGCACCCCTGGGCCCGTTTTCTCGAACGCGAACCGTGGGTTAAAGTTAACTATTGTCCCTAGAAGGGGAAATTCTAGGTCACGTGATTGGGCCAGTGATTGGGAGAGCAGGGGCGACGAGGGAGGAGCAGTACCTACAAGCAAAATGGCCGCGGCGTCGCTTAAGGGGGGACACTACCCAAAAAAGTAAATTTTTGAACCACTTGTCTGATTTAAATTATATTTACAGGGCTTGTTTCTGTTGATGTTGATAACATTTCTGCCAATTTTTGTTAACCTGGGTGAAGTACAAAAAAAATTGCAAACGTTCAAAGACGAAAGTGGGCGCGTCTGCTTAGGAAAACTATCGTTTTGAAATTACTTATAAATTTGTTGTTTTCATGTGTTACATTGCCTTAGGACAGTTCAGAGCAGATAACTATGGAGCTATATTTCTATGTTATAACATCTTTCATGACAAAAAAGCCACATAAACACAAATACAGTTTTTAAGATTTCCATCCTTTGTCCAAACTTTTAGTTCTTAAGCATGAAAAATGACAAAAATAAAAAATACAAGCTCATAGTTATCTTCCCCTTAAAATTTCACCCCAGAAACACTCACAAAAAGGATTCCAAGTTGCGTAATAACAAAATGATAGTTTTCCTAAAGTGAAATTTATGCCAGAAAATGGAATGGAGAAAAATGCGTTCAAAGTGCTCCAACCTCTACCTTTTCTTTAGCATCAGTGGACCGAAAATAATTTATAAAAAATTAACTATGCAGTGTAAACTAATGAAACTTTCTGGCAATACTCTCTAGATGTTGGTGGATGTAAATATGACATTTTTCAAAATCAACTTTTTTTGCAGAAATTGTTTTTTCTGGGTAGTGTCCCCCCTTAATGAGGGCTAATAGTTCTGCTTGGTTCTGCTGAACATTCATTTCGGTCCGGCTGTTATAATAATAACGCACCATCAACCTATTAGCACGTCAAGCAAATCGGTAGTTCAGAGGTACTACTAAACTAACCGACGGCAGCACTCCGCGGGTGCATCACTCTTCAGCAGTCCGGGATCCAAGACATATGAGGGTACATAAGCCTTGCAAGTGTTTTTATGGCGAGTAAAAAAATGTTTTGTGAACAAGTGTTGGTATATATTTATACTAACACGTTTAATTTGTTACACTATGCACACCAACTCGTGAGCAGCGATTACTTTGCGGAGAAAGGGGGTTATCCTCAATAAAGTCTTCGTTCCAGGTGAACAGCTGGGGCTTTGTCACCTGTTATGTTTCTCTAGTCATAAGCTCTCTTTTTCTCAGTCCGTTGAAAAGCTAGTCACAAGAGACTGCCGTATTTACCATGCCATGCTTCGAAGCCGTGCCGGCCGAATGTATGCAACCTGCTTATTTGCTGCTCCTCGCTTTCCCGCATTGTGCAAATTGTCAAAAGGAGAAGCGCACCTCCAAGCACGTTAACACACGCGTGCATGGCCGCAATTGTGATAAACAGAACTGCGGCTTTACTATAGTTACTTTACAGTGAAAATTTACAAAAGTAGGACAGTTATTATAAAAGCCTGCGTTATATGATGCATGCCACCAGTTGTCCTGTGCATAAAACAAATCGTGACTTTTTTGTAGATTTCAGATGTAACGAATTTCGGATATAACATATTTCTGATTCGTGTTGACTTCGTTATAACCGGGTTCAACTGTACAATAAATCATATAAGCACAAGATATCTTAAATCATACAAGCACAACATATCTTTGTTATATTTTTACCTTGTAGACTCTTCCTCCCCCCTCCCCCTAAAAGGAATGTTTTGTGGGACCAAAAACCTAGATACATGCTTAAAATGAAAGAACCCCACACAATTTTGTTCAGAGCATAATGCTTTCAACAATGAACTGCAATTTCAATCTGGCTTCTTCAGAAGCATCAGCTTTGTTCTGGCCTAATCCACTCGCTCCCTTCATTTATCCCAACGCCCACAAACAAATTGTGTGCCTTTCTCTCCCGCGCATCCAAGGTTGTGAATGAAGTGACTGACCGGCTCTCTGTCTGGAAGCACGAATGGAGCCCTACAAGGAATGGGTAGTTGGACGCCGTCTCAAAGACATGCTTCTCCGTCTGGATCCAGTCAATGTCCTGCAAAGACAATGGAACACACAAGATCCTGAGCCAGACCTACAACGGGTGGACAGAGATCTAATACCACCACTCCACCCCAATGAAACCTTCACTGTACTTTGTTCGCCCGTTTCGCCCAGAAAAGACACTATCGGCACTGAGAAATAGGGCTAGAAAATTATCAGGCCACCTAACATATTTAGATTCTAAAATGCCTAGACTTTTCTAGGCCTGAAGCGACTTAGACCAGATTGAATCCTGATCAAAGTGTCCGCAATTCGACAGTGGCTTAATTAAAGACTTTTTCACGTTGGTCTAGTTATCTTGTATCACAAACTTCCGCTATGGAAGCAAACACCACATCGCTCTCACCATGCCACGTTTTAAACGCGACTGGCACTCATTCTTGTTTTGCCCCTTCTATATTTTATTTTATTTGTTCCAAGTTCTAAGGTACTCCTTTCTTCTGTCCCCCACACCAGATACGGAAACTATGTGGCTGGGGACGAGGGCGAACGTAAAAACCAAGCTTTTGGTTGCATGTCAGAAGACCCCCAGATGGTCCGACCTAATCATCAATCCTTCGCTGGGTTATGCTGGACATCCGTCGTTGTACTGCTTCAAAACCCTCGATTTTTCATCTCATTTCACAGGTGAAGCTAGCAAAAGAGAAAGAAAGAGAGAGGAAAAGACCTCGTCGTCGGTGACCAGCTCCTTCTTGATGATCTTCATGGCGTAGATGCGGCTGGTCTTGCGCAGCTCCACCATGAGCACCTTGGCGTACGAGCCACGCCCAATCACCCGGATCAGGTCAAAGTCCTGCAGGCCGTACTGACGGGAATCCCCAGACTCCACCTGCCGAGAAAACGCCAGGCACGTTCAATTCACTCATTGTTCCCGTTTGCTTTTAAATTTACGACAAGAAAATTCCGTGGCACATTTGATGGCATAGAGTTAACAGCAGCTGCAAATTTTCAATTGGTCTTGAAAAATTCTGCGGTGCTTCTTGTGGCACTTAGATTATATTCTCACACCTACCGCGTTTTTGTGTGCTAAGCACAGACACGAGCTTATTTTTTTTTTTCTATCTAGCTTAGCTTTCAAGAAATGCACGACTTTATGGCAAACATCCTCAAAAGGCCTTGCAACACGGAGAAAGCACGCATGGTAAAAAGCAGGGTGCACGCTTACGCCTCCTGGCATTTGGTCGTCAATGTCCTGTCCCAGTGGGGTGGCGGCCCCGGCCCCAGAGTCGGTGGTGGACGCCAGGGCCGAGCTTGCCCGCTGGTGGTGCACCTTGTGCCTCGGAGTACCCGCTGCACCGAGGGAGTAACCACGGGGCAACTCACCACCCCTCTCTTGCAAAAGTTCTTGCATAAGCGACACCCAGAACACTGACCATGCTACGTTAGCCCCTAAGCTGACGGTGCGCTGGAAGCTACATCCCTTGCTGGACCAATCGTACCTATCTTTCGTCGCATGAGCACGCTCCAATCTATATCCACATCCAGAGAGCAATTGTGAGTTCTTGAGAGCATCAAAGTGCATTAGAGGCTACAGATCACAACACCGTGTTAGCTGCCATGCCAAATTTTCTGGGGAGCTTTTTTCCACCAAGCATAGATTGCATTGGTATCGTGGTTTTCTGTGTTTTTGCACTAGTAGGGTAACTCTCCTGACACCAGGGACAATTTGGTGGTGGAGCTGATGTCTTTATTTTAAGAGCACAAATCATGCAAGCTATAGGTGTCATGTGGTCCACTAGTTACATGATCACGCTACTTGATCCCATTATGCACCAATTAATCACAGTGGCATGTGATGTCATTGTTGCAGCATGGCATCATGTGACAACACAATGCAGCATGATGTCACGTGTCACCACAATGCAACATGCTGACAATGTCATGTAAGCACTGCCTGCTTACTCCTCTTTCTTTTCTGCTTCATTTCTTCATTGATTTTTTGTAGAGCTGGCAGTATGAATATAAAGAAACATGTCATTCCCTTTGTAGTTCCAAAACACTTCTTATAACTGAAAGGGCCTATGAGTGAACTTCTTTAAAAACGATACCCAAAACCGAGAAAAGACAGCACAATGTGCAGATACAAAACTAGGTGTGTGTTTGTGCATTGTACAGTCTTTATTCAGGTTCAGGCTTTGATGATTAACCTGCACCACCTGGTTTGCACCCTTACAATGCACTTCAACTGAAATATTTTCCTCCTATTATATTACCTGCCACTGAATTACTCATTCAACTCTCCGCCACACGGTTAAATCCAACCTAAGGTTTGCACTGCGGTTAAGACAGACGGACGCACAAAATAGCGATGAGTAGTCCTGGTCGGATGTCCAAGTAACAAGGACCAAGAGAACTAACTTCGGTTGATTCCTCCCGTGCCATTGAAGGCGTCGCCACCATTGGTGGTGGTGTCGCCGGTCCTGGAGGGCGCCGGGGTGGTAGGCGCAGATTCCGCAAACTGGTCCTGGTCGTTCTTCTGGAATGGAACCAGAGACAACCTCTCACTGTGTTGCTCCGCCTAGCTCTGGGTAAACAGGTGCTGAGCTAAAAAGGTATTTTTCTCTTTCTCTCATCTGTTTAGTTCCCATGTGGTCCCTACAACCACAACTACCCCAAACACTCAGATAAGATTGAATAGTAACCAGAGCGAAAAACAGTAGAGAAGGGCTCTGCCATAGCAAAGTCAGGGAAAAAAGAAGCTTGCTGCAGTGCAATCCACTTATAATGATAATGAAAAAACCTGAAAATTCAATCGTTACAACCACAGTTCCATGTTTTCGGTTTTTATTTTTTCAAAATTCGGCATACTTTTTTGTGTGATTATTTTAAAATTCATTTTTCGGTTTCTTTCAGTGTATATTTAATCCTCAAAAAGATTACTGGTTCCTTTCGGTGAATATGAACGAAACACCATCGGACACCAAATTAGATGATTCTTGTAGCTGTGATATTTGTGATCACTCAAAGAAAAACGGCACATATACGTATGTGGTCTTTGCTGCAACTTCCATCAGGACAAACCTCAAAATTGCGGAATTCGCGGGCATAACCTTTAACGCGCTTCTTTTTCCTTCCCATTCTGACGACGTGACCATCCAAGGTGATGACCGTACAGGAACCAGTGGAATGACAAAAAAAAAATCTATTGTATTTATGTTCTCAACCACAGGGAAGTTTGAGAGAGGGTGTTAAGAAAACCTCGATGTCCTTTGAAGTGCATGAAGCGAAAAACCTCACATCTGAACTCTTTTTTTAAGACCAGGAACTTGGACACACTTAGCCCAATCACAGAAAGGACACAGATGTCCCGCAAAGGCCAATCCAAGACCTCTTTTGTTGCATGTTGAACCTTGGAAGATGGCAATAACGAAGACGTCACACAATATCAAACCTTGCAAAGCCCTCTTGCTTTCTCCCTCCCTCCCCCACCAACCTCAACGCAGCCCTAAAAACCAACCTTTTTCGGTAAAAACCGAATTTTAGAAAACGGATTAGACGTGCTTTTATCGGTTTTAACCGAAAACGCCGAACCTACAAACTGACCTTTTTCAGTTAAAACCGAATTTCCGAAAATGGATTCGGCGTACTTTTATCATTTTTTTTTTTTTTTTTTCAGTTTAAACCGAAAACTCTGAAACCTAGTTATAACCAATTATTGTATGTGGACTAGACACTGAGCATTTCTAGTCTAGAAACCCCACAAACTGATCGTTATAAGCAGTACATTGTTATATGTGGTATCATTAGAAGTGGATTGCCCTGCATACCTTTATCATTATTACATGTGTACTTCAAGTTCTTGCAGTAGCACTGCAACCCTGTTGCAGCATTTTATGGTGTAAAGTTAAGTTTAGGTAACCCTGCAACATTGGTAGTACCAGTCCTTGAGGCGTTAAAAATTTGTTTGTAGAAAAGACGCCTTTATTCTGTAAGCTTACTTCACTACAGATAATCCTGCTACACTACGCAAATGAATGTAAACAAGGTCCATCAACTACACAAAGTAAAATATCAGCTCGTAGTCTACATATCTCTCTAAAGTCGGAAGCACCACCAATATAGTCCAATGGGTTTGATAGCAAGGTCATCTCAGTTTGAGAACCCACCTGAAATTTGAGAACCACTATCGCTGAATGTTTTGTGCGAGTTAAACATTTTGCATACCCATTGAATAATAGCCAGACGACCAAACATTTATGACTTCCTTAAAAGAGCCAAAAGCATAAAATGTCCGAGATTAAATTACGGCAACTTTTGCACAAAAATCTCCACAATATATACGCGAGAACGCAAATTAGGAACGACACCCTCCCTGTCACCATCCTGTTGGGTTTTTTCTGCATTTCAATTACCATGAACTCCACATTTTTCTACCAGGGCTATCCTTCGTAGCTCCTCTGTTACTCTTAAAGATAAGAAATAAAGCTGACTGGACCGATGACATAATTATGCCTCATTAGCAACGCTGGCCCAGCCCTGACATCAAGAATGACGCAGCAAATAAACTGCCGGTTTCTTGCAGTGCCTTGTCAACCAACCGAGGCCATAATCGACGAGCTGCACACAGTCTACACACAATCATTCTCCACCACCATTTAAATCTTGGTAAAGGTGAAAAGATTTTACACTGTCACGTGACACTGCGAAGAAACATGGTCATGTAACATCATGTGATGTCAGAGTAAGATGTGACGTCACAATTTTCTAAATAAATTTAGCAGAAAATTTAGCAAGAAAACAATTCACGTAATGTTCCAATATCACGTGACACTGTGATTCGCCGCTAAATGTATCAGGGAGCATTTCTGACTAAGTTTTAGTGGGCCTTGACTCAACACCACACACCAAACACACCTTGGGGTCCGCTGTGAAACCTCGGCAATAACGGCTGTCGCTGTAAGAATAGCGGGGGGAAAAGAAAACCAACCAGGGGTCCCGAGCAGGCCAGCTTGATGAGCTTGTGGCACTTCTTGTGCACCATGAGCTTGCAGTTGGTGCACTTGAAGCCCTGCCGTCCCAGGCCCCAGATGCGGTCCAGGCAGAAGGTGCAGAATGCACGCTGGACAGACACACACACACAGATCCATTAAAAGATCAATCACCGCATCAACTCATGCTTGAATAACATAGAAATTGATTGATACTATTGCAGGTGCTCATTCCTCCCTTTGAAAAGATACAATTATACAAATGTATGCTACTGCGCTCTTCATATTTTCTACAAACTACCATACGAATGCTTGCCAGCACAACCACTTCCAAGACCAGAACTTCCCAATTTACCTTGATGACGTAAACACCTATAAAAAGAACAGTAGTTAGAAAGGCTTGCAAACAACTTGACGTGGTTCAAATGCAAAATGCTATGAAGAATACTTATGACGTAATTCACAAAGGCCTTTACTTCATGAAAGCTAAAAGCCTTTCACAATCCTTGTGAAAGGCTGCCTTTACTTTATGAAGCAATTTACTTCCAGGATTAAAAGGTCCCAATAGTACCTCGCTGAAATAAACACCCGACAAAACGTTAGCAAGACTTGCAGTAGTGTCGTGATGGGGTTCAAAACTCCAAGTTCTGGGAGGAATACTTATGTTGTTTTTCATAAGCCTTTATGAAATCCTTTGTAAATGCTTAAAACCTTTCAGAGACACTCAACTGTGTGGCAAATAAAGTAACATATGAGCAAATGAGGTTACAGAAATTGAGAAAAGGGCCAACAAGTCGGCCAGAAGGTTTACCCGGTTGAAGCGCTTGGCCTGGAAGATGTGACCATTGATGCGGTAGAGCTTACGCCACCGGCGAGCTCCCCTTCGGTAGATGCTCTCTGAAATGCCGCCACGGTTTTGCCACTTTGTCACAAGCTGGCGAAGGTTTCCAACAAGCATCAACAGCGGCAACAACCTCACGGAGGCCCGAGTTTTGTTCACAGGCAAGTCCAAACTACCGTAAAATACAGTGGAAGTGCCTAGTTCGCTCCCCCAAGCGCCCACTATTAACATTTCCCAAACTTGGGAATTAGGCAAATTATACATTAAGCACCCGATTTGACCAGACAAGCGCCCTTGCCTCGATCAACCCAGTTTTCAGTGAAAGAAAGGAAGGTGGGCGCTCCGCCGGTATTTTACCGTAGCCGGTGTAGTGACTACCATAAAATCCCGTAAGGATGCCCCCCCCTCCCCCGGGAGATCACCCATCCCGTTTTTTTGGCTAAATATCTGTAACATAAAAATTCCGAAACATTGCCCCCGCCCACCGCCCGCCCCGCTCCACATTCCCGTCGAACATCAAGCTACGTCCGGCGAGAATCGCACATCAACGGTGCGATCTGCGGCACCGGTACGCGTGACATTGACTCCCGTAAGACGCAAATTGTTTCCACGTGTATATTGCATCGTGAAATGCGAATCTGCTGCGCTTGCGATCTGCGGTATCCGTTCCCAAGTTTGTGGCAAATTCCCGCGTTTTTTCTGTGCGTGCGATATTGATTTCTAGCTGTAACAGGCGCGAATTGTTCCCGCGTGTGTACTGCATCGTGAAATGTGATTCTGCTGCGTTCGCGACCAGCGGCATTAGCGAGCTTGTATCAGATCCCTGCATTTTCGTACGCAATCTGTGAGCGCAATATCGGTTTCTGTAACGGGCAAGCTTGTAGCGGGTCCCCACGTGTTTATTTCACCATAAAACTTATATCTGCTGCGTCTGCAATCTGCAGTATCAGTTCCCAAGAGATGCGAGTTCTTGGCAGATTTCCGCGGGTGCCTCGCACCGTGAGACGTGAATCTGCCACAACCTGCAGTATCCTTTCCCGTGACACAGGAGTTTGTAGCTAATTCCCGCATGTTTATCGCATCGTGAAATGCGAATTTACCCTGTACGCGATCTGCGGTATCAGTTCCCGCGTCACGTGATTTATAGCGGGTGCACCGGTGCTTATCAATACTTTTCCATAAAGTTTTGCTGTGGCAACCCCAAAGACAGCCCACCCCATATTTTTTACCATTTATCTCATTTTGGGTGGGCGTTCTTATGGGATTTTACGGTATGCATGTTTGCATTGGGGGGGGGGGGGGGGGGGGGTTTGTTTATGAGAGCTTTCTCCGACAAAGGGGTCAAACTAAGTACCATGACCAACAACTAATAAAGTAGACCCCTGCATGAGTTGGTTCACGACTCGGAACAAAAAGTACAACAGTACCAAAACGACAAGGGCATAGGGATACAAGTAGAAGCACTTCTTTCACTTTTTGGTGTTATTTGAGCTGGTCACTTGCATAAAACTGCTAATCTAAACAATTCAAAGGATTACCGTAAAATGCCGAGCATCCGCCCACTCCACAATGAGCGCCCTCCCCTCAATTTTGTAACATTTGCAAGATACACAAAGGACATACCTTTACATATTGTTGACCTAAAGAGTGCAAATTCCCCAGTTTTCTGTGATTATCTCAAATTTTGAGCAGGTGCCTGCTCGGGATTTTACGGTTAGAAATGTGGTAAATACAGAAAGATCCAAAAAGAATTGAATGTAGGCTCACTGTCTTCTCCGGCACAGGGCATTCCAGGGGCAACAGGGACATTAGGAAAAACTGTACAGGTGTAAAAAAAAAAGCACAAATGAAAAAAAAAAAAAAAAGAAAATCTCGCATTACGAGTACATTTGTCGGTTTAACTGTGACAACAGCGTACCGTGAATTGTTATCTCAGAATCTTTGTTGAGTTCGTACAGGCGTATGGCTTCGTTGAGTTCCTCTTGCGTTGATATTGTGCATGGATCACCTAGGAAATGCATAAAAAAATATAAAGTTAAAAACAATTCATGCTGTGAGATTTAAAAAGACCTATGATACTTGGAAATGTTTATGTACGCTTGGCTTGAACAGACAACTAGCATTAAGAGCCAGTATAGAGGTAGGTAAAGATAAAAATGCTTTGCAATGCAGCCACTGAAACCGAGCTGAAACTTTTTGAGCTTTAACCCATCAAGCTCGACTTCAATGACTGTGGTGAAGTTTGCTGGACTTCAAGCTCTGAAACAGAAGTCTGGAAAAACACTAACTTTTTTTCTCTTTGGAAATGACAATTTCGTAATTTACAGTTTTTTCTTCTGATCTTGATTTTCTGGATCAATATTTGAGCCAAAATGTCAATTTATAATACCTGTGTGAGTTGAAATTTCATTTAAGTTGTCACCAAAACTGCACTTTATCAAAATACAAACATTTTGGCACTTTGCACATTTTTATGGAGGATATCTCAACATCTAAAACAAATAAAAATATAACTTCTTTTTTTTTTTTTTTTTTGCGAAGTGCAGCTATTTGTAAGAAACATACAATGTTGAGAGCATACTTTTGAATAGGTTTAGGAAATTTTTCTATTAAACTGTTGTTTTATTGCTCGGTAGCCAGACATTGAACTCCATTGCATTGTGAAGTAAATAATAATGGATTTATTTGAAAGTGCTTCCAACACTGCATTCTTCCTACTTTGTAGTACCAGCCTTGTGTTAAACATAATGAACAGTTTAAAAGCACTAGCGTTAAGGAGCTCGTGTGGCAGAAAAGCCGACTTCGACATCAATGGCTTTGTGACGGGAAAATATGATTGGTTGACAGGGTCACGACGTCACAGTCACATGACCTCGTGCAGTAATTTAAACAACTCACAACGTTCACATGAAAGGTGACGTCATGCGTGGAATGAAAGTTATTAAAAAACATGACGTGTAATGCGAATTAAAGGTCGCTGCATGTCTCAAATGACTTCACTTCATAAAGTAATTAATTTGCCTTAAAGAAAAATTTGAATTTTAGGCAGGATTCGAACCCATGACCCATCGGTTGCAAGCCAGACATGCTACTGAGTAGACCATGTTCGCCGCACTTCCTGCTCACTGCAAGGAAGAGCATGAGAAGGCGATGCGAACGGGGCCCGATAACGCTATCACGTTGCACTCTTAAAGGCGAAGCTTAAGCATCCTACAATCTTTTCTGGCTGTTTCTGCAAACAAAAGCAGGCAAGTTACAATTATATCGAGAACTAGTGCACCGACTAAATATAGATAAGATATTTTAATTAAGTCAGGAAACAATGAACAAGCTTATGCTGTTTCATTGGGTTCGGTAAAAGAAAGAATGAAAAAAGCTCCAAGACCAGTGTTCCCCCTTGAAGTCTTTCTTTTCTTTTGTCAAAAGCACATGCTTCTTCAATCTTGCATTAAAAAAAGAAACAAAATATTTGGGTTATATTAGATTGCCGTATTGCCTGCTTGCCCACTGAGTGCCTAATATATAGTCCTCCACAAATGCTAATGTGGCCATTCATTTGGGCATGTAAACGAGGACGTAAAACAGCAGTACCTTTCCAGAAAGTATGACTGAAGTGCATTTGGGGCCAGGTTAGCAAAAGAACTTGTATAAAGATGCCGATGCCCAGCAGATAGAGTCACAGTTCAGAAAGCAAATGCTTGTCTATCAGCAAGCAAATTCTATGCTTCCGTTGGGTGACCTCAAGAACACAAAATTATCGCTGTTATTCTTTCCTAGACATTGCCGTTCTGAAGTGGAAACGTCCCCTCCACCACCAAAAGGATATCAGTGGTATGGCAGGCTTCCTATCAGTCATGCACAATTTTGGCAGCTGGCAGGACTTTTTTTCCCCTCTTTTCTGCCAAACCTTCTACCCTCGGCCGCCGCTTCCGAGAAGTCACTAGGCCCGGGACAATCTTCCTTATCTCGGCCATTTCGGACCACGGCGCCGAGAAGTCGATTTCCCAAGTTGTGCCATTGAGATGCAAAAATACAGCCATGGCTTTCCACAACCGCGGGTTTACGCTCTCTAACAACTCTAATGTAATTGGTATGCAGCTTGCTACCCTAGCTAAATGCCAGAACCATTATCACGCAGATGCGGGCAAGAATGACTTGTGCAACAACCCTTGGAAGTGATCATACAAGATACACGCATACACCAAACCGCAAACCACTCGGAGGTGCTGAAGTTCAAGGTGACGCTCCTATCATTGGTCAACATACATGTGATAGCAACTCCTGCTGGCTTCAGCTGATATACAACCAGAAGTTTACATTGATGCAATATTCGTGCCAGGCAAACTCAGGTGTTCACTTTAATTTAAAAATTCACTAAAACAAAAATAAACAAAAAAAGCCTTTATTTTTAAAAAGCTTTTCGGGACACTTTTTTTTTTAATTTTTTCATGAAATTTTTTTAGCAATATTTCTGTTGTTAGACCTAAACCTTAATATGTGTAAAAACATTACTCAACATTTCTCCCGTGGGACTACAATGCATTCGCATTCCTACACGTAAGCAGTCGTAAGTGTACTCCTGTAATTGTTTTTAGCAGCCATGTCATTGGAAGTTTGTTTGGGCAGTTGGGAGAGGGACCCTAATGTGGGGGAGACCCAAATGCCGAAAACATGCGTGTTTATATATGTTTTTGTACAGTTCAGTGTTTGTGCAGTGAATGCTCTTCCAGAGTACTAGCGGCGCGGCGTTAGTTTTCGTCACCTGCGGCGGCGCCGCCGTCGCAGTCACTTCTCCCCATCAACAAGTGCACATACACGCCTATGCATTGTGCACCCTCGTAGGCATAAACCATCTGTATGTATGAGTGCATGCACCCACATTATGGTGAAGAGGCTCCCCTCAGGGGTGTTTTTCCTAAACAGTTCCTCACAGACCGCAAAAAAGACGGCAGTATTTTTTAACATTTTTTTGTTGTATGCAGCAGGAGTGGAAAATTTAGAACTTCATCTGTTTTTTTTGTCCGAAGCCGTCACACGTTTCCTTTCCTTTTCAACTTTGACACATGATTCTGTCTACTGCTGCTTGCCATTTTTATTTTTCTGTTCTTTCCAACATGCGGGTTTAACCGCAAAAAGAACGATGAGGGTGATATTTTTTATTGAGCTGCCTAGACCCGCAAATTGGTCCAACTTAATATTAGCAAAAAAAAAAAAAAGGATATTTACTGCATTGACTATTGGGTACCGAATCAAACATGTCTAGCAGTGGCAAGCGAGCTGCCATGCAGTGCAATTTGTGAGCTATTCACACTGTGCGAAAATAAAGCGAGCCTCGGCAGGCCCGTGAAAATTAGTGTTGGGCCGGGCCGGCTGTCAAAAATTGACAATGGGCAGAGGGCGGACCCAGGCCCATGAGACGTCGGACCAGGCTGGGCCGGGCTCCTAAATACCGGCCCGTGCAAACGTCTACATAGAGCTACCGCTTTTACTGACTTGTTATCTTTTACTGACTTGTTATCTTTTAACAGTTTTAGGAAAGCAGATTTATATTTAAAGAGCCAGTGACACACAATGACAAGTATGATACGCAGCCAGCGAAATAGCTAGGCTATCCAAGACCCGGAATTCTTAGGTCTTTTGTTGTCGCTTGCCCCCGCCCCGCCCCGCCCACTGCCCCCCCCCCCCCCCCCCCTTTTCACTCCGCGACATTGCAAAGGTAATTCAAAGGGGAAGGCACCCCGTGTGACTGGGTTGCCTGATACATGGGGCCCACAGTGCCCCGGCTCCCCCGTTATTATGCCACCAATGATAAGCTCTTAGACTCCACTCTACAAAAAGAAAAATAAAGTATCTTGCCCGATGCTACTACTACATTTATCGAAACCAAGGCCTTGATCAATTGTTTTAGTTTGTTTTCTTGCATTCAACTGCATAATTTCATAGGTGCTCAAGCAATCAGCCTGTGTGATACCAGATAAAGAGTGTAAGAGCAGAGGTCAGCTAGCAACATGGAAAAGCCGGGACGAGTCTTCAACCAGTGTGTTCAGTGTCCCATACTGCCAGTTCGTTGAAGCGCTTCTGAAGTGGCAACAAAATATCTCGCAGAAGTTTGCACCTCATGATGCTGGATGTCATGATCCAAAAGGACCAGTGAAAAAGGCAAGCGGACGTAAGCGTCGCTGTCTTCACGACATCCTAACTTGTGGCCGCTCAACTTTCTCTTGACTGACCGGCTGCAGAGCGAACCACGGGAGAACAGGCGACCGCCGCGCCTACATCCACCTCCGTGCTACCAAGATGAAGGGCATCAAGACGAAAAATAAGATCTTCAAACACCACCAGACGACAGACTCTCTTAGGCAGTAAGTCCCCGGACCTTTCCCCTCACCTTCTTCGTCGACCCACTTCATTGTGAAGGGTTGCTCCTCGTTGAACTTGCAGATGTCCCTCATTTCCTTGCATAATTTCTCCAGGGCGATCGCCGGGTCGATGTACATCACCATTATTTCACTGAAAAAAGAAAAGCGGAATCGTCCTTCCATTATGCTAGCAAGACACACCTGTCATTTCGTCCCTATCTCCTGTCCTCTACGAACATACTTCTTGAGGAAATTCATCGCCTCATGTTACGGGGCATTAAAGAAAATAAAAACCAATACATTTCTGGTAGTTTAGCGGTTAGCACACCTGCCGAGACAGTGGGAAGCCCAAAGTTCAAATCCTGGCTCCGCCGTTTATTTTGACTTTCGGCAGTTTCGTAAAACTTTGATCCATTCGGTCAAGTATGGTTCATTCATCTGCATATTTCTGATTATATATATATATATATAGGAAAGGGTGGGGAGGGGTGAGGAGAAACCAGTGATTGATGTTTTTGCCCTTGGTCCACTGCTTCAATAAAACAGTTCTGCTGCTCTCTCATTCTCATTATTTCCCTCCTCCTGCCTAGGTAATAGCAAGAATTAATAGAACTAGCAATCAATTCTTGAAGCAACGAAATTTCTATTAAACATCAACACATCTAGTGACCTGCATTACCATAAAAAGCTGCCAAGAAAAAAAAAAACAAAAAAAACAGCCTTAGAGGCTAACATGCAGCATAGGAAGCTGCAGTGTCAGGGAAGGGGGGATTGGAGAGACTTGGTGAATTTTTCAACCTCAGGAAAGATGGCAGAAAGCAACGACAGAGTTTGCTAATGTCGGTTCCGCAAAACAAACAAAATGTTTAGCGTTCAATATACCGAGTAATTTGCTACCTTTGGCATTCATCTTATTGTCCTTACATGGCAAACACAGCATTGTCTTCCATCTCAAAAGGATGCTGAACCGAAATCTGGATTCCACAAAACACGGGGGCAAAAGCGTGCAACGGGATGCTACAAACACCAAAACATCACTCATACAGCGATGTCTTGAATGGATGACCATATTTTTCAAAAAAAGGAGGCGCATTTGACAGATATGTTTATGTCTTGTTTTTCCGATAAGGAGAGGGAACGGCCTCGCATCTTCTCCACCTCACTGCCTTGAGGGGGCCAAGCGAAGAGAGGAGGAGACAATATATTTTGACGTCACGCGCCTCGTCGGCCTTGTTCAATCTCAACCTCTTTTTTTGGAAAATATGGCCATCCATTCGAGATATTGCCTTACGAGTAGTGTTGTAGGGATCGTAGCGTCCCGCCTCCATCTCCTGCATTGCTTTTTTTTTTTTAAATCCAAATTTCAGTTCACCATCCCTTTAAAGCAAGCATGGCACCTCCTGTGGTCTTTTCACCTTAGTGGCTTCTGGCATAATCAAAGGAGGCAAGAAAGGAAGGACATCACTGTTTTTCATCTCCTCGGTCTCAAATTTTCACCATGAACCTATATCAACTTGCCTGCCTTATCAGATCACCTTTAAGCAAAAGTCTTTGTCAAAAAGGTGTGCTTTATCTCACACTGAGCCCAACAATGTTTGACTGCAACTGAGGTTGAGCATTGTTGAGAGGGCTGACAATCAATAGGATGCTGACCCACACTTCCAAGGAATACATCCTGGCATTATCAACTCTTTCTTATGGAGGTACTTTATAATTTCTTAAACTACTATGCAGGTGCTGAGGGGTAATCACTGCTTTGTTCACAAGGACATTGTCAAACACGGTATGACTATGATAAATACTCCTTTCAGTCCTTAGGTATTTTTTACCAAGCGCCTCCGTGCAGCACTGAAGGAGTCTCAGGCACCTAACTTGGGAAAAAGTTGGATGCATGTATGCCTTCCTGACATCCTGTGCAATCCTCTGGTGGCTTCACCTTCAAATAGTGGTGCAATCAAAGCCACAGGTGTGCACTCATGCCCACAACTCTAGTGTTTCATCCAACTACTGATTGCACTACATGTGAGTGAAATGGCACAACTTAGCATCCATTGCAAAAAACCACTGCATAACCTTAAACTGAAAGCTGGTTGTGAACAGAATGTTGATTGAACCGGAATGGAATTAAACCGAAAACCGGCACCAAACCGTCATTTTTATCCGAACCGGAACCGTACCGAACCAAACTTTTTGCCACCACTATGGAACAGAACCGGAACTGAGCCGGAAAAAATTATAACGGCAACCGGTTCAGAACGGTTTACAATAATTTTTCTTCTTTTTTTTTTTTTTTATGTATCACAAAATGATTATTTGAGAATAAAAAATTGGCAGCTGTATTTCTGTGTATTGATCAAATCATCAACATAGAGAACTACAATGCATGATAAATTCTGGGTTTTCGTGGCGCTTTTGCATTGGCCTGTGATTAATCATATGTCACGTGGTCATGTGACGTCAAGACGTGATGTCAAGTAATGTCACGCCATGTGGCACAGTGAAGTCACTCGACATACTCATGTGGCTCACAGCGTCAAATCGATTTAAATTGAGAATGTCACTAGATTTATTCCCGTTGCTGACACCGTGACGTCACATGACATCACGACTTCGCACCACAAGTCATGTTGCACGCTGAGGTACTCACTCGTCATGAGCTCGAGTCGAGTGCTCGGGTTCATGACAATCAACATCGCCAACATTCGCGTAATGGCTCGTGTTCAATTAAAGATGAGAATAGCCGAACTCTAGAAATGTCTGAAGCTCAGTCCATGCCCTAGGTTTGCTAACCCCAGCGTATGACTATGATGAACACTGACGGCCCGTCAGTTCACGTGTCCACTTATTCTAATAGACTACTTCCATAAAGCCCTGCATGCAACACGGCGCGCATTGCACTCTGGGAACTAGTTGGCCAGGGAGGAGAGTGTCATGGTTTCGGTTTCGATCGACACGACGACAAGAGATTACACACCGAGCATGGACTATTAACGGCCGTTATCTCATGTTTTCTGGCCCCGAGAGCGTCATTGGTGGTCTCTAAACTAACCTAGATGGTCAGACCTCGAAGCTTTAGCACAAGCCCGAGACGTATAGCCTTTCTTAACGCATGCTTGTTGTATTTTTGTACTTGAGCCTTTCCGTTAGCGTTCCAATCGAGGTATGTGGACGAGCCAGTGCTGGGAGTCTCAACGCTGCGAAGCTCGGGTGCTCGGGGATCTTGCTTGTGTACGAATCAACAAGCTGTAGCAAACAATAAGTATGCATACATCGAGCTCGCGCCTTTACATTAGTGTTGTTGATCAGGAAGTTTTTTTCGTGCGTCCATAGACGAAATATAGCTTTTTGCAATTATCGATTTTCTTAATACGCCTGTGTACGCGTGGTAAAACTCGGAGGTGCCATTGAATTATACCACACTTCTTATCTCTTATCTGTACTGACCCGCAGCACTGCACGAAGCGAAGCTTTCCCCACCCATTTGCATTTGACTAATATTCAACATCGCGTATGCGCGTAAAGTTATCCTGCAATCGTATAGGCACATTCGCGCATACAAACCGTTTTAAGAAAGCAAAAGTCGAGCACTTGTGTGCAAAATGTCACATTATTCGCCAGAAGTACGCCGGACGGGCATGAACCCCTATGCGGTGCGCCAAACAAACGAAATTATTCAAAGTGCATTTGGCGGTTGCTAATGTCCATAATATGTGTTATGTGTTTGCTTTCTTCCTGCCCGAGTATGCCGAGATAATTTCAGACAGACCGTTCAGGCACAGATCTTCGGCGTCAGTAAAAGCTCGTCCAAAAAGGCTTAGCGAGGAGTAGGGGACGCTTGGTCGTAGCTAGCCGAGGCTCAGCGTTTGCGAAAACTTAATCTTCTATCAGCATAAAATATGACTGGGGGATATATGATGACACGAGGACGACATCATAGTAACTTTGGTGCAATAGTGAGGTCGAATTTATTGCGTTTCCTTAAAAGTTCATGCGTCAACGCTGGGCTCAACTTTGATACTCCTGTGAGGATGCGGCTTACTTTTCGCCCAATGAAGTAACAAGAAGCGGACGTTTGGCAAACAAAATACGTGTAATGCTCCAGGTGACCGAATTTCACTTGTAGTTTACTGGTACTAGACGGGATTATTGAAATTGGACTCAAAGATGAGGTGACTAAGCCACGTCTTACTACGTTTGCATACGCACTCATAATATCCGGTGTTTCGGGAACCAAGGAAAGTGCCCCGGCCTTCGTTTTGTATCGCTCGAGAATGAGTGCATTGTACATTCGGAAAAAAAGTCAGATAATCGAAAACGCAAGCAGCGCGTTCGGTCAATACCACCTAGAAGACAAGGCCTGCGCATGACGTTTCGTTAGTAGATCCCCGACCCGCCCCGAGCGGCAAACAGCCCGAAGCTTGACGAGAGTAGGGGCCGCGTCGCAACTACGTCGCATTCACTTGCGGCCGCAGCTGTGTGCGTGACTGCTGTGCGCGAGCTGATAGCGAGCTTCCAATGCATTTGCGACGTGCACGCGAACGCTCCCTCGGCCAGGAGCGCGAGCTAGCACGCGCTCCTGGCTTTGAGACGCGCATTTCTAGCGCGCGCGCTCGTTCTGCGGTAGAACGCTTCGAAGCTAGCTACCCGAGTTATAAACAGCGCCCTCGAAAATGGCCTCCAGTGTCAGCGTCCAGCGTCCAACGAAGGGCTTTTCAGCCCTTTGCGCAGCAGTAAGGCAATTTCGCTCATGCATTTGACGCTCCACGTGAACGTCTAACTTCATCGTATGCTATTTGCAAGAGACACTCGGCGTGAGCATCTGTTTCATTATCTGTTACACAAACCACTGAAGCAGGCGATGGAGCAGACGATGTAGCAGACGATGTTGCTCATCCGGGCTAGCTAGGGGGCGCTGAGGGGATCTACTAGTGATGACGTTTAGAGGAGGAAACGCGCAGGCCTTGTGTTCTAGGTGGTATTGGTTCGGTCGCGCCGTGATAGCATGAGATGAATCTGCTCAGGCGAAACCGAAACTGAGTGGCCAATTAGTTCCAGAGTGCACTGCGTGGTATTTCGCCGCATTGGGGCGCGTCGGTTTTGGAAACAGTCCATTGTGAGTTGAGGAGGGGGAGTTGTTTTTTTCCTTTATTCTTTCTGTGTCTGCCATTGCGTGGAGAGGAAATGTAATGGGTGTTTTTGCAAGTTTTTGACGTCAGGGATTAGTTCTTAACAGTATTCACTGAAAGTACAAAAACCGAAGCACGACCCATTTTACACATACGCATCCTGAGTCACCCAAACATGTTTTCGTTGTTGCTGAACTGTTTCAGATAGTTGTCCCTGAGAATAGAAACATTGAAATGGCCGAATATGACTTATTAATCCGACGTTACATAGGGCTACAAGTGTGTATGGGAGGGATACCTGAGAAGAAAGATCCTAGTGGCCTCAGACAGACAGCTGAACGTTGCCAGCTGCACTAACTCTTACCGGAGTGTCATTCTCAAGTTCTTCCCTCAAGCTTCGACCACCTCCATATTTTGTTTAAACTTCAGTTCGAGGGTGCAAAATAATAGCAATGGAGGATTACTGTTAACAAGTGTCACAAGTAGAATTGTCAAATTAGCACCCCGTGAAGGGAGGAGGGAGCCCCTCAGGATAAAAAAGTATTCCTTGGAGGAGCAATGAAAATTAAAAAAGAGGGGGTTGGGGGTAGTTTTAAAAACATACTGTTTTGTGAAGGTTCCTCTGCCCAGATCTTCAGCACAGACCAGAAGGCGTGACCCCGGAAACTACTTTGTTTGCAAAAATAATCTTTCCAGAAAGCGCATTTTCGTGGTGCCAGATGCTAGCGTTGTTCCACACAACGCTGCACCAAGCAAGAATAATTTGTGAATCTCAAATACATGGCATGGCACTGAGCAAAAACCCCCTGCAGCATGCATTTTGCCAGTGTTGGGAAGTAAACTAAGTACATTGTACTTAAACTACTACTTCAAGTAGATTTAGGAAACCTGTACTTTACTTGAAGTACATTCTCTGGGTGTGTACTTGTACTTTACTTAAAGGGCAACTCCAGTCCATACTTTCGATTTTGGGATTATGACTCTTCTTAGTGCAGTCAGCGTCCCTGAATTGCAAGGTGTAATTTTTTTCTAGTTATTGTGCGTAGTTTTAAAGATATCGACGCCTGAAAGTTTTGTTTGGGGTGCGGCCAACAAAACCGAAACTAGCCGCTCGAGACCCTGGCAACACTGGAAATCAGCCGATATGTGAACGTGACGTCACGATCGTTCTCGTTCAACGAGTACACAGGCCTAGCGCCACCTACCTCTGTTGCGCTAGCCGTCTAAAGATAGGAGGTAAGCTGATTTTGTTTTAATTCTGTATACGTGGTAGTTATCGACCATATGTAGCAAAAGTTAGTGCGTATAACCAAAAGCTAGCGACTGGAAAACCCGTGAACTCATACGGTGCCGTACTCGGCGGCCACCGCCGTGCGTGCGCTATGCCGTACTCGTCGCTTGTATACCTAAAAGCTAGCGACTGGAAAACAAGTGAACTTGTTCGGTGCCGTACTCGGCGGCTGTTGCCGTGTGTGTGGTCTTCCGTACTCGTCGCCAGGCCTAAATTGTCATCTGGGCTTCGTGGATGGAGCGGCGTTGCTTTACGCGGCGCTGCCACTGACGTACAGTACTGGGGGCCCTCTCGCTTTCGAGCTGCAAGTCAGTCCCAGAGACAAAGGTTTTAGGCTCCGGCGCGGGCCGCGGCGCCCGAACACACGTGTGCTGGGCTGAACACGACTGCTTTTCGTTGTTTTTTCCTCGGGTGCGTAAAAGCCGAAGTCCAAAGTCCACTCGTCGAACAGCGTTCACCCACACCTTCTCCAATTTCCGGTCCGTCGGACACTTGTGAAAAAGCACCTCCGTGTTGCGCAGAGGGTTGTTTGAGCAGCCCACAGCACTACAAGTTGCACTCGGCATCTTTCGAGGAACAGCTGGGCAGTCTTGGGCTCACCGAGTTGCTCGCTAAAACGAGTCTTAAAGTCCTCACAAGCAAATTAACAAAAGGCTATACCGAAGCTACACGGGCTACAGATAAAAGCAACGGCTAAACACGCCAATCACAAGCCGAAGTAGCGGTGGTAGCGGCTCAAAGAAGCGCACTTTGCGCAACGCCCGCACCGGAGGAAAAAAAGAGAACGATACGGACATCACGGCGCAATGTTGCTTTAGCGATCGGCAACCCGCTGGCCGCCCGCTAAGGAGCGGCGGCTCGCGGCGGGTCGCATTTTTGTTATCGGCATTAGTTGAGAATGCGGCGTCCTACGGACGTAATATTTTGGCCGGAGTCGTATTTTGTGTCACTACAGCGATACCAGTAATTTATTTAATTTTGAGTTTTGGCCGGAGTTGCCCTTTAAAGAATTTTTTTCTGGTACTTTCCGAGGAAAGTACAATTCCCGACTTCAAAGTACATTCCCTAAATTTGATGATGTTAAATTTTTATTGTGAAATGATGCTTTGTCAACTCCGAACAAATGCTGGGAGGGATATTCTACTCTATCCAGAAACGTGAGCAGACGAAGCATCGCTTTGTTTGTTCTGGGCGTGGCTTTCCCGTAGCTTTTTGAACTCTCGCTACTTTTTGGTCGGTCAGTGCGAGCAAGGAGGTTTAAAATATTAGGAGAGTAATATTAATCATAATGTAGAACCTGAGACTGTGGTGCAGAAAAATTAAATTTTCAAATCGAAGGAAAACACAGCAGAGGGGAACATACATCACAATGTTTTGAGACATTCTCTTTTGTCTTTTCCTTCGACTTGAAAGTTTCTTAATTTTTTCGCACCCCAATTATCACCAGCTCGCTTGCACACTCACTGTTTTTTGTTTGTTTTTATTGATGAGAGGACACTTTTTTATGAGAAAATTGTTTGCGGAAGCTATGGGGCTGACATCATGCTCTCTGCTAGTAAATTTAACCCCTTTGGGTGCAACAACCCAGTGCAAGCGCGCCAAATTCACAGGAGAGACTTCCGAATTTGGCTACATTCCTGAAAATAACTATTCTGTGGCCACTTGACTTTATGGAGTATTCACCGCTGTTTTTAAAAATAGGCAATGCACCCCTGATTACCTCTGAGAATGCATACCATTAAAAAAATCACTGTATAGGGGAATGAATGAGCATCATGAAAGATTGTGTTAAAATGCTTGCATTTTACTTTGAAAGTACATTGTACTTTACTTCAAGTACATTGCACCCAGTGTACTTACTACTTTACTTGAAGTACATCACATCTAATTTACTTCGTACTTTACTTGAAGTACTTTTTAGATGTACTTTACCGAACACTGCATTTTGCACTACCTGATTTGATTTCTTGCTCCCCGGAATTGAATTGAGACTGAACCAAAAGCAGTGAACCCGAACCCGAACCGATAAAAAATTCGGTTCGACACTCTGGTTATGAATGGAAGTTGTGATACATAAGGGAACTACAACTACAGTTCAGACAGGTGCCTCGCAATCAGCGATTTCTCTCCAATTTCAGAAACAAAACCGCAACAACGGACGCTGAAACGGAACTAACAAAACACGGCGAAAAAATAAAATAATAAAAATAACGGCCATAACGTAGACAGCGAATCAATACAGGTCACGTGCTGGCTTTAAATAAACCTTCGGGCTTTCGTCATTAAACGACGCCAACCGACCGGGCTCCCTTATGAGTTTACGCGTGCCCAGAGTGGAAAAACTCGAGCCCGAATCAATGGGTAGATTGTCGTCTTGGGCGCGACCGACTTTGCCGCCGCCGCCGCCGAGACGGGACGACGCGCCTCCGCGGGTGCGGTCACGGAACACCGAGCAACAATTTGCCGTGACCGCGTGAACGAATTGCCGTGCGCAAACAACACCCAAACACTCCTGCAAACAGGAGCAGAGAGAAACAAGCGGAATGAGCGGGAGTCTAGGCGCTGCGCTCTGCCTTCGCGCTTCGGTGGGCCTTTGCGGTGGCCAACGACGATTTCACGGCACGGGCTGCACTACGGCGTGAGAGCCGCGGACATCGTGCGAGCGAACGGGAGATTACGTGTGGCGAGCCAGTGAGGATCTTGCAAATACGATACGCGGCAAGACTTGGGGTCTAAAGGAGGACAAACAGAATACAGCAAACAAAATTAATATGAAAAGAAAAAAAAAAAAAAGCTTTTTTTTTTACTCGCGGCTCAAAAAGAAACGTCTGAACCCGCGTCAGGTTTCCAGCAGCCGTCAAACACTGCTTAATTAACCGCAAAACTGCTGTTTCCATAGTACATGGGCTCATCTAAAGCGGCACAATAAAATCTTGTTTGGAAAATTAAAATCAGTGAGGTTGAAAAAAGAATAGGGAACGTGAAAAGTGCGGACGGGTGGAAACCAGCGCTGGAAACCAGCGCTGTCAACAGATGCAGCGCTGACACAACCAACGGTTTCGGAAATCTGTTGAGGCTGACAGCCGACAAACTACAAACGGGACAAAAACCAAAAGCGATGCGCTCACCCGTTGTATGCCGTCTTGACACGGATCTCGTTACCTTCACCGTCAGTCATCTTGAAGCCCGATTATTAGCGCAATCTAAATGTGATTGAATCAAGTCCGCTCCTGAAGCAACAGCAGTGGTGGGGGAAGGCAGTTCGCCTTGCGTCAAAAGCGACGTTCCTTTGAGAGAAGAGCTAGTGGAGACTCCAGCGTGCAGTTTGTGACATGTGTTGGAGCGTTAACGAGCGCCCTGACATTTTGATCGAGTTCCTACGGTGGTTGCTGTGCGCATAAAGGGACCTAAATTACCGTGAACGTGCTTCAATGAGTCAAAGCGAGAATTCCAGCGTCCGCCATGCTGGGGCTGTGCCAAGAACGGAAGCGGAAGTGCGCTTTCAAAATTCCGTCAGGCTCTGGAATTCTGGTTTTGTCACAACCAAACAGTTAACAATACTATCTTATAAAATTTTATTTTAGTTAACAAGAATGTTTTAATATAAAAATTGACCAGAAAAACTGCAAAAACGTCATAAACTATTATGGTAGATTATTATAAATGCCACAAGAGAACACCACATTACTTTTGTATGCTCGCTGCTCACTGGTGCTCGCTGGCTTTACATCTATTAGGCTATTAACTCCTCAATCCTCATAAGATTTTGTTGTACTTGTATAATTAGTGAAAGACAATTAGCTTGTTTTATATTCTAAACGCTGAGACAAAAATAATTAAAATAACGGACAAGGCGACAGTATATTTTTATTTTCCAGGAGTTACGAGTTGAAACCCATGATTAGCGAAATATGCTAATATGACGTCATATCGTTTATTGGTCTACGCATACTACAGATGTTGAGTTGTGTAGTTTGTGTAGTTTCTACTCAAATAAAGTGAACTATCTAGTTTATTTTAACTCAACCTCGTTGTTTTCACTGGTAGTTTCTCTCGAAGGTCGTGTTCCAAAATCAACGTTGTCCAAATTGTACTCGATTTTACTCCAGGGTAAAGGTTTTGTACCTTGGCGTTTCAAAACCTACCCGCGTCCAGCGCTTTTCAACCTGAGATTACACGTCAGACGACCCGCCGGGGTAGCTCGGATTCATTTGGGTAAGATTTGGAGATAGGAACACAGCCCAAGTGTCAGTTTCGATCACGTGCGCCTCCACTGCGATTTTATCATGGAAGACGGATAACCGAACACACCACACACCTTTCGGAAAACCTCGGAAGCAACTTTCGGAAGTACACGTATGTTCAGTGGGACCGATGAATTCGTCTGCTCTGCCTGGCTCTCCCCGACTGCGAACCAAACGCTGAATGAATGACAGGTGATTTCGACAGGTAAATACAGACCTTGCGGACCGATCAGTCGCTGAATAACTCCTCTTCGGCACGATTGCCGAAGGGCCGGGCTATGTTTTCGCCGATCCTGCACCATGATGAAGTTTATGCAACCGGCCCCAAGTTCCAAATCGATAGAACGGGCTATATTAACGGTCAGTTATTTCAGCAGATAGCATAGAGTGACCTGTTACTCTACATGTTTTGAAGCCCTACAGGATCAAAGCATTCGAAAAGTGGATGTTGCACATGCCATCAATATGCTCTGTGTTACACACCGAGCCCAAGATTGTTACTTAATTCTCTGTGGGATTGAGTAACGTGATCAAATCGTGAACAGAACGAAAACTATAAAGACGCGAAAATGACAGGGCAGGCGCCAAGATCGAAAATTTATGGACGTCTATACACGATAGAGCATTCCATGAATAGTGGATGAATTAAAACGACCGTTCCGGTAAAATGATAGTATACAAAATCACGGAGAGGCACGTCTGCAGCTGAAGATGTAAGGAAAGCGACATGTGGCAGGCACCTGCGCACCAAAAGCACTTGTTCGCCTGACCTTTTGTTGAATTCTTCGAAAGATCATGCAAAAGAACAATGGCGGATGGGCCATGCTATTATGATGTGGAACATGCATTCATTCTGTAGCTCCTCATCTGCTTACAAATTCATTACACGTTGGGTACAGACGAAACAAAGAAATGCTTTTGTGTGCGCTACACAAGCGCCCGGCACCAAATGGAGATTTTGGCCCAATGCAAGAGCAGTCTCTCCCTCCAGAAAAAAAAGGTGTGCTTTAATTAAACATATATGTACGGTGGGGCAAGGATCCTGGAAAGGAGGTCGTCTCCTCTCCAGTGTTTGCTCTGCTAAAGTGGAAAGAGGTGGGAGGAGCCTCCACTTTACTCTTAACCTGTCACCAATCTGTTCAATGACTCACAAATATATATGCCTCTTGTACAAAACAGTGGTTTATTCAGAAGAAAGCACCTCGGAAATCAATACAAAAGAGTGGTTCATGTTCATCTAAATGAACATGAACCAGCTAGCACAATTAGCTATTTTGTTGCAGTGGTTCAGGTCACATTCGATTTGGGGTTAGGGCTGTCCAGACAGAACACAAGTTGTGCCGTGCGAAGCAAAAAAGAAATTTTGTGCAATATTTAGTATTTGATCCGGCACGCATGTACGATTTCAGGGAGGACGAAACTCGCCGTTGTCTCGTCCCCTTTTTTTTGGGGAGGGGGGGGGGGAGTTTTGGGACTGATAACAGGAGTGCAAGCCGTGAGTAACAGAGGGTGTGAGTAACTGCATCCTGGGACCTACGTCATGAGCTTCTTTGAGGGACGCAAAGGGAGGGTTGCTTTCCCTTCAACAAAACTCGGTCCAAAGCAGACCAGAAGCGTCGAAAGAACCTCCGCCTCCATCCGACAAAAGTTGTGCGCGGCAGAAGCTGTGTCTAGCATGGACAGCCCTTGAAGGGATGGTGAACCGTAATTTGAATTTAAAAAAAAACAATGCAGGAGGTGTAGGCGGGGCGCTACAATCCCTACAACACTACTAGTAAGGCGATATCTCAAATGGACGGACGTATTTTTGGAAAAAGAAGTTGAGATTGAACCAGGCCGACGAGGCGCGTGACCGTCAAGATACCTAGTTTCCTCCTCTCTTTGCTTCGCTCCCTCAAGGCCGCGAGGCGGAGAAGACGCGAGGCCGTTCCCTCTCCTTCTCAAAGAAACATGACGTCAACATTCCTGCCAAATGCGCCTCTTTTTTTGAAAATTAAGGTCATCCGTTCGAGATATCGCTGTATGAGTGATGTTTTAATGTTTGTAGCATCCCGTTGCACGCTTTTGCCGCGTGTTTTGGGGAATCCAGATTTTGGCAAAGAAAAAAAATTGTATTTATAAACAGCCTAATTGGGGCAAGCATGTCACAAAACAATTTCTTCAACAAAAACAAGATATTTTACAGCAATATTTATCGCGCGGGACTGATTTTAGTTTGCGGCTATTTCGTCCGTTTTAAATTGCGCGCCACAAAGTTGGTATTATACGTCACGGAGTGGCTGCTCTACGTCACGGAGTGACGTATTCCAGCCACTCCGCGCGTGTCGAAAGAGCGGGAGTTTCAAATGTGGATAGGTTGTGACTCCGACTAAATTACGTCCTGTGGCGTAAATATTGCGAAAAAAATTTGTTTTTTTCGCGGAGGATTTGTTTTGTGACATGCTTGTCCCAATTAGGCTGTTTAAAAAACACTTTTTTTCTTTACAGTTACCCTTTATCTCTCTCTCCTGGTGTACATCCATGGTGCATCTTGTACCCAGATCGTAACAATATTTACCAGCACTAATGATAGTGTCTCTGCCAGATTTAAAAATTGGGTCAGAACAGTTCAACTAAGAGGATGACTTTTAATGTGGGCTGAAGTATATAGCTTATTGCCGCCGCAATCATCGTCACTAGATGCGATACTGCGGGCCACCATGATATGGGCTTTTCTGCAGTGCCGTGGCTCTTCTAAGCAAAAAATTAATATGATTGTAAGTCTCAAAAAAGCCAAATGGATGAAATTATAACTCTTTCAAAAACGAAAGTAAATTCAGTATTTTGGTGTCCATCGAGCTATAACTATAAGACTTTAGCTTTTGCTATCTATTTTTTATGGGACTTGGCATAATGAATCAACGTTTTAGTTCTGCAAAATTAAATCAGCCCTTACCAATATGCATTTTAAATAGCCATGACTCCTACTCGAGATGTCAATAAATAAATTATGTATAGTTAACCAAACAGCAATACCTGGGAAAGGTAATACAGTACATTAGACAACAAATAAGCCTCACATATTTTCACCTAGCTTGGTTGCTTGAGCCTTTTATATATTTCATAAAGTGCGGTCACATTTGATATAGGAAGCTTTGAGTTACTGAACACCTCAGTATATAAGAGACTTCCAGGGAACAGACCTCTGACGCGGTTTTATCCTCGACAGATGTTCTTACTAGTGTCAGCAGCCTTTGGCTCTAAATTGCCCTCTGCACTTCACTTGGTATCAAAAGATCTCCACAAAACCGTTTTAGAAAAACTGGTGCCCTCTTTTGTACATCATCCTCGTTAAAAGGACCAATCAATTCAGACTCTCGAGGTCTTGCTTACTATCAGCAAACATAAAATAAACAATAGTGAATCGGGATTTTGGTGCATCTTTTTCCATTGATATTTGTGCCATGTAACCAACCATTTGGTTGCATATCAAAGGTCCTCAGGTGATTAAAATTAATCCTCAGTACTTTGCTAGTACATGCCAGATGCCCTTCATTGACTTGGCGCGTAAAACTCCCAAATTTGACTTTTTCCATCATTTTTTCAGAACAATATTTTGTGTACATTTCTCGGTCTATCTGATAAGTATAGGAAAGTTTAAACCTTAGTTGTAATCGATACAAGAGTTACAAGCATTAGCGCAGCCATTGCACGAGGGGGAGAGAGCAGCAATGCACGAGACACAAGCGGAGGATGTACGAAGAACCTGCTCATACCGTCCCCAAACAGGAGGTGGGGGAGGATGGAGAGAGCGGGGAAGTTAACCCGGGGTATTTGTTTTGGTTCACCGATCCGTACTGGAAGATAGGGATGAGAAAAACAGAGGAGAGAATTAGAAAGATGAAAGGGAGCAGTGAACAAAATGAGCAAAAGTCAAAAGACTTGAATGCTACAAACAGTTCACCGACATGGAGATACATCTTCTATACACCGTGGGTTATTGACCTAGGGGTTCCTTAGAGCACCCTCATGGGTGCTCTAAGGAGGGCTGAAACTTCCGCAACTGTTCCCGCCCTCAAATGAAGTATTCTCCGGTTTGTGCAGCATTTTGGTAGGCCCGAGCCAACAATTGATGTATAACTGTGGGACCATGCACTCCCGTTACGTGCATTAGTGTTTGCGAGGTCTGCAAGCTTCTGCCCGGCTTTATTGCATTTATGCCAAGGCCGGAAAGGGTTCTCCGGCTATCCTTCGAAAAAGATGGGTGTTTCTTGAAGCTTTTGAGAACCCCTGTTTTACACCTACATCTTCAACAATGTCTCCAAGACGACACACACATCGTAGGCGGCATACTAGAGCTTCCCTCCGGCGACGGTTGGCTGTGTTCCTTCGCAGGAGCGCTCGGGGGGACATGGAGGCCCGGAAGCGTCCGGCGTCCGTGCCGCTCCTTGCTGAAGAGGAGCAGGGAGCAGACGGCAGGCTGCTGGAGGACGGACACCACAAGCACGAAGGCAACACGGCCGAGGCGAACATCCCGGGGGGCGTTCGGGAGGAGTGGCGCAGCATCCTGTTGCTGCTTTTCCTCTACATTCTGCAGGGCATTCCTCTGGGGCTGTGCTCTGCCGTGCCTCTCATGCTTCAGAACAGGCACGTCAGCTACAAGGTATGCCCCGCCATGCTTTGAGTCGCCGATCGTGCGTGGGTCATGCTGACCTACGGTATTCTTTCTTGTGGCACGACATGCTCCCCGTAATTGGTGTGAGCCAGTTTGATACACTAGATGGTGGGGGAGTTAAAACACTGGAGTTGTGCAGTGGGCAGGTGACTATGGGCACTGTAGAAGAACTTATCGTTGGGCTAGTTGGTGAACATTAGGAAGCATGGTGTAAGGTGCAAAAAACAACGGACACAAGGCAGAAGACACACACACAGGCGCCTATGTGCGTCTTCTTCCTTGTGTCCGTTGTTTTTTGCACCTTACACCATGCTTCATGACTATAGGCAGTTCAGCTCTTTTAATGCTTAGCTTTAAGGGGAAGGGGAGGAGGAATTTAAGGTTAGGCATACTTGGGTTCAGCATTGAGGCGCCAATGAGTTGTGTCGTATGCTCCGAAGTAGTATTGTTCCGCTGGTGTTCACTTTGTTTTTCATCTGTATAGCGTGCCTGTAGCACGAGTATATCCCAGAATCTACATTGGCAACAATTTGACCTTAAAGGGGCAGTGCAACAATTTGCGGACTTTGGCTAATTAATTGCGGGAATTGATCCCGGCTACATATAAAACGAAGGACCGAAAACTATTCTTTCCTGCTTGCCCTAGTTTTCATTAAAAAAAATAAAAGAAATTGGTATCTCTGGCACCCCTCAACTCAGCATTGAAGCGGCACCAGCTTCGCCTGTGACGTCACTCGGAGTGGCGTTGGTTTCCGGTTGGGTTCTTCTGGCTTCCGTTTCCCCTGCGCTCGCCGGCTCGCCAGGCTCGCCGCTCTCCCGCTTTCCCACTGATTCCCGACCAACATGGCGGCGTGAGCGGACGGCCTGAGCGACGTCGAGCGCAAGATGCTTGCGACGCGGCGGGCAGTCGAAGTCGAAGTCGAGGTCGAGACACCAGGAACAATAACGATACCACGATACTGCGGACCACGAGCAACGCACTCCGTCGAGCGAGGGAAAGACAAAACGTCCGGGTTGCTTGTGTAGCCACCGTAGGCGCCACGAGCGGCGACGGATGACGGCGACGGCAGGTTTTGTTAACTTGCGGTAGATGGCGCCACAAATAATTCATACCCTTTTAGCGGCAATATTAGGCTTTTGAAGCGTTTCTGCATGCCTAAACAACAAGATTTTTTAAACTTAACCTTAAATCAAGCTTAGAATTGCCTAACACTATCACTTACAAAAACCACTCCGAATGACGTCACACCACAGGTTCCATTTGCGGCCACCATGTGGCCACAGGTTGGGAAAAAAAGCGTTTTTTATTTTGCGATTACGCAGCGAAATAGAGGTATATCGGGGTATGGTGGCACTTTTTCTCTTACTTATGTCGAAGTAAACAATATAAAAAATAGAAGCTGCACATTCGTTCAGTGTTAAAATCATTGCACCGCCCCTTTAAAGGTTGACTTGAAACGAAGAGGGAGAAACCCACCCTCGGCTTTACTCCTTGCTATTCCTCCCACAAGAAAGGAGGAAACTTCTCCTTTCTTTCTTGCTGTTTTTCATAATTTTTTGCCTGCTTGATTTCCATTGTTCTGGACATGTGAGAAGTATATAAAAAGATGAGAAGGAAAATACAAAAAGGTGGAGAATTTCTGCCACGCAGGAAAATGTTTCTGTGGGGCGTCCTTCATAAACGAAAGCATATGATTCAATCTTATAGCCTTGATCACAATTTAATATGAGCAGTGGGGAACTGTACATTCATGTGTGGTATGAATCTTTGAAGAAAAATTAGCAATATTTCATTTCATTGAGAGCATTCCAGCTAGTTCATCATTTGCAAGACCAAAGGTACTAAATAGGATCAACATAAATTCAGTTTGTACGGGAAGGGAAGGTCGAGTGACATAAGAGAAGTGGAATCTAAAGCGCATATCGTGTTGAGTCTATTTCACGACTAAAACTTGCATGACTGTACATTTCTCTCTTTCTTAATTCTTTGTGCATCGTATGCACCACTACAGCACATTGGTTGTGGACTCGGTAAGTTCTAAAAATATGTTATATGATGATGACATACTTCCTCTCCGCCAAAGACGTGGTCTTGAAAGTAAGCAGGTAATCTTGCTCGACCATTCTTCTGGTGTCTTATTTTTGTTCTGATATATTTTTTTCTTTACTCCCAGTCGACTCGAAGTTCAAAAACGGAAAAGGTAACAACCCGCATCTGTCCATTTGCACCAACATCTCCTGCCTTGTGTTTAACATCTCGGAAGGTGGACAGTGTTCAGCCAGGTTCCATACAGAAGCGTTGTCGCTGGAGACCTTAGTGCTGAGCTTTCGTTTCAGAACCTTGCTATAGTCTGATCCATGTTTCTGACTCATGTTTCTGATCCATTCCAATGTGAAGTGAGAGTCGGTCCACATGGTATATTCATACACATAGCTTGGTGTGCTTGCTTTCCTTGGCATTCTTCAGATGTCTGGCTCCGATGACTGCTCCCATAAGTTCTAGACGAGGAAGCGTTTTTTGCTTGATCGGAGCTACTCGAGTCTTTGCTAATAAAAGCCTGGGTCGCTGTGGTGGCAATGACTTCTTAGTGTTCACTTTGTTGAACGCAAGTAAAAGCGCCGTGGGCGCTTTTACTTGCGTCTTAAAAAATATGTAGTTGAGCATCCCTGCAATGTCCTTCTTGAACACAAATCTGGGGATGGCAACTGCATGAATATTTGGCAAGTCATTACACCAGTCTTTCCACTCATTCCTCAGATCTTTGGGTAGGGGACTGTCCCAATTTATTCCTCTGGTTCATAGCTTTTGAAAAAGTGCCTTGACTTGAATCGAGAAGGGAGATAAAACTCCCAGTGGATAGAAAATCCTAGATGTCGCTTGCAAGACAAAGTGTTTTGTGAAAAGATTAATCTCCAGAAATATCAGTAGAGTTGTCATTAAAAGCCTCAAAATATCTTTCACTGGATCGCAAATGACTCCCAGAATTTTCATTGTTCCTTTTTTGAAGACAGTTGCTGCAGTTTTGTGCTGGCTAGACTCTTCTCGTTCTAGAACTTCTCTCAGAGTTTTGGAATTTAGTCCACTTTCTGAGAGTCATTCCTTAGTCTTGCACAATAAACTTGACGTCGTAGAAAAACCTGACGGCTCCTTTTCCGGTATCTGTGCCAGTCACCAAGTCGTCCACATAAAGGGAGGCGTGAAGCTCATCAGCAACATCCTTTTTCTGAAAATTTGGTTAAAGTGCAGGCGAGCTGGTGTAAGTTATACATGATGATTGGAACCTGAGACTGTGGTTTGAAAAACAAACTTATGAAGTAGGAAGAAAAAGGGACCGACAACGTCTCCGTAGGCCGATTTTTCGGGTGTGGGAGGATTGTAGCCATTAGGAGAAATAGGCTACGTGTTGCACCAAAAGATACCCTTCTCATCTTCCACATCTGCACTTCCCTTTCCTCAAACGTCAAAGAGGGTAGTTGTTGAAACCAAAGAAACCCAAATTAATTTCTGTCTGTCAGGAGTTTCGATAGAGGTTGTCTCCTTTCTCCAAATATTCATTCAGAGCCTTGCATCCAGCTGCATGAGAAGATGCATCGAAAACGACTTGCAATCGTGTCGTCAGTGCATTTTCTCGAATGTCCTCTCTGTCTGGCGTGTAAAGTAACCTGCCTCCATCGTCGGCAGTCTCGTAGCTCAACTGCATGACCTGCTGTCGAGTACTCTCCGAAAGCTTTGTCATAACAATAATTTAGGGAGTCATTCCTCGAGAGCTGACTTACTAGTTTCCGAAGTCTCGTCACCATTATGTCCTGCTTGCTGTCCTTGAGGTCGCCTTATTGTCTTTCCACAGGTATGACACTTTGTATTGTATGCCAGACTGACTGATGTTCTCTTCGAAATGCAGCATCACTTGACGCATTTCCAGTGTGTTGTCTTGTGAATCAATTATTCTCAGACTTTCTAACTCCCCAAAATGATTGAAGAATGCCGTCAGTTGGCTCTTTAATATTTGCAGAAGTACATTTCAGTTCTCTTGGGAGCCAGTCGTCGTGCAAACCGATGTGTTTTAGTGTTTGTGGAGGAGCACTCTTCTTTTTATCCATGCTGGGTCGCACATGGACTTAGCATGTCGTCCATCACAAGTAGCATGCCGATAGTGCGTCTGCAGTATTTAGCTCGATCACCACTGGGTGCGTATCTGAAACACCTGATTTGATAGACATTGCTTTTTCTGATCGAGCGGGAGACTGGAAGAGCAGTCTGGCAGTATTGTTGTTTGTCCCCTTGCAGAAACAGCATTTTACTTTGAGGGTCTGCTGTATAGTACCGGTGAGGTCGGTCTAGACGATTCTCGTCAATTTGTCTAGTCCCCATGCTTCGTGCTCTTGCGTCTTTAGTTTCTGTGGTCTTAAACCCTCTCTTCTCCAGACTTTCAACCTCCATGGATAAAAACATGAGTAGCTTATCCAGTTCTGAACAATCAGGCTGGTTTCTAGGACCAGCCATAGCAGTTGTTGCAGCCAAATATGTTGTTCTGTGGAAGTTCACAACAATGTCGCATAGAAGAGCTCGCATCAGAATGTCGCGGAGCATCGATGAAAAACTTTACTCATTGACGCCCAACACCTGGAGACCTTGCACATTGACCTGCACTTGGTCGAACATCGATCGTAGACCCGAGGTATTGTTGGATGATTTGACAGGTGGTAATCAGCCTCAGTCTCGAGAAGTGTTCCTGTTCTAAACATTTTTTGTCTCCAAAGCGGGGCTTGAGGATCTCCACGGCATCAGCATAGCATGCCTCAGTTCTTGGCATTACCTTGACTGCCGCTGATGCTTCCTCGGCAAAATACATTCGAAGGTAGACAAACTTTTCGCTGGTGGAGAAAGTCGGGTTCTTGTGAATGGTTTCGTCAAATTGCTCCCAGAACGCCGACCATTGTGAAATTTCAGCCATGAGTAGCGTAATGGTGAGCTTTCGCAGCCTGGTTCCCGTTAGTCTTGGGGCTTGGACATCGGTCGGTTGCAGAACAGGTCCTCTGCTTTCCCCTCGCAAGATCTGGTTTAGCAAATCTTTTCTGCATTTGAGATTGCTGGGGTGCGATTCGCTTCGTCTTCATACTCAACGACTGTCCCAAATTCAGTTTGGAAGGAACCGGCTGGTATATGGATTAAAATCTTTGTTTATCTGTCTGAGTGCACTGTTGTTAGCACGCAATCGTTTGACTATGGTGGTAATCTGGCTTATTGTTGAATCTTGATTTTGGAAAAGAGTGCTTGCCTCGTTAATGAGCCGTGTCTTTTGAGTCCATCGGGTCGTTCTCTTTGCCTCAAGTTTATCCAGGGATCCACTGAGCTGACGGGTTTTCTTGTACCTTTTTCGTAGCGTGATTCCCGGGCTTCAGTACCGCATTGTTGAATTGAAGACGAGGAAAAGCAGCGGCTTTACAAAGATTCGAGAGGTTTATTCCCACCGTCCGTTTTTCTCAGGATCAAAAAGGCTATATAAAGAAAGAGCCCCATGCCCTTCGTGCACAATCAGGCTTGCCATCCTCGTTGTTTTCGCTTATGCTTGATCGGTTTTAATTACACATTTTCAACAATTGTTGACTTTGCATACCAATTTGAATGCAGAGATATTCGAATCGGCCTTCTGATCAGACACGAGAGCCGCCGTGTTTCAGTAACAGGTGGAGTATCATAGATCTGGCAGGCAATCTCCCTTATCTTGCCGAAACAGATTCAGAAATAAGGCACTCTAGCCATGGTGCAATTAAACCTCAATAAAACTGGTAGATTATTAGCTCCATTGAGCGCACTTCTCCCGACACACCGGTGTATTGTGGCAAAGGAAGGCCAGCGGAGGCAGTGTTGAGTTGCCATTATCCCACTCTGTAGTAGTTTTTGCTGGAGGAAGCCCTTCCTTCAGGACATACAGTAGCCAGAGACTACGAGTTGGACAGCCAGGGGGGAAGAGAGACGGCATGCATGGTGCGTCGTAAAAGTAGGGTACAACCTGCATGGTAGTGTAAAGACAATTTACAATTAGAAACCCTTTACTATTTTATTTGTTTTATTATAAATCATTATGTCAAAGGCCTCTACCTGCATTACAAGCTTACCACAAGTTTGTTGTAAAGAAACTTGTGGCTTTGAGTGAAAATATAGACGTAGCAAAGAGAAATTGGGCCAAGCGCATAATGCTAGCCGAGGCGTTTGGAACATTGATCATGGAAAAATAGATTGACGTAGTAAGTTTGAATGTCCTTCTAAATTGACCGACAGTAGTGTACGTGGCTAGTAGTGACGCGACATCAGCTGCCATTGTGGTGACCTCGTTGCCGACCACGTACCTTCTGCAGCTTGCATTTTGCACCGCCAAACTTGTTTTTGTAGGCAAGAGCAAGTTGGAATGACCACCAGCATGGCACAGTGATGTCACATGTGCTAAAAAAATCGACCGGAACATGAGGATAACGAAACAAAAATGTGCATATTTGCCAGGTTTGTCCCCAAAATATTAGTCCATATAATGGGGTCCATATTATTGAGAAATTAATGTAGCGGAATCCTGCCGCGCTCCCGACAGCGAGCGAACCTCCCATTCACTGCTTCCGTGGCACGGTCTTGGCTCTAATCAGGAGCAGGCCCTGTTCAGCTTTGTGACGTGGCCGTTCAGCGTGAAGCTGCTCTGGGCACCCATCGTGGACTCTGTATACTCGTCGTCGTTTGGGCGCCGCAAGTCGTGGCTGGTGCCCACCCAGTATGCCATCGGCCTGTTCCTTTTCTGGCTGTCGGGCCATGCCAGGGCCCTGCTGGGGGACGACGGCGAAAGTGCCAGCGCCCCCGACATCCTGCTGCTCACCATCGTCTTCATGGCACTCAACTTCCTGGCTGCCACCCAGGACATTGCGGTGGATGGCTGGGCCCTCACCATGCTCTCCAGGTGGGTGGCGTGCCACCTCGCTTGTAGCACTGCGTTGCAAGGTCAGGTTGAATCGGAGGTGTAGACGCTGCAGCTCTCGCTTGGTCGTGAGGACTACTTCGATGAGTGCGAACCAGATGAAAACTTCTTGCTAGTCACAACTAGAACTCGCACTGAATTCGACGGATTCCTGTTACCGGCACGGGCCAGTTTGTATGGTGCCCCGCGATTTCACGAAGGCACCCGTCTCCTTAACTTTGGGCCCATGGGGTGGCTAACTAGTTAAACATGCATGCTTTGATAGAGTTCATCAACAGTCCCCTGTGTATCAAAAGGAAGAGAATAGTCTGCTCTTAGTTTTGAGACTGCAAGATGCAAGTGAAGCTCCGGGCTAACCACCATTGTGTTGTTGTGTCACCCCAAAATGAGATGGTTTATAAAATCCAATACAGAGTGTACCGTATTTACTCGCAGAATGAACACACTTTTTTTTCCGAAAAATCTATGCAAGGTTGGGGGGGGCATTCATTACGCGAAGTAAAAGTTTTGCGTCTGTATTTACTCGCATAATGAAGGGACCTTTTATCCTGCGAAATCGACGTAACTTCTAACCTCTTTGCGCGCGCCGTGCGACCCCGTAACTAAACTGGGCTGTGCAAAAGAAAAGAAAAAACCTCTTCGTTTTTTGTTTTTTCTCTTAATTCCGTGTTTTTTTTTTTTTTTTTTTTTACCGCCTTCCGCAAGCTGTTTCGTTTCACGCGAGTGAAAAAAAAAATCGAAATTTTGAGAGCCGACTTGGGGGGTGCGTTCATTACACGGGTGCGTTCATTGTGCGAGTAAATTATATTAAGGTCAGTGTCACATTCGAGCCGGCTGTGACATGAAGTGTACTTTCCAAATTGAAGCCTCATACCTATATCCTATCATTACCTGGGTTGTGTCCATTTCCTCTTCATACTGGAGGATTACCGCCGATGCAATTGGTGCCATATCGTTGAAAAAAGTATTTGTCCATCGCTGTCTTTTAATCGCAGGAGGCATGTTGGCTATGCGTCGACGTGCAACTCTGTCGGGCAGACTACAGGCTACTTCCTGGGCAATGTGGTCTTCCTGGCACTGGAGTCTGTGGACTTCTGCAACCGCTACCTCAGGGTCATCCCACAGAAAGAGGGAATTGTCACCCTCGAAGGTAGGGTGCCAGCTGTGGAAGCTGCATGCTCTATGCTGTGACCTGGGCCGCTTTAAAACCACAAACACAAAACTGATAGTGAAAGTAAACGGTCCCACTGAAAAATTGCTGCTGTAAATATGCCAAAAGCATGATTGCCATAGGTTTCCTTCTTTAAAACAGCAGCACTGCGACAGAGTGAATAAGAACTCGGTCTGCTTTACTCATTAAAGCAGAAGGATAGCATGACTGTCCATCCACTTCAATGAGCACCCATTGAAAGTGGACAGTGTGGTTCTTGTTTACTATTACAGTCTTGTATATTATAGCTTTAGTTGGAAAGTTACATAGTCAAAGTTTTCAGTAAATTTACACAACTGCAGTAATTGAAGTTTTTGAACCTTAGACTTCCATAATCCCAAACCAAAGCGTGCACCCTGCAGTGCATCCATCACACAGGAGCAAAGGTCCACGTGGACCTTTGCTCTAGATCAAAGGTCTCAAACACGCGGCCTGCGGGCTGCATGCGGCCCGCGACTTGCTGAGGCGCGGCCCGCAGGCAACCGGCTGAGAGTCCTGGTTCCTATGTCTCGAGCGCTAGAAATACTTCAAAGTAATTTCATGTTGTCGATTCATTTTCGTTCAAAAATTAACTGTGCTCATTTAACATAATCATATTGTTTATGCTTATCTGTGTTCATTTGCAATTTGTTTCGCTTTATTTTTTGTTTCCCAGCTTTTTGCAATGTACAACCATTCCACTACTAAGCTGAAAGCGCGAGCTATTCACTGAAGATGCATCTCGTCTGCCCGAACTCTGGATCAGCCGGAGCAACTGCCAAAAATAAAGCTACGAGCTCAAGATTCTTGCCTTCAAAAAAATATCCCAATTAAAAAACAAACTTTGTTTGACTGTTGCAAGAGAAATTGTCAGGAAAGCAAAAACTGTCAAATTAACTGATTTTATTTTTTAGAGACATGGGGAGCTTGATTAATTTTTGAGTGAATTGAGCAACGGGAACAGCAGTGTACTTGTTCTCTTGTCCTATTAAAAATGCCATCACGTTAGAGGGGCATTGTCATTTTAATTCTTGTTATCACATCAGGTCAGAGCCCAAAGTAGTCATATAAGCAAATCAAATCTAAAGATGGCACTGGCAGGTTCACAGCCCCCCCCCCCCCCCCCCCCCTTCCCTCGTCTTAGGCTGGCCCTCGACCTTTCCGGTGTGGGACATCTGGCACCCAGGCTCAAATGAGTTTGAGACCACTGCAGTTTACAGGTTTTCCCGCTCATTTTAATCCAAGTGACGACCAATTTAATCCCGGGGTCACTCAATTTAATCCAAGCGCCATACAATTTAATCCAAGCGCCAAACAATTTAATCCCGGGGTCAGTCATTTTAATCCACAATATATATATGCACTTATTGTGTTCAGTGGTCGTGTTTTGCTTAAACATTTGGTAACTTAATTGTTTATACAATTAGAATTTTGGGGGGGGGGCAATTAATAATTTGATTACTTTGAGTTACTAGTCCCACTATTGACGAGGCCTAATTGATGTGTTGGTTACTCTTTGTAGAGCGCAGCTCTTAGGCACCAGTTTCCTGCTTGAACGGCGTTGCCGTCGGCGTAATTACGCGGTGCATGATGGGTAAATTCCCCCCCTAAATTTAGCGGAAACATTTCCCCGCTACATCTAGCGGAAAGTTTTCCCTGCTAAATCTAGCGGAAAATATTCCCCACTAAATTTAGCGGAAAATTTTCCCCGTTAATTCTAGCGGGAAAGGTTTCTCCACTATATCTAGCGGAAAGTTTTCCCCGCTAAATCTAGCGGAAAATTTCCCCCGCTTTATTTAGCGGAAAACTTTCCCCGCTAAATGTAGCGGAAATTTTCTTCGCTAAATATAGCGGAAAATATTTAGCGGGAAATTTTCGCCGCTAAATCTAGCGGAAAATATTTAGCGGGAAATTTTCCCCGCTAAATCTAGCGGAAAATTTTCCCCGCTAAATCTAGCAGAAAATATTCCCCGCTATATTTAGTGGAAAATTTCTCTCGCTAAATCTAGCGGAAAATCGTCCCAGCTAGATTTAGCAGAAAATTTGACCCGCTATAGTTAGCGGAAAAATTTTCCTCGCTAAATCTAGCAGAAAAATTTTCTCGCTCAATTTAGCGGAAAATTTTCCCTGCTAATTGTAGCGGAAAATTTTCACCACTAAATCTAGAGGAAAATTTTCCCAGCTAGATTAAGCGAAACATTTTCCCCACTAAATCTAGCGGAAAATTTTCCCCGCTAAATTTAGTGCAAAATTTTCCCCGCTAAATCTAGGAAAAAATTTCCCAGCTAGATTTAGCGGAAAGCTTGGCCCGCTAAATCTAGCAGAAAATTTCCCCAGCTAGATTTAGCGAAAAATTAGCCCCGCTTAATCTGGTGGAAAATTTTCCCCTCTAAATCTAGTGGAATATTTTACCCGCTAAGTCTAGCGGAAAATTTTCCCAGCTAGATTAAGCGTAAAAATTTCCCCTCTAAATCTAGCGAAAAAGTTTCCCCGCTAAATTTAGCACAAAATTTTCCCCGCTAAATATAGCAGAAAATTTTCCCAGCTAGATTTAGCGGAAAGTTTGGCCCGCTAAATCTGGCGGAAAAATTTCCCAGCTAGATTTAGCGAAAAATTTGCCCCGCTATAGTGTAGTGAAAATTTTCCCTGCTAGATCTAGCGGAAAATTTTCTCGCTGAATTTAGTGGAAAACTTTCCCCGCTATATCTAGCGGAAAATTTTCCCACCTAGATTTAGTGGAAGATTTTCTCCGCTAAATCTAGCGGAAAATTTTCCCAGCTATATTAAGCGGAAAATTTTCCCCGCTAAATCTAACAGAAAATTTTCCCCGCTAAATTTAGCGCAAAATTTTCCCCGCTAAATCTAGCGGAAAATTTCCCCAGCTAGATTTAGCGGAAAGTTTGGCCCGCTAAATCTAGCGAAAAATTTTCCCAGCTAGATTTAGTGGAAAATTAGCCCCGCTTAATCTAGTGGAATCTTTTCCTCCCCTAATTCTAGCGGAATATTTTACCCACTAAATCTAGCGGATAATTTTCCCCGCTAAATCTAGCAGAAAATTTTCCCCGCTAAATTTAGCAGTAAAATTTCCCCGCTAAATTTAGCGCAAAATTTTCCCCGCTAAATCTAGCGGGAAATTTTCCCAGCTAGATTTAGCGGAAAGTTTGGCCCACTAAATCTAGCAAAAAATTTTCCCAGCTAGATTTAGCGGAAAATTTGCCCCGCTTAGTCAAGTCGAGAGTTTTCACCGCTAAATCTAGCGGAATATTTTTCCCGTTAAGTTTAGCGGAAAAGTTTTCGAGCCAAATTGATTTAGCAGAAAATTTGCCCCGCTACATTTAGATGGGAAAATTTTCCGCTAGATTTAGCGTGAAACATTTTCCGCTAAATACAAGCTGGGAAAATTTCCCACTAAATATAGCGGGGAATGTTTTCTGCTATATTTAGCGGGGGAAATTTTCCACTATATTTAGCAGGGCAAATTTTCCTCTAGACTTAGCGGGGAAAATTTCCCCCTAAATCTAGCTGGGAAGATTTTCCGCTAGATTTAGCGGGGGAAATTTTCTGCTAAATCTAGCTGGGAAGATTTTCCGCTAGATTTAGCGGGGGAATTTTTCCACTAGACTTAACGGGACAAATTTACCCCTAAATCTAGCTGGGAAGGTTTTCTGCTAGATTTAGCGGGGGAAATTTTTCGCTACACTTAGCGGGGCAAATTTCCCGCTAAATATAGCTGGGAAGATTTTCTGCTAGATTTAGCGGGGGAGATTTTCTACTAGACTTAGCAGAGAAAATTTCCCAGTAAATCTAACTGGGAAGATTTTCCGCTAGATTTAGCGGGGGAAATTTTTCGCTAGACTTAAAGGGGTACTCCGCCGTTTTCTTCATAGTCGCCAATTTGCCTAAAAGCTTGCTAGACACACCAACAAACATCGTTGAACTAGTAACCCAAATATTTGGACAAAATAACGTTTTTTCGTGCAGTTACAGAATTTACAATTTTGGACCTCATCGTGTTTTTCAAAGTGAAAAGCTCTACGGGCAACATTGAAAAAGTGACGTCATGGTTGGGTAGGAGTTCACTCTTTGGGCTGTAGACTTTGTTCACATCTGATTACAAACAGTTTCATGGTGTCAAATGAATGCTTTGGAAGGCAGCTCCAGCCCCCGCGCAGCAGCACGATACAAATGCTCGGCATAGTTCATATTTAGACTGCCTGCTCGAACTGCAATCCAGCCCAACCGTGACGTCAGGGCAATGAAAAGCGCGGGTATATTCGAATCTTCGTTTTGGCGTCGTTTTCATTTGCCGATTTCACAAAAACTATTCTGAATTTCGCAATACTAAATAGCATACCGAAAAGAGTAACGGACGGCGATTTCGAATATATGGTTAGTTGGGGTTGCTCAAAATATCGCCGGAGTTCCCCTTTAACGGGGCAAATCTACTGCTAAATCTAGCTGGAAAGATTTTCCGCTAGATTTAGCGGGGAAATTTTTCGCTAGACTTAGCGGGGCAAATTTCCCGCTAAATCTAGCTGGGAAGATTTTCTGCTCGATTTAGTGGGGGAGATTTTCCGCTAGACTTAGCGGGTCAAATTTCCCGCTAAATTTAGCTGGGAAGGTTTTCTGCTAGATTTAGCGGGGGAAATTTTCCGCTAGAGTTAGTGGGGTAAATTTCCCGCTAAAGTTAGCGGGGAAACTTTTTTGCTATATTTAGCGGGGCAAATTTTCCGCTAGATTTAGCGGGGCAAATTTCCTGCTAAATCTAGCTGGGTAGATTTTCCGCTAGATTTAGTGGGGGAATTTTTTCGCTTGACTTAACGGGGCAAATTTATCCCTAAATTTAGCTGGGAAGGTTTTCCGCTAGATTTAGCGGGGGAAATTTTCCGCTAGACTTAGCGGGGCAAATTTCCCGCTAAATATAGCTGGGAAGATTTTCTGCTAGATTTAGCGGGGGAGATTTTCCGCTAGACTTAGCGGAGCAAATTTCCCGCTAAATCTAGCTGGGAAGATTTCCCGCTAGATTTAGCGGGGGAAAGTTTCTGCTAAATTTAGCTGGGAAGACTTTTCGCTAGATTTAGCGGGGGAAATTTTCCGCTAGACTTAACGGGGCAAATTTACCGCTAAATCTAGCTCGGAAGATTTTCCGCTAGATTTAGCGGGGGAAATTTTTCGCTGCACTTAGCGGAGCAAATTTCCTGCTAAATCGAACTGGGAAGATTTTCTGCTAGATTTAGTGGGGGAGATTTTCCGCTAGACTTAGCGGGGCAAATTTCCCGCTAAATCTAGCTGGGAAAATTTTTCGCTAGATTTAGCGGGCCAAACTTTCCGCTAAATCTAGCTGGGGAAATTTTTCGCTAGATTTAGCGGTGCAAATTTTCCGCTAGACTTAGCAGGGCAAATTTCCCGCTAAATCTAGCTCGGAAGATTTTCTGCTAGATTTAGCGGGGAAACTTTTCCGCTAGATATAGCGGGGAAAATTTCCCGCTAAATTTAGCGGGGAAAAGTTTTTCTAGATTTAGTGGGCAAAATTTTCTGCTAGACTTAGGGGGGGAAATGTTCCGCTAAATTTAGCGGGGAAAATTTTCCACTATATTTAGCGGGGAAAATTTTCCGCTAGACTTAGCGGGGCTAATTTTCCGCTAAATCTAGCTGGGAAATTTTTCCGCTAGATTTAGCGGGAAAAATTTTTCGCTAAATATGTCGGGGAAAATTTTCCGCTACATTTAGCGGGGAAATTTTTCTCCTAAAATTAGCGGGGGAATTCGCCCATCATGTGCCGCATGTTAACGCCGACGGCGACGGCCACGTTGACGCCGCTCAAGTCGGAAACGGGGGCCTAACTCTAAAAAGAGTAACCAACAGATCAATCAAGCCTCGTCAACAGTGGGACTAGTAACTCAAAGTAATCACATTAGTGATCAAATTATCAATTGCCTCCCAAAAATTCTAATTGTATAAACAATTGTTTTAAGTTACCAAATGTTTAAGCGAAACACGACCACTGAACACAATAAGTGCATATATATATTGTGGATTAAATTGACTGACCCCGGGATTAAATTGTGTGGCCCTTGGATTAAATTGTATGGCGCTTGGATTAAATCGAGTGACCCCGGGATCAAATTGGTCGTCGCTTGGATTAAAATGAGCGGGAAAACCTGTAGATCATTGAGAGACTTAAGGCAGCTGCTCACAAACTTGCTTGTAATTGCAAGGAAAAGAAGGGATAGGCTTTACAGGCTCGAGCCTGGGCAATCGCTCGTCTTTCTCACCACCAACAAGTTGAAAACAGCGTGCCCGAGGTCAAACTTGCATCGGATTCAGGACGAGGCATTCTGTTCCTCATTACAGGGTTTATGTACTTCTGGGGGCTGGTGTTCCTGGTGACCACGACGCTGGTGGCAATGCTCAAGCACGAGCGGGGCCCCAGCCGGGGCAGCGCGGCCGAGGACGAGCCAGAGCTGGGCCTGGTGCAGACATACAGCATGGCTTTACGTATCTTCAAGCTACCCAGCATACAGACCTTCTGCATCTTCCTGCTCACCTGCAAGGTCTGTGATCGCCCGCAGGACGAGAACACTCGAGAGGTAGCAAGGACTAGCGGCGAGATTAATTTGTGACAGACACCGCCCCCTAGACAGCCCGTCACGAATGATAAATTTACTCAAGCTGGACTCGCCGCAGACACACCGGGAACAACTTAGACTGAATTTTTTACGCTTACCCTACCCATCACAGACGCATAAAAACGGACTGTTCCCCCTTCCCCAACTGCCCCGTTGGACTATGCGGTTCAACCGTAGTAGACCGCTAGAACCGTGCCGACAATAACATTTTTAAAAACTTTTTTTTTTTCTTGAACCATTGTTGAATGAAATTGCCCACCGAAAGAGATCGTTTACGCGGCCCATTGCCAGATGAGTTTTTCTCGAAGCTTAATGCATTTACATACTTGCCCGTCTTAATTTTTAGTTTATTTGTCATTTCCGACAATTTGTATCGAGGATGTTCCACTTTTTACTGTGTCCCATTTATTTGTGTCATGTCCACACTGTAAACGTAGTGTGTTCACGATCAGTGCCAGCAACAAGAACAACTTCTTTATTTTTGAGCGCGCACTCCTTTGGTCTCTTCGTGTGCACGCAGTGTTGCTTCCGCTAGCATATGGTATGCACACCTGCCCAGGCACCGTCGGGGCCTGCAGTATTGCAACGCAGTCAGGCGCGAAAATCTGAACCAGCCTCTCCAAGGACAGCACGAGTGGTGCAGGAGCAAGCTCATTTGGAGGTTATGCCGTGCAGGTCGGCTTTGCGGTGGCGGACGGCGTGACTGGCCTCAAGCTGCTGGAGGCCGGGGTGCACAAGGAGAACCTGGCACTGCTGGCCATCCCCATGGTGCCCATCCAGGTGGTGCTGCCTTTCCTCATCAGCAGGCACACGAGTGGCCACAGCCCACTGGACGTCTTCCTCAAGGCGTACCCTATCAGGTGAGGTGCCTGGCGGTGCCATGGCAGCAGCGGGGAGGTGGTTGTTACACTCTTGTTTGTAACTTTTATCCTCAAAATTTCGTAGTTTTTTCGGTCTATAAACTGCTGTTTCCACGGAAAGGGTGGTATGTAATTCACACCTTTGTGTAGGGTCGGTGCAGAAAATTGCATTGTTTGATAAGCCTGCATGTGTTCACTGTGATCAGGGGCAGACAGAGGTATTTCTAGAGGGGGAGGGGGGGGGGGGGGTCAGCATATTGGATGCTTTACAACCCCCCCCACCCCCTTGGTTTCCCTGCCCTCAATTTTTACATATGCAGAATTCAAGAAAACACCCGGCACCCCCCCCCCCCCCCCCCCCCCCCCCCCCTCTGAATCTGCCACTGATTGTGATCATGATGTATGCACAAGTTGAAGCCAGTTTCAATATTTTCATTGGTAAATTGAGCAAAAAATATAGCCCCCGCAGCCAGGGTGGAGAATAAAAATCAAGATGATTTAAATCACGATTTTTTAAATCATCATCTAAATTGGGCCAGTTTTAATATAATGATTTAATATAACCTTTCTCGCCAAAATAATTCCCCAAAATATTTCATTTGTTGTTTGTATATCATTTGATGCTTTCTATCTGCATTTGTTTTGTACTGAAATAAAAGAAAAAAAGAAATAATTTGGCAAGAGAGATTTATATTAAACTGAACGGTTCAACAAGCATTGCTCTTCTGAGAAAATCGGATCATTGAGCTTTATCTACCTTGCACTTTGTTCGTTAGTTACGTAATGTCTCATTGCAAGCAAATCAGAATGTGAAAGAATAAAAAATTAGAAAAAATAATGTCTTGAAATAAAATGAAAGAGTATTATAAGCAAAACTAAGCACAAAGAAAAGCTAACTAAAAAAATTCAGCTGTTTTTGTTCAGTTTGACTAGGGTTACATCAATAAAAAGTTGTTAATTAAACTGCATGAATCTAAAGTTACAGTAATTCTTCCGCATTGTTATCACTGATCGGACGGATCAACCCATGTTTAAAAATACATGTAGTAATAACGTCATGATTTTTAGCCGCAGTGATTTAAATAAAATTAATCCGATTTAAATCGAAGAAATCCGCATTTAATCAAATGAATTTGATTTAAATAATTGTTTTCTTAAAAATCATGATTTTTTTTACTACCATGCCCACAGCACAGTTAAGGTCCATACTTAAATAACAAAATGCATATAAAGCCGTATTCTGTAAGGTGCACCAGCGGAAATTCTGGAAAAAAGGCTCAAGGTAGACCCAAGCACTTCTTATGAGTTGTGAATGCGAAAGCATGAATGTCGTTTTTCGCTGCAGCCACTTCTGATCCTCTCGGCGCTGCGTGCTTGCGCCGGAGCAGAAACAGCAGAGGCGCTGAGAGAGGATCAGTGGGAGCCTCGGCCGTTTCTGCTCCGGCGTGGGCACACAGCGCCATGGGGTGGTGCTGCGTGCCCATGCAGCGCCACTCCATGGTGCTGTTTTGTGTGGCTTTCTGTGTGGTTTCAAAGCTGGGATGTCTCAGATCGCGGCTTCCGGAATTTATCTGCCGTTTGGCGCGGCTGATGACATCGGCTCGCACCATGGGACAGTTACGATGCACCGGAAAATATGGCACAATAAATGCGATGCGCCTTTGACAGTCTCACCTGCAGCAAGTTACTGCTATAACTAATGGGTTGGGGGAATCGTCAAACTTTGGGTAAAGCTTACTCCGTATAAGCTCAACTTCACGAACCACTGGGTTCGGTGGCGGTTAAGGGACTGCATAAATCAATTTTTTAACTTATCGCGCTGGGATTTACAACAGAGGTGCTTGAAGGTGTTGCATTCATTAATTGAGAGATGGATTCATGAAACCTCTGGAGTTAAAGGAAAGAAAATAAAAGCTGGTTTTGTTTGTGGAGAAATTATCACTAAGCCTTTTTTCTCAAAATTATCAGAAAATCGTTCTGGGTTATTCTGGCATTTATTACGACTGCAAAATTCGTGGAATGGAAAGGAAATACAATTGGCTTACCTATTCTTCACTGCAAAATTGGTGGAATGGAAAGAAAATACAATTGGCTTACCTATTCTTCACTTCATTTGGCCCAAATAAGTGCCAGGATGACAAAATATTTTCTTAAGTATACATGCATAGAGAAAACATAGTTTTTGGTTTTTCGTGGCTTACTTTTCACAATTTTAGTGAAAGCTTCCAGCATCTTTGGGCACCTTTGTAGTAAATCCTAGCGCGGTTTGTTAGGAAACCGATTTATGCAGTCCCCTCGAACAGCCATCAATCCTTTTGGCTCACGTCGTACATACTAGTGGTATAACAAATATATTTTGCAGAACCTGAAAGATGCTACGAGTAAGATATTTCTGGATTATGGCACTTTTAGTATCAATTGAGTCTCCCTGTGTCTTATTAGATGTAGATCACAGTGCAAAAGTTTGGGATGTCTAAAGGTGTACAGAAAACTGAGCCCTTATAAGCATCCGGCATACCTAGGTTTCACTAACCCTATCCCAACCTTTTGCAAGGTGGTGTCACCTTGCAAGAGGTGACACCAACTTGCCTGTCATTACCCTATGCGGTTCATGTGCGAGTTAATTGCTGCAAGATATTCTGATGCCTTTAACAGCTAAAATAAACCAGACAGCAGGAGTTTCAAGTAACATGCTTTCAACTAATTCATGATAAATATCAGAAAAATATCCATTTTACAGTGCTGCTTTCAATGTCTAACGAGTGTAATTTTCAAAATTTCTAGGTGCAAATGGTGCACTTTTCCCTTGCAACTTATACTACAACTGATTTGTTTTTACAATATTACATCTCTACTTTCGGCTCTTATGGTGCATGACCCTTTGTGTTATTATTCGTCACCTTACCTGAATGCTGAAAGTACTGACAGTAATGACACTGGGGCAGTTTGTTGATTGTTCTGTGGCCATGTTATGTCCTAACGTTGGCCAGGGTCTTGGAAGGGACAGCGCTTTCTGATCTACATCTGACTGAAACCTTTAAAAGGCATGCTATCTTTGATGTGTCATAAATCAGTGGTTCTCAACTGGGGGTACGCAGATCCCTTTAGGGTCCCTGAATCTCTCGACTGTCAGTTAAATCGAGTGATAGAACTTATTTTTTTTTATTGATACTGGCTCTTCCACAAAGCTAAACAGACAACACCTTGTGTGCCAAGTGAGTAGGGCTTCTTTGTTTCAGTGCTTCAAAGTTGCTTTCAAGTTGACTTTTGTCATTGTATTCATCCGAAATTCCATTGGTGGATGAAGTCCCCCATCGCTCCCACCAGTCTAGAACGGGTCCCCAAAACATTAGTGGTTGAGAACCATTGTCATAAATTATTAAAGCAATACATAAAAATTAATAGTAGCTGTTTTACAACTATACACTTCCTAGTACATTTGCAAGGCTGTCACTTTCATTTTTATTTGATTTTCAAATCAACTGCATTTCTTTGGGGGATGTTGATGAGTGTACTGTAGCATGCAACTTGTTAATTACAGGATAAAGTAGACCTTCCTTTTTTTTTCTTATCCCACAGATTACTATTTGGAGTACTATTTATGTTCCTGCTCAGTTGGACGTACAGAGTGAAGAATGTCGATGGCACTTTCCCCATCTACTACTACGTCGTCATCATCTGCGTCTATGCCGTTCATCAGGTATTCAGTGCACTTCCTACTTCACGCACATTTTTTTCTGGCTGAGAGAATATTCCACGAGACCGAAATTAAACGAAAGAACCAAAATAATGTGGCAATTTGTGTTCTTGCTTTATACCTTCGAATTGATAAAGTACTAGCATGAAAGGCTAATTTCGAGTAGGGTACCCCTGCCTTCACATAAGCTTTGGTTGTAGCATCACAAGGCTCAGACCTGCATGAAACAGGCTGCAGATTAGTGTTTCATGAGCCCCAGGCTAGTATAGACTTCTAATTAACTGTTGCATGAGCTCCAGATTAGTGTCAAATCAGCTTTAAACTAGTGGCACATGAGCCCCATACTCTATTTCATACATAGTGTACAATGCTGTCAAAGGTACTGGTGGGAGCACGCTGCCTCGTTATATATGCGTCTCATTCGCTTGTGCAAAGGAGATAGATATAGCGACATGCTCACACCAGTAGCTTTGACAGTGCCACACATTAAGTATGAAACAAAGTATTAGCTGTAATTAGTGTTGCATGAATAAGTTTTATACTAGTGTCAAATGAGCCCTAGACTAATGTCAGATAGACATGTAACTAGCGCTGCATGAGCTCCAGACTACCAGTGCAGAAACAGCCTCAGACTAGTGTCAGATGAGCAGTACAGTAGTGTCAGATGGACCCCTATACTCAGTCTCCTACGATGGACTAAGGCCCAATGCTACAGGCCGCCAGGTCCAATCACAGGCCCGTTAGAAACCATGTGGTATATTTGCTCCGTCGTACGTATCAGTGCACCAAGACACGTCATGTGGAGGCGAGTTTTTCATCTGCTTATCGAGCCCTTGCTTCGACATGGGAGCATATGTATGGACCATGTGCGGAAGGGAGATACGGGTGCGGGAAACTACATATAGATTGGATTGTTATGGCTAAGGCAAAATGACTTTGTCTGTGTTGCCTGCATGCCCTCCAACTTCTCCAAACAGTTGACATAATTATGAAACTAAATACCATGTACCTTTACTTCACCAATATAATATAGCGCTCTATCACAACAGAGAACCATATGCATAAGGCACGTTGGCGTAAGGTTAGTGCTCTTCATAATCTGCGTATCGGAATGTCACTTGTGCACTCTTTTGCAATGTGTATGCAAGCTTTTCTCAGGTAGTGCTCCGCCCGCCAGTCTTCGGGCCCTAGTCCATCGTAGAGTGAGACGGAGTATAATTATAGTGCTGCGCGAGCTCAAGAGTGCAGGATTGGCCTCAGACTGGTGTCGTGGTGTCTTTGGTCTCGCCCAGGTGACAGTGTACAGTATCTTTGTGTCCCTGATGGCGTTCCACGCGAGGGTGAGTGACCCGGCCATTGGGGGCACCTACATGACCCTGCTGAACACGGTCACCAACCTGGGGGGCAACTGGCCAGCCACCGTGTCCCTCTGGTTCGTGGACAACCTCACCTTCCAACACTGCAAGGGTGCCGGGGATGGCTGGACACAGTGTTCGTCCAAGGAGGACCAGGAGGTGGGTTGGCCTCCACCACTTCATCGTAAAGCAAAATGCACAAAAAAAGAAAGGCTTGAGGTACACTTAAAGGGACAATGAAGACAATTTTATTTAATTTTTTAAATGGTGTTTTTATGCTTCTTGGGAACATAGCATGCTGCCCAATTTTTTGTAGACATTTGTGACGCGTATTTCTGTGCCTACGAAAGAAGTAAGGAAACCGAAACTGAACAGTATCTATTCTCGTTTCTGGGCCTCCGAAAACGGAGGTGACGTAGGGAGTGACGTCAAGTGTGAATAGTCGCTATCAGTAGTATTTAGGAGATCAAGACTCTGGTTACCGCGGTGGGTTATAGCAGCGCGGCGGCGCAGTCATTCCTTCGAATCTGTCAACATGGACGGCAATGCCGCTTTCGCGAGCGAGTTCGAGCTTCCGTTCTGTAATCCAACACAAACGAAACGGGAGTACGTGTGTCGCGGCCTTTGTCGACGGAGACCGCCCAGCCGGTAAGGTGCGGCCCGCATGCCGAAGTGCCCACCGAAGTGCCCATAGTTGCTCGTTGGCCGTTTCGCGTTCAGCGTAGCAAAGAAAAAAGCAATTATGCTGCTTTATTTATGATTTAGTAATCATTTCCGGTCTGATTTGTACTTTTCATGGTTATTCAAGCGGAAATTAGAACAGTATTCCTAAAAATCGCGAACCAAAACGTGACCGAGGGCACGTCTCGTTTCGACCAATCGCTGACGCGTCTCTTGTGACGTCGCGCTTCTTGGCCCCAGATCGGTCACGTGAGCTCCGCTTCTCCTGGCTTCTCCCGCAACTCTCGGAGCGTCGCCCCAGTCGATCCCGGTACGATTATTACCGCGACTGTCTAATTGATATGCGCGGCACACAAGCGCCGGTTTCGGCTGAAATTTGGGCAATGTGGCCAGAGACGTCCCTGGAACCCAGTTCAATCGCCAAAAAGATGTCCGAAATTGCCTTCATTGTCCCTTTAAGCGCTTCTTACGAGTTGTAAATGCGAAAGCATGCATGCCGTTCTTCTGCTCCTGTGTTTCATTTGCGGCGTATTTGCGTCGGCCATGCAGGCGCTCTCCCAGCTTTCCTCGCAGCTGACCTTGGACGCTTCGTGTTACAGGCGCACTCGCGGCGCGGACACGCAGCGCCATGGGGTGGCGGTCGTTGAAATGGACGTGCGCAGCGGCCAATGGGAGCCTCGTCAACATGCGCTAGCCAATTGGACCGAAGGCGAAATTGATTAGCTTTAATCCGCTCCTTTGGGATCGAGGAAACTAGGTGCCGTTGTCTGGGCTTTTCGCGTGGTTTCATAGATGGGAGCTGGCTTACTTGGAGAAAGGATGTAAAGTGCAGTTTGGCACGCTTCAAACTGATAACGTCGGCTCGCTCCATGGGACAGCTAATGCTTTCACATTAATAAGTAACTTCAAGAGCCCATAGGAACCTCTTAAAAAAGTGCAAGCACCATGTGACTATAATGGCCAATCACATGACTCTAGTAGCCACTTTTCTGCGGGCTTCCATGGGCTCCCACGGGTGCCAACTACAAATTAGTTCCTCGCCATAAATATAGATCTAAAATAAAAAAAGTTTTTTTGTTGTAAATTTATTTTATGGCATCAATGTACCATTCAGGCTGTTAAAAGTTTTGTTTTTCTTTGCATATGTTTTTTAAGAGTTCCCATCACTTACAACTTTAGCTGAGTGAATGCCGGAGAAGAGGTCGCCCTCCTCCATATCCAATGTTTGCTCTGCCAAAGTGGAAAGGGGTGGGAGGAGCTTTTCCCAAACTTTGAACCCGTCACCGACTAGAGGAAGTGTTGGGCAAGTGCAGCCGCACCTATGGTGGAAGAGGGTGTGCGGGAGGCGGGAAGAAAGAGAACAAGCACCCACTTTGCAGGAGTAGACCCTTTGCGAAAATCCCAAAAGCCTATGCGAGCCGCGCGACGAATAATGGAAGTCCTTGGTATGCCCCTCCCACCCAAGTGGCATATGCCAGCAGGCGCAGGTTACCATGGCAACAACTTTTGAGCAGCCGAGTCGGGCGAGCGACGAGCCAACGGCTGCCCCTTTTTTTATCTCTCCTTTGTACCGGCTCGGTCGTCTGCTGCACCAATGCTTTGTCGAAATATGCCACGGTTGCGGTGCAAAAAAAGTGGATTCGGTGACACTTCAATACAAGAAGGCAAGTTACGACGAATAACGTATTCAAATAAGTTCACCTGTCGCGATGCCTTTATGCTGCCACAGATACGGTACGCCGCCAACGACATACGACTTCGGCAGATGGGCGGGATGGCGGATGGCTGCAACGGCTGCTGGCAATAGCTGCCGGGACGAGCGCGCAGTCGCAACGAGAAAGCGCATGATCTGTACCGAGGGTTCCCGAAATTCCCTGCCGTCGTGGTGCTGTACATTTTGCAACGGGCCTATTGGGGCGTTCCTCAGGGCCAAAGGTTTAAGAATCCTCACCTCGCAATATATTTATTGCGAGCATCAAGGTGGCCTTGAAGAGGTTTGAAGCCCGTCACATGCGCATTAATTGCCCAAACTTCCGGCATTTAAGCGTGCAATCTTTCCTTTAGCCTTTTTCAGTGCGGTAGAACGGCATGCTTGCTCCCCCAACCACAACCGTAGACTATGCCATAATGCAACACATGTGCCGGAAGGCTTTCGTCGAGCTCTCCCGTTGCTCCTCGCCCAGGCGTGTGCTGGTCAGGGGGGCACCTGCGAGACCACCCTGGACGGCTACTACATTGAGATGGTGCTCTGCATCCTGCTGGGCTTTGTGTGGCTCCTCTACGCCAGGCGGAGGGCCCGTTGGTTGCAGTCGCTGCCGCCAGCCGCCTGGAGGTGCTCCTGAACCGTCGGTCCGTTCGACGAGGTGGGCCGACACCCCGCAGCACTCGATCTGCGTCTTTGCCACGGCGCCGATTTTCGAAGAACTTAAGTCCTCGACGGAATGAGAATGGCAGGACGTGTCTTTTGAACGCCCGGCCTCCGGCAAGCGCTCCATGCCTTTCGCCGTGCTTTGGCTGTGCACGCACGCACTCCGGGTGCAAGAGATGTTGAAGCGTCGTTGAGGAGCTCGTACCAGAGGCGGGACAATGGAAGCTCCTCCCTGCGATTCTCACCCTGTCAGTGATTGCTGCCACCGGTGCTGTAATGGTGTTGAAGTGGTGAAACACGTCTTCTTCTTTCAGGACAAAGGTGCTGTGACCACCAATCTCCTCCTGTGTAAGGGGGTTGGGGCTCAGTCACCAATAGTTCCAACAGAGTTCACCACAAATCTCGTCGTCTGCGACACAACACCAACTGTGTTGACGGCCCCGGTGTTTGAACTATCCGAGTGGAAAAGAAACTCTTGCCAAACCTCAATCCATCAAGCAATGACAAGTGGGCATTCTCTTTTTCTTGCTTTATACCGGGTTGGCAAGCGTCGCAGTGTTTTGATGGTGAAAGGACCTTTAGACATCTGATGCCGGGAAACATTCCGTTTTTTTATGTTTTTCAAAGGGTCGTATAAGTTGAGTGTCTTGTGCAACTTTGCATTTTGCTGGTTACACCAGAAAACCTGTTTTTATTGGATTTGTGGGTCAATTTCTTCTTGTCTCAGGTGCTTCTTTCAATCTATTCGAATTTGGCTGGTGTACAAAACTCTCGCAGAAGTGCATTAAAAGCATAAACGAGTGTGAATATGTAAATGTACAGGGATATGAATTTTGTTGATGCCTTGGTGTCAGATACAACCATACTAATGTCGGGTGACCGTGCAAAATGTGGTGACCACCCAAAAGCTGCATTTTGCACACGTGCAAAATGCCGCTTCCAGGTGGTCACTAAAAAGATGGTGACTTTCAAACAGTCCCTAAGCTCTGGCACGCACCACTAATTGTGCTTTGTAGGACTAGCCAACCTAGACTCCTTAGTGTGGCATGTTTAAACATCTTTTATTGAAAAATGTTGATAATTGGAGCACAAGTGAGAGGAGATGCAATTGGAACAATTATACCATCTACAGTAAATTCAGTAAATGTGCAGACAACAAGCAACAAAAAACTCCACTTGGCAGATTGTGTTCCACCATGCTCAGACGCTCAATCGAAAGACTGACAAGCTGCAGCATGGCTCGCATCACTTCAATATTTATTTACCCCAATAAAATCTACACGAGTGTTCTCTGCATTGTTTTTCTGATCATACATGCACAATGGTTCATAATGGTAGTATGGTAGCCTACTCAAAAGGGCTTGCCGATCAAAAATGATTTTGGCCCCTGGTCAAAAACTATACAATTCATTCAGCTTTAAAAAGGCAGTGTTTTGGACATTCCATATAGAAATGGAACATTTCACTATAAACAAATCCTAGCAAAATTCTAAAAAAACTGAAAGTTGACTGGGTCACTTAAAAAGAAATATGCATATGTCAAAAAAGTATGAGGCAACATGTCGATTAGCTTACAAACACTGGTAAAAAAAACAAGCCTGGCGAAATATGGGAATGCACATTCCAAACAAAAATTTAGCTTTCGTCCAAAGTCTAGACAAGTGCAAAGAAATTGTGAAGAATGAGTTAGAAACAAAATATGTCGTCTTTTGAGGTGTGGTAGACAAATACAAAAACAATATAATAATGCGACTGACTACATCTCGCACATGCTTGAAATTTCGTGTTCATCATTAGACTCCGCGTCACGATTGTGCTTGGTGTTGCGGAGGGCACGGGCAAATTAAAGGTGAGCAATTGGCGGTTAAAAATTCAATAGGGTTGGGTGGTTCATCGTTTTCACGGCACAAAGAAGGCCAAGCTTATGGTTGCTTTACAATGGTTTGCCTTTGCGCTGCAAAAGTTATAATCATGCAGCACCGCTCCATTCTAACTATTGTTTATGCACCTCTAATCTCAAATGTACGAGAGCCACCGAAATGGTTTCCACGGCCATGTGCTAGCGTGTTCCACGACGCTGCACAGACTTCATAAAACAATTCATAAAGAGTGAGCCACATATGAACCAATGCTTACTGCTTACCACATAACCATGGTCGGCAATATTCCTCAGGCTCGCCGCGACACCACAACAAATGCAATGACTTGATTATCACAGCAAACTGCAGGTCAAGCAACCGCAAGAGCGGCGAATGACACCGCGAAAAGACTGGCGACCTCACTGCACTCCAATTCCGACGCAGGGGAGGGCAACAAAGTAGGCAAACAGCAGCACGTTGGCACCCACGCTGAGGAGCAGGAGCAGGCGAGTGCATGGGACGCGCTTCTTGGCTGGCGTCTGACAGTATCCTGCACAAAGGACAAACAGGGACCAAAAGATGAAAGAAGTTTACAATTCTCTGTAATGCCGAATTACAGCGCAGCTCTTTAGGAGTAGGAGGGAAGGGTATGGAGGGGAGAGGAATTTACCGGGAAATTGTGGGACAGTTTCCCGGTAAATTACCGCGCAAAATATAGCGGGGAAATTTCCCACAAAGTTCAGCTGGAAAATTTGCCAGCTACATTTGGCGAGAAAATTTCTCTGCTAAACTTGGCAAAAAAATTTCCCCGCTAAATTTGGCTGGAAAATTTCCCTGCAAAACCTAGCGGAAAAAATTGTCGGAGAAATTTCCTTGCTAAATTTAGCGCAAAAATTTCCCGCTGAATTCATAAAAAAAATTTCCCCGCTAAATTTAGTGGAAAAATTTTTCGCCTAATTTAGACGCCATGTGACGTCATTCAAGATTGCTGTGACGTCACAACTGATGTCATTATGGGAAACTTCCCATAACTCAATGCGCGGTTATGGCGACGGCACTCAAGTCTGAAACGGGTGCCTAAAAGCTGCGCTAAAGAGAACATTTTTGGATCATTCTCCATTTCATCATAACTCCAGACAGGCTGTTTTAACATTTCTGAAGGACGGAAGAGCTTCCTGCGATTTCAGATGGAGCTTCGGACACCTGGCAACAGTGACTTTAAGCACAAAGATGGCTGAAGTGTTGCCACTCTGAAGTGTAACATATTTAGCGTCTCCAGTCAAAGCGGGTCTCGAAGTTGCAGGCTCGTGCCTTTGCATTTGGTAAAACTGCACACAAGCCCTCCTTTTTTTTGGCTGTAGATTTTGAATGTGTCGTCACGGCAAATTCCACCCACTTTTCATTGTTGGAATGTGTACCCACCGGTACTATGCTCGTTGAGCCCGTTTCGTTAGTTGGTGATGCCATGACGCCTCAGGCACGTAACTGTATCAGCAGGGCTGGGTAGGTACCATTATTAAAGGGCCATTGTTAACTACAAACTAAAAAGTCACTTCGGTACCCCTTGAATACAAAGTCCATGAGGTGAAGGTAATCTTGCAGGAACACCGAAATCATTTTCAAACCAATTTTTTGGTCTATGTTAAAGGGACACTGACAGGGTATTTACGCTCGCCAAAGTTCTTACTTGTACATTACATATGAGAGCTCAGCTACCCAGAAAATAATTTGAGACTAAAAATTTGTTTTCTTTCTGACCGAAAACAGCCGATTGAGAATTGGCCGTTTTGAGTCGCGCTCACCCTCTTCTCCGTGGCCACGTGCCATTTTCTATGGTTTAGAGACAACCACCAAATATAATCAAAGCCGTAGGTCATCGAGACACAGACAATATTAAGAATAGAAAAGAAATATGACAATCATTTTTTGTAGCTCTTAAAAAGCTGGAAATGCGTTGTTTGGGGCAAAAAAGTATCACAGCCAGGTGACTTCCACCACCTCATTCCTCCTCCATGTTTCTTCTTCCTCTCCAGTCCGGTTTCGAGCAGTTGCATTTTTCTTTTATTTTATTAAAACTATATGTGACGCTGTAGCAAAATAGTAATTGGGTAGTCTTCTGACACCATAATGAATCGCCCGGCAACAAATAAAAATATAAATTTTGGTGGTGTCGGTGACCCTTTAATATCCCAAGAGGTGCCCCCTATTCTTGGCATGATTTGCTATTCTTTGAAAAACACAGAAAGGCAGATCATTTATAGTAAATACAGGGCCCTGGCCAATGGTGTTACTTAGCCAAGGCAGGAGATAGGTGGACATTGCTGACTGGGAACGACAGCAGTCTTCAGTACATCGCCCCCTCCCTGCAGTCACGAGTTTCGCAAGTCACAAAATCTAAAACTAACATTTTTTCAACCTTCTTTCTTTTTTTTTCTATCGCACACCGAAAGTTAGTTTACCCCCTATTTTCACCCGACTTGCTTTCAACTTCAGGAGGGCTATCTCTCGGGACATTACGGTAGTTCCAATACCAAGAGGAGACGGTTTCTTGCCCCACAACTTTAACCTTCAGCCGTTAGGTCCTCCTTTCCGTACCGATACGAGAAACCCTGTTCACGCGCTGACCCTTCAGCACAACGGGGCAGCACACGAGACGGGGCGGAGACAACTCACCGGCTGCTGTCGACTTTTCCAGTCCCCAGCGAGTGTTTTGGCTCACAGACGACCCGATGAAGCTCATCTTCTCGCAGTCGTCCTCATGTGGTGGGCTCCCATTTGCGCGCTGTCTTACGAAACACGTCCCACGATCCCCCTCCGCATTCGACGGAGAGCGGCCACCGAGCCAAGCCGATCTTTGGCTGGCAATCGCCGACGGCGGCGCCAGGGAGAAGCTGCCGGCCAGGGCCGGCAAAGAGCCGCTTGCCGAACTGGTAGACATCACGCTCCTTTTGATGATGGAGTTTGAGGAAGCCAGCATTGCTTGGGACGCCGGCTTTCGGGCTAGTCGAGAAAAGAGAGGAAGACCATCCGCTGAGCGCGTGCATAGCGGTAAGTCGCGAGAGTTAAAATAATTATTAATGGAACGAAGTAGGGAATGTCGTATAACGTTCATACTGGCAGCTACCATCCTTGGGGATAGTGATAATTGATGCGTTCAATTTACCCACATCTTTTCCGCTAGCTGCACCATGTGCGAGTTGCGATATTCAATTTACGAGCGGAACTGGTTTTAGAACAGCAATTCTCAAACTTTTGGCTTTCGCAGATCCCCCGACCCACTCGGAGGCTGTCTGGGGACCCCCAATACACTCTGCATCGGAGGTGTTGTACAATAACATAGGAAGGCTTTAGTCTAAAGTGTTCTTTTTTTTTTTATTTGGTGCAGGCTCCCATGAACGCTCTCGAGGACCCCTGCCCAAAAGTCAAATTTGGTGGTTTTACATGCCAAACCTACGACGGCATCTGGCACGCCCCAGCGGAGGACTGAGGATTAATTTGGACCACCTGGGGATCTTTTGACGTGCAACCAAAAGCTCGGTTACCACAGCGCCTTCTCCGCAATAAACTTCCGTCAAATTGCGGGCACCTCCGCCGGGATTCGAACCTCGAGGACCCCTGGGGGGTCCGCGGACCGCAGTTTGGGAACTGCCGTCTTAGCATGTACCGGAAGCATACTGCCCAGCACTTTTCCACACTGCGCTACACTTTTCTGCACCGATACGAAGGGCAGGCAAATCGAACAAGCCCGGTATTTATTGCGCATCGTAGTTCACTGCGGCGCTCGGCATACAGCTGGCCAGGAAAAGGCCCACACGCGTCAAGTTTCCCTGGCACCAACTGGGCAGCGCAAGACGAGTTAGTACAAAAACACACTTACAAAGACGCGCAAGCGTACAAATAAATATATGTGAATGTAAACGAGCCCCCAAAAAATGGGGGGAGGGCAGGTGGAGTTAGTCACTCTAAAGGCTGGTTCACACACGTGCTACTGCTTACGAAAAACTTCTGACAATGTTATCAACGACCCTTTCTCATAGATGGTACATACATTTGATCTCGCGAATGCTGCAAAACTTTCGCCCAAGTAAATTGTGGTTTTAGGGTCACTTCACAGGTGGCGCCAGTGTGCCAGTGTGTCGTCTCGTAAAAGACCACAAACACTCGGTCGTAAGCAAACGTAAGTGTGTGGACGGGCCTTGACGGTTAAACTCACTCAAGGCGGCAGAGTCCTTTCCCGTTGACCCCGCGAGCGAAGGGGGTGGCGTCAGCATGCCGAACGTCTGCTTCACTCCCCACAAAAACTCTGATCCGGCAGTCGAAAGCGGGCCCTTGCTGCTCGGCGAAGGACTTGCAACGCCTCCCGTAGTTGCAGAGAAGTTTCCGGCCGCCCGAGCTAATACGGACGACCCCGGCGTCGATGACTGGGGACTCGGGCGGAAGCCAGGGGGCCACAGCAACGGCCGTGCCGGCCCCGACGCGCAGCTGCCGTTTGGCGCGGAGGGACGTCCGGCCTTGCTTGGGGATTCGCGTCCCGGCGCGGACCGAGGCCCTGAAAGGAAGGCAGGTTGGAGCCTTTGAACGAGAATGTTACGGCGAAAACCTTTCCGCACTCGTGGAGCACGCTGGAAACTAAAATTTCACCAGAGTTAAGCGCCCGTCATGGGACATGCGACACTCCGGCGCTAAGCGAGCCTGTGGCTGCAAACTTTCTGGGAGGATTCCCGAGTGGATCCGAAATGTGACTACAATGCTCATGATGCTGTAAACGTTTGCAAACAAGAAATTTATGCATTCAAACATTTCCTGACTACTGGCTTGGCATGTTTTAAGCTTCCCAACCAAGTGGTTTGATAGATTTGCTGTTTTTAAGCCTACGTCCTGCAGTACAATGGGTTTCATGAACTTCGAACACTGCCGGGATTTGCAAAGGGTGACTGTCAATGATTTATAGCTAAGTAATACAAATAAAAAAAAACAAAAAAAACACACACACAAATAAAGCGAAAAGACAAGAGGAGCAAGAGTCGGACTGTGCAAATTCTGACAGGTTGTCGTCTATTTCCATGGGCTCATGTAAAACACAGAGTGCAAAAACTGAATCTCAGCATCCCCGTGAACAATCCTTGGTAACGCATTCCTTAGTCTTTTGAGCAATAGATGCAATTCACAATGCATGATCATGCATTTGCACCCCGCTGTACAATACAGTAAAACCTCTCTATGGCAAAGATTCATAGAATAGCAAAGAAGATATGGATATAGTGAAACAAAATTGAAGCATGCTTGTAATACTGGTGCAGGCATTCGTTCGACATACTGATATAGACAAGACGCCGATACGATGGTGAAGATTTTTGCTGAATGAAGAGTCTTTACCCTGGAGAAGACCTAATGTACAATGTGCAAAGAAAAGATCATCTGCTCCATATCCAGAGCTGCAAATTAATTATGACTGCATGGCACAGTGCATGTACACAAATATTTTTAAGGGGGCATTGAGTCCATTTTTGAGATCATCTATTTATGGCCATAACTCAGTCTATGGCCTCTAAGCATTCTAAAAAACCCAAGATTAGATTGACGTGCATCTAATTTCCCTATTAAAGACCAGATCAAAGAACACAACATACCCGTTTTCCCGCAATTCGGCACAGAAACTAGAGGGCATGGTCAGACATGCGATATCCAATCGTGAGCAATCGCTTCTCGCATGGCAAAAGGGCCGACCCTGACTTGTACATAACTTAAATACTCCGCTCAAGCTACCGCATCTTAAAGGGGCCCTGCAATCGTATTTAAGCGTCTACCTTTTTTGCGGTTTCCACGTCTCTTGGGGTTCGGGCAAGCCACCGGGCACGGAGAGAGTAACTAAATGTCAGTGCGTCATATTTTAACGAACGACGCAGAAACCTCCTCCACCTATGGGGGCGACCTGCGGCGCCGAAAGCGCGCGATATGTGACGTCTTTGGTCTTGGGCTTACTACTGGTCAGAGCCGCTAAGAACTTCTTTTTAGTCGAAATACAAAATATAAATGGCACAAACCATTTCAATTCTTTATAAAAGTAGTTTTTGTTCACTATTTTAGATCAGAAAAGAAACAAATGCAGTTTAGGAAGTAGGGAAACAAGAAATAACCCGTCGACATACCCGCCACCACGCGGTGGAAAAGGCGGCGCATACTAGAAAGGTGTAAAGCGGGATCAAGCACACACACGAGCGGCGAGCATAGAAAGGTCCTGGATGTACACGGCGGTGCTGCGATCGTATGGACTGGAGAATCCGACCGGTTCCGAGCACTCCCAAGGCCCTCGGCGAGCAGCTTTGGCTTGCGATTTGGCCTTTTGGAGGTATGGCAGTGCGAAGTGGCTCCCGTTCTGAACTGATCTTTACCCCCCGTGTTTGCTGTCGTTTGTGGCCAATGAAGTGTCATGTTGAATTAGCGTTTAATCGCGCAGCAAATGCAATGCGAGCCACCCTGGCTGCCCGCTTCATACAGCCTATCCAGAACATGCTTCAGTGGCGCCTTCTCGAGCCGTCGACACGGAGCGCAGAAGCCGTGACCGCATGCAGAGCTCACTACCCCTCTTCTAGTTCACGGCCACTCGAGCAACCAAGGACGTCATGAAGAAGGTTATTTTTTGCTTGTTTTTGTAGTTGTAATTTGCCTATAACTTTTAAAATGAAGGCGAAATTCGAGAAAAGAAAAGCTTTATTAAGTTACTACGTTCAGTGCGCTCAGGTTCGGTGCAAATTTAAAACCAGTAAAAAAGACCTTGCAGGGCCCCTTTAAATACTCTTGTAACTTGGTATTTTACAAATACTTTTGAAAGTGAGTATTTTGCAGTCAAACTTAAACACTTTTTGCAAGTAACTTATATTCACTTTGCAGTTACTCGCGAGTTACAGCTCAATTTGTAGACGTACGAGTGATCTCCCTTTTCTGTCTTCGTGGGGCACCTGTTTAGCGTCGGCGGATATGCGTTTAAGAAGAACAAAAAAAACAAGCAACTTGTCGGATGCAAATTTAGAAAAAAAGCTGCTCCTGCGAGCCATAAAGCATTTTGGTAAAGGCATTTTTTAATATTTTTTTCTTTTGCGGTTAGTTGTTTACCAGTATATTGCAGAATAAATTGTAACTTAAAAGCATCTTGAAAGTAACAAGCTACTTGTTTTGAGTATTTAGTACTCAAATACTTTTCAGCTCTGAAGGGATACTGAACTGAAATTTGGATTTTGTAAAATAAGGTGGCGGAAGCATTGAACGGGACACTACGAACCCCAAAACATCGCTCGCACATCGATATCTCAAACGGATGGCCGTACTTTTGGAAAAGAATAGCGTGATCAAGCGAGGTCTTTTACGTCACTGTCCTCCGGAAGAATTTGAGAATGAGGGGAAGCGACCTCACTTTTCTCCTCCTCGCTTCGGTTCATCAGCTCGACGGGACGTAGCGAAGAGGAGAGGGAATGGGAATCGTGACATCGCATACCTCGTTGGTCGTATTCAATCGTGCACTTATTTTCCAAAATACAACGATCCGTTCGAGATATCGCTGTATGAGTGATGTTTTTGGGTTTTACAGCGTCCCGCCTATCCATCCAGCCCTGATTTGTGAGGTCGAAATTTCGGTTCAGTATCCCTTTAAATGTATTTAGTACTCTACTCGGTTACTTTTCAACCTCGTACTCAGTTACTTAATTTAAATACAAGCCCGGGCCAACTAATGGCGGAATGATTTTTGAATGTGTGTGATTCGCACATGGGAAGCAATCACTTGCAATTGGCTGGCACACTTTCGATGGTCTTGTTTTTAATAGAGAAACTGTGCGTGCACGAATCTAATCTTGGGTTTCTAGAATGCTTAGAACCTGCAGACTGAACTAAAACTATAAACAGACAATCTTGGAAACCACTTTAGTGCCCCTTTAACACTACCAAGAAATGTGTAAGATTGTCAAACCAAACTTGCCACTGCTCCGAGGAACTTCACTGTCGGGTGAGATGTGAACCCGTTTGAGTAGATCTTGCAGTGGTTCGCCACGAGCAGTGGCAGTCTTGGCTGGAGGTACCTCAGTGCTCTGAATGACCTGGCTTTGGCTACGACTACGGCTGCTCAGTGTTTCCCAGTTGGGCTTGCAGGACGTGAAGGAGCCACTGCTCAGGCTTGCTCCACTTGCCCCACTCGGACTTGACGATAGACTTGTTCCAGGGAAGTTACCCAGCTTCCTGGACGGAGAGGAAAATTACCTTGGATGAAACCAGTACGGCTAGCACAATGTATTCCAAAACGAAGGAATACAACCGAAACTCCTGCCAGGTCTGCCAATAGCGAACTATTTTGTTGAAGGCCGACATGAGTATTACATACTCTAATATATGATTATCTCTGGTCAAGAACCGTTGAATAACGTAGCAATGAGTTTCCGTTAAAAATGACGCATGAATGTACCATTCACAACTTAACTAGAGCACTCCAAATAATTTGTCGCATTGCCCCGATAACCAGTGCCAGGGCAAAATGCCTTAGCTACCTTCAAGACTGGATGTTTGAAGTGGGATTACACATTGCTATAGGTGTACCTGCAGAGAACATTTTGCTGAACATATACACAACAAGTGAGTTGTACCAATTCAAACGTTGACAGTGACTACACATTTTGAGGGGCGAAGCTCCTTAGGGGCTAGCCATGTCCATATGTTCGTCCCCGCACGAGCAGGAGCTCACGAGCAGGAGCTCACGAGCTCCTGCTCCTGTGTTCAGCAGCGAGAGCAAGAAGAAAAAAAAAGGACAGAAAAAAAAAAAAAAAAAATAGGGGGCTCTGAGATGCCATCTTATCTAGAGTGCCCTCATACACACGCGCGCTTTTGCTTGAGTGGTGACATCTCAGCCATTTTCACGCCCAGTCGTTTTGTTTTATGCATTTTGAAGTGCGCGCAATACGGTGTTACTCAGCTCGAGCGCGCAGCTTTGGCTAATGCATAGACGCCATTTTACTACCCAAGTCACGCACCGAGTGCGCGAGAGTGTCACGCGCTGGCACATTCAGTGCAACAATGGATGTCTTCACCCTGAGACAGACAGACATGTAGGCACCCTAATCTTATCTGTCTTCTTAAAAAAAGAAAAAGAAAACCACACATTCTTCTACTGACATGAATGAAAATGGCACCATCAGCACTACCTATGACCAAAATCAGTATCAAGAAAAAGAAGAAAAAAAAAAGTAGGGGTTCTGAGTTGCCATCCCATCTGTCTTCTTAAAAAAAAAAAAAAAAAAAAAAGCCACACATTTTTCTATTGACATGAATGAAAACGGCACCATCAGCACTACGTTGACCAAAATCAGTATGAAGAAAAAGAAGAGAAAAAAAGATTAGGGGGTTCTGAGTTGCCATCCCATCTGTCTTCTTACGAGAAGAAAAAGAAAACCACACATTCTTCTACTGACATGAATGAAAACCGCACTATCAGTACTACCTAGTGCCACTAAATAAGCTACGCTTCAGAGTAACGACACTTGGCCATATTGTGGCTCAAAATCATGGTTGCCAGCTATCTGAAGCTTTATCTGAAATCACTGGAAACGCTTTTCCGTCCTTCACAAATGTTTTAAACAGTTCGCGACAGAGCAAAGCAATATTACATGAGCTTCCTAACACCGAATCTAATGCTGAGGAAGTCGCACTTTTGAATCATGACGATCGGCAGTTGCTTCTGCTCTGCACAAGTCCCAAAATGGCGGCGCCCACAGCAATGTCGAGGAAGGGAGTGCCTATACTCTAACCGTCGAATTCAGAAACCTCACTCAAACTACACTCAAACTGAAGGTCCCCTCCACTTCCTCGAGGAAGGCGCGAGGGCCGGCGCTGGCCAATCGCGACGGCAGATCCGTCCTCGCGATTGGCGAGAGCCGGCCCTTGAGCCTTCCTCGAGGAAGTGGAGGGGCCCTTCAGTTTGAGTGTAGTTTGAGTGAGGTTTCTGAATTCGGCGGTAAGCGCAGCTGATTTAGTGGCTCTAGTACTACCTATGATCAAAATCAGTATCAAGAAAAAGAAGAAAAAAAAAGAATAGGGGGTTCCGAGTTGCCATCCCACCTGTCTTCTTAAAAAAAAAAAAAGAAGAAAACCACACATTCTCCTACTGACATGAATGAAAACGGCACCATCAGCACTACCTATGACCAAAATCAGTATGAAGAAAAAGAAGAAAAAAAAATAGTAGGGGGTTCTGAGTTGCCATCCCACCTGTCTTCTTACAAGAAGAAAAAGAAAACCGCACATTCTTCTACTGACATGAATGAAAATGGCACCATCAGTACTACCTATGATCAAAATCAGTATCAAGAAAAAGAAGAAAAAAAAAGAGTAGGGGGTTCTGAGTTGCCATCCCGTCTGTCTTCTTAAAAAAAGAAAAAGAAGAAAACCACACATTCTCCTACTGACATGTGTCAGCAACAGGCCTTGACAAGACTCTGACCTAAGGTCGCAAACGTTGCCCGCCTTTTTTTTTTTTTTTCTATTTTCTAATTTATGTACTGCGCGTGCGTGTGAGTGTGTGTGTGGGCCTGAGATGGAACGCCTTCTTTTCATACCTATATCTTTCATTCCCTAACTCCCCTCCCCACTCAGAGTAGCCAGTCAGGAGATCAACTCCAGGCTAACATCTCTGATTTCCTTTCTCTACATCAAATAAAAAAAAAAAAAAAAAAACTACTGACATGAATGAAAACGGCACCATCAGCACTACCTATGACCAAAATCAGTATCATTAGCACCACCCGAGCTTCGCCCCAATCAACATCATTCACCACGTGGAAATGCGGTAATTTTTTTATTTATCCTTACAAGTTAATAATGTTTAGAAAACTGTTATATGAGAGTATACAACCTAAACGGTTGTAAATAGGGTTGTGGGGATATTATACAGCGTGTAGTTGGTCAGCCATTTAAAGTTGCGACGAGTCACACGCTGTAGATGAGCAATTTAGCCAGTGCAGTACAACCGCTAGCCTGGGGTCTTTAACGTGCACCACGCAGTAGTGATACACGACCGCACGCCGGTACGTTGGGTGAGCATCGTACCGGCGTGCGGTCGTGTATCACTACTGTGTAGTGATACACGACCGCTTCACGTACCTATGGGGAAGACAGTTCACCATCCGCACCGACCATCGCGCACTCGTCACCCTCATGTCTACGCAGGGCACCGGAGCCCGACCACTACGTATCAGCCGTTGGACAGCTCGTCTGTTCAACTACAACTTCATCATGGAGTATCGCAAGGGAGCTGACAACACAGTCGCAGACGCACTGTCCCGTCTGCCCGTCAGGGACACCGAAAATGGCACGAATTTTCCCGAAGAAGTAGTTTCCATTGTCTGCGCCTCACTAAACCAGCGAGACTTCCAAGATGCAACAGCTCGTGACCCCATTCTACTGAAGGTCATGGAGTACATCTCGACAACATGGCCAGCTGAAGACAAGCTGCCTCCAGGGTTCAAGCCCTGCTTCGCAGTCCGAGAACAGCTGGCCCAGGTGGATGGACTGCTGTTTAATGCCGAAAAGATTGTCGTGCCGACCAGTCTACGTGACCAGGTCATCGAGATAGCGCACGAAACGCATCAAGGGATCACTAGGACCACAGGTCTCATCAAAGAACTCTACTGGTGGCCTCAAGTATCTCTCCACATCAAGCAATATGTCCAACATTGCACCATCTGTCAGTCTACGGACAAACCTGCGAAGACATTCCGAGCACCCTTGCAGCCAGTCGATTTTCCATCTCGTCCTTGGACGAAGTTAGGTATGGACATCGTTGGTCCGTTGAAACGTGCTCCGCGCGACGAACGTTGCTTTGTAACCCTTGTGGACTACCACAGCAAGTGGCCAGAGGTCATGAGTGTCCACAACGTCACGACTGTGGACATTTAACCGAGGCTGAGGTCCCGCAGCCACCGTCCACGACGGACTTCAGTCCGTCCACCCATTTTTCTAATCCCTTTGGAACTTCGTCGTCGGCTGTTCCCACAGCCCAAGGTCCGTCGACCTCGTCCAGTAATCGCTCCCCTCGTCGGTGAGCGACTGTTCCAAGCTTCCTCCCGGTTTCGAGGAGTTTGAAGATCTTTTTTCGTCCGAGTTGGGTCTGGTCGTAAACCAGACACATACCATCACGGTCCGTCATCATGTTCTGCCTGTTCAGGCGAAGCTTCGTTGTTTACCATTCACGCTGCGCGAGTCCGTAACGGCCGAGATCCAGAAGCTCGAACGTCAGGGCGTGATCGAGCGCGTCAGCGCCTCAGAGTGGGTCTCGCCGATCGTAGTCGTAAAGAAGAGAGACGGCGGTATCCGCATGTGCGTTGATCTTCGGGCTCCCAACCGCGCGGTCGTGGTCGACTCGTTCCCACTACCGCACATCGACGAGCTCCTGAACTCGCTCAAAGGAGCATCTTGCTTTTCCAAACTCGACCTTGCGTCGGCTTACCATCAAGTGCGACTCTACCCCAAGAGTCGAGACCTCACAGCGTTCATTACGCATGAGGGTTTGTTTCGCTTCAAGCGAGTCTGCTTCGGCCTGGCCTCCGCGCCAGCCGCGTTCCAACAAGTTATGTCAAAGATTCTCAAGGACTGCCCCGGCGTACAGTTCTACCTAGATGACGTGATTGTCTACGGATCGACACCCCAAGAGCATGACGCACACCTGCGTGAAGTTCTCAGACGGATCAAGTCCGCTGGCATGAAGCTGAACCAAAAGGCGGTTTTCCGTGTTCCAACTTTGTCTTTTCTCGGCCATAGTCTATCCGCGGAAGGCGTAGCGCCCCTTCCGTCCAAGATAGATGCCGTTCTAAACTTTCCTACACCGTCCGATCCGACGCAACTCAAGGCATGCCTTGGTCTAGTGGAATATTATAGCAAATTCATTCCACACTGTGCGACAGTAGTCAAACCGATGCGTCGTTTGTTGCGCAAAGGCAACTCTTTTTCTTGGACTCCTGACGTCAAGAGCGCCTTCCAGGAAGTCAAGACTGCTCTCCAGAAAGCACCCATCTTAACGATGTTCGACCCGACGTTACCGGTCATCGTGTCGACCGATGCCTCGAACTACGGCCTTGGAGCAGTTCTGCAACAACAGCACGGGCAGAAGCTCAAGACTGTGGCTTTTGCAGGCCGTTCCTTGACGGACACCGAGCGAAGTTACTCCGTGGGAGAAAAGGAGGCCCTGGCGATCCTGTGGTTGTGCGAGAAGTGGCATACGTACCTATGGGGAAGACAGTTCACCATCCGCACCGATCACCGCGCACTCGTCACCCTCATCGTTCACTTCTCTCAAGAAAAAAACGGACGAGGAAAATTGCCGATACTTTGTTCACGCAAACTTCGTGAAGCAGTGTAGCGTAGCTATGTTTTTAAAATGTCAAATTACTATTCTTTGTCATGTTAAAAAAAATGAGCCCCAAAGAATTATTTGAAGTGGCAGCCCGTGCTAAAGCACCGATACAAGCAACGTTGAACGGTAACAGAACACGCTAAGTTTCCCAATAGGGGTTTAATACTGCATTTTCCGTTCCAATAGCCGTGCTCAATAAAGAATGCTCACAGCAAGCCAAGCTTATATATTGTTGTGAAGTACGCTTATCGGAGAGCTAAAAACAATCCCATAAAACTTCCCTAATATCGACACTCACCCTTGCTGCTCTTTCAACTCATGTGGTTGTAAGGATCTGTCAATATAAATTTCATCCCCTTGCTGCCCTTTCAACTCATGTGGTTGTTTGGATGTGTAAATATAAATTTCATCCACATTTCATTGGCCATCATATCCTGCGAGTTAGGCAGACAAAAAATTGTGTGCACTGTACGAAAACAGAGATCCGCTAAGATGCCCGCACCTAGTGCACATTTAACTTTTCCATCGTTCCCCATTAGAGGCAGGTTTGAGCATGATAGGCTGGCTTTTTGAGGATGCTGAATGCTTTGTGAACATGTAAATCATGCTCACATATTGAAATTACCACATCTCGTGCATGTGTTCTGCACCCCTTATATCAGAAACCGAGAATAAGTAAGAAAAAAAGTATGCTCAATTGGTATGGAGACGCATCGCAGCTTTCCAGTAAGTGTTTACTTTGCCACAGGCTACAGCCAAACAACTTTGACAGCTCAAATGGGTGACCGCCAGGGCGCAGCCTTCCAGCTTTGTTTAACATCCACCCGGAGGGTAGGCTTTGCGAGGGGCTAAAAATTCTGCTTATCCTAGGTGAATCCTCGCAGAGGAAGCCGGTACAAAAGAGGATCTCCCCCCCCCCCCCCCCCACGCCTCGCCCTGCCGTTAGACAAGAGGGAAAGGGAAAAAAAAGATGGCGAGAAGGACTTTCCGCCAGGCGGAAGAATATTTCTGCAGGACCCTCTTTAAAAGGAAACTGACAGGGTATTTATGTTCACTAAGATTTTTATTTGTACATGACATATGACAGCCCAACTACCCAGAACACAATTTGCGGCTCGAAATTCATATTCTTTTCGCCCGAAAACTGGCCGGTTTGAGTCGCGCACACTCTCCTCTTTGTGGTCACGTGCCGTTTTCTATGGTTTAGACACAGACACCAAATATAATCAAAGTTGGGGGTGATTGAAAGCACACACTCAATATTAAAAATAGAAAAGAAATATGATACCCATCTTTTTTGTGGCTTAAAAGCTGCAAATATGTTGATCAAAGAAAAAAAGTTGCACTGCCACATGATTTCCGCCAACTCTCTCCTCCTTTATATTTCTTCTTCCTTCCCAGTCCAGTTTCGGCTCACGCACTCGGCTCCAGAGGAGCGTGTGTTGTCGTCGTCGTCTTGTCTCAGTTCCCATTAAGAACATAAAACCTTTTTTCGCCAGAAAAAACTAAATATCAACGTAAAAGTCTTTTGCCGAATCCTTAGAAAAGTTTGGCGCTACCGAATCCCAACATTTGGCGCCGAACTTTCGATTCGGCAGAAGTTCGGCCCATCGCTACTTGCTATGCCACGAATGCGGGGAATCTTTTTTTTTTTCCGTTTTTGTTAGCACCGGATTTTCAATGACACATCACGCTCTCTGTTCGCTTCTCTTCGAGCGCTTGCTCGAGTGCACCGTTTGGAACGAAAAATATAACCAGTCATTCAAAATACAAACGTGCAATTATCATTTACGCTTATTATTTGTCATGCTTGACTCATTTCCGAATGAAATTTGTATATTTCATATATTGTTTCCGTACCTCTTTAATCACTACTACCCGCGAATTCAGATGCGCAAGCGTGCCGCCAAGAATGCGGGAAAAAGAAGTCTGCCTGCCTGACGACCAGCTGGCCTTCCCTCCAGCGCCTCCTGTGCAGCAGCAGCAGTGCTGTCGTCCGAGCGGCGCCCAGGGTGGTCGTGACTCCCGCCAGGGCGGCCCCGAGCCAGAGCAGCTGCCGGTGCCCCATGGCCCTGGCCGTCCAGGGCAGCCCGAACAGTAGCACCAACAGCCAGAACCAGCACAGTGCCACCTCCAGGGTGCCAAACCTAAGAGAGGAGCAAAAGGTACAAAACATTATACATGCTCGATCATGCCGACAAAGACTAGGGAGCGCAGAATCTGTCCCGCACAAACGACAGACTTCCGTGTGTTGTTTGTGCTAAAATTTTAGAGCACAGCTCTTAAGCACCAGTTTCCGGCTTGAGCAGCGTCGGCGTAACGCGTCGGCGTCACAGGAACCGCACGGCGCATTATGGGAAACGTCCCATAATGCACCGCGGTGACGCACACGTTGCATTATGGGACATTTTCCATAATGCACCGCGCGGGAGGGAGGGAGAAGGAGGGGGAGGAGGAGGTGAGGAGCAGGGGAGAACTAGATGAGGAGGGAGGAGAGGCATACCGTCCCCTCCGTACCCTCCTCAAGAGCTGCACTCTAATTTGGCATTACAGGGAGTTGTAAACGTCTCATGTTTTTATTTTTTTATATATATATATTCTTTTACTTTATTATTTTCTTTGGAAACGTACAGCTCTCACCAGCACAGTTTCAATCACATAAAATAATTTTCTCTTCACAGCAGTTGTGCTACGCAGCTCAGTGGATATAGTGACCGACTTCCACCGCCACCGCAGTGACCCAGGTTTAAACCCCGCTGGGGCGCCTATCTTATGTTGATTTTGCGGATGTTCATGAAGCTTTTTCCTGACGTTCCTTTCTGACGCTCGTTCATGACAGTCATTCATGACAATTTTCTCATGGAAAATGAATCATAACATGCATTCTGCGTTAAACAAATCGCAAACAACCACACAAACAACCGGAAAGAATAAACACAAAGTTCGGGACGCAAACAGACGATACAACTCTTTCAACTCTCAACGACATTTATTTCGTCTCCGTTCAAACGACGGCCATCGAGCAGGTTCTGGGGAGGGAGCAGAGAAGGAAAAAAGGGAGGGGGGGGGTTGAAAAAGGAGGAGGGGAAAAAAAACGGGTTATTCGCGGCCTTCCCTCAAGGTCTCTGGTCTCTTCCGGCCAGTTCGGGACGGAGGAATTTCATCTCCCTGTCGGAAAGGGCCAGAGAGGCCGAGGCGACGTTAGTTACCGAGCTCTTGATGGCGTACGACTCGGCGACTTCCCTGCCAAATCTCTGACGGTGTCCTCCCAATACGCGCGTACCTTCGTATCTGGGCGAACAACCGTCGCACGTCATACGGTGTACAACTATTGGGTGCGTGGAGTCTTCGGGGGGTTCGCTCACCTCCCGAGAGTGTTCCCTCAGGCGGTCATTTAGGCACCTCCCGGTCTGCCCTATATACTCCCCGCCACACGAAAAAGGGACGGCATAGACCACCTCCTTCCTGCACTTAACAAACTGCTGTCCGCGCTTCTTGTTGCAATGTGTTTATTCTTTCCGGTTGTTTATGTATTTACCAACACGTTCGTTTTTAATGTTAACCACACAAAGTGTGCTGCAAATGACAGTGGTAGTTGCTGCATGGTGGAATGGCATGTTGAAGGAGATTTTCCTTCATCCAGTGAGCTGTACAATGTTTGCAATGAGTTCTTTGCTTTCGGTGGAATTGATGTAGATGTGTGCTTTAGTGGAACGATTGCAAGAGATGTTGCATGTGTTGGAGAAAAACACAAGACATTTTTTTTTTGACGGGAAACGTCTTTCGTTTCGGTCAGTTGGGCATTCCTTGCTAAAACCATATGTAACGAAAACATGTAACACTATTACCACTTATATCTTTGCAACCATACTACCCGCCCACTTTACTTTGGTATTGTTTTGTAGAGGAAAGAAGCCGTTACACAATTATGAATGTGTGGCATCTGCACATAGCGCCGTCGTCACGCCACACATGAAGCAATTGGGGCTAAATTTAACCTCGCGCACGATGTTCACAGATGAATAGCTTGGCAGTATGTCATTCAATCCGAGCAGGAGCAGTTGCGTATAAAAGAACCCACCCTGCCATATTAGGTATAATTCATCGAACTCAAACCAGTGCTCATCAGGAGTTATAAGTCTTACAAGTGTGTCATTTGTTGAACGAATTTGACGGTTGTTCAGCTATGGCACCCCCGCGTTCGACGCACTGGGTCCAGAAATGGTGCAAAGAGACTCGGGCAGCAAGACAGAGGGATGTCAATCCTCGCCCAACCCCTTTGACATCGGCGGAATGTGTCCATCTCCATAGGGAGCAAGCACAATTAAACCGCAAGGCCTCCACTAGTTAAGCATATGAGCTTTGTATTCAGTGACGTAATTTTTGCACCCTGATGTCCATACACCCTCTGCAGCATGCGCAAAACATTTCACACACCCCACTGCAGCTGCGTCCTCGGTACAGCCTGTCCAATTTTTATTTTTTCTGAAATGCTCTTTCGGAACAGGGTCACCCTACAGCACCTCCGGTGGAAGTGAAAGCGTGTATGCGAGCTGTCTTGTACAGGCGCAGAGCGCCTCTACAGAACAGCTTCCGTACATACTTTGGGCAGCGGCAGGGGGGAAGAGAGGAAGCGTGTTTGCACGGCGTGACCACGTGGGTATTTTGCAACCGCGGCTGCAAGAGAGGTTGGGGGAGAGCATTTTTCCTGAGATCAAGTGTTCTTTTTTTCTTCGGAACAGGGGCGGTCTACAGGGGGTGGAGTGAGTGATTGCCATGGCTACTGCCGTAAAAAATTCAAATTTGGGGCTTTATGTGCGAAAGTAACAAAGGGCACGTGGCACGCCCCAGTTTAGGACTGAGGAAGAATTTCGACCACTTGGGGATCTTCTGACGTGCAACCGAAAGCTGGGTTGCACGTCCGCAATAAGCCCTCGTCTTATCGTGGGCACGTCGGCCAAGATTGTGACCCCCCACCTGGGGACTCGTAGGCTGGCGCTTTGCCTCGGAGTGACCGAGGCGGCTAAAAGCAAAAAGGGCAGTGCGGAAAAAGAAGTGTTAAAAGAAAGGCAGGACAAGAGGCCCCTTAATGCTACCTGCAATCTCCGACAAAAGAATACACTAATGTCGTGGGATAACCAAATACAGCCATGTCTCGGTATTATACACCCCTCCGTAAGCCCCAAAAATTCCTCATAATAACGTAGACAGAAATGCACGTTCATCCCCAAAAATCAAAGAGACAATCCGTATCAAGGAGACAGGACAGTGTCAAACCTCTTTGCGACGACTGAAAGCACTGCCGAAGGGGCAATCCAAATTAAGTTACTGCACATATCTCGGCCCAACCTCGTGGGTGCATTAGAACATCAACGACATTGCACAAGTAGCGCACTAAGGCAATGTGTTTGCACGTGAAAAGAATGGAAACACTGTCAGGGGCATAGGAACTAATGACTCGACATCAATAGTTAGAGTCAAGCAGATATGCAAAGACATACAAACAAAATAATCCTGAATACAGTAGGATCACCTCACGGTTACCCAAATCAAAGGTTTGTACTAGGGAAAGCCTTACTCCCAAACAAATCGCAGCAACAATACCCGTAAGAATCTACGACGACGTTCCCTCTTCATAAGCCGCGGTCAAAAATTCTTCAGCACCCTTCTCAATGCGACTATACTCCGTTTCACCTTACGACGGGCCACAACGGACATTACGAGCCACGTTGGCCAATCGAATGCTCTATGCGGGCAGTGCTACTTTACGCTCCGGGCTCTGGATCCCTTGCAGCAGCTCATAGAGTGCGTTGCAGTACGTCGTGAGGTGAAACGGAATACAACGAGGCTGCGATGAACTCACCGCCGTGGGCCGGCGAGCAGCACGGAGCCCGCGGCCAGGGTCATGCCCGTCACGCGCAGCACCAAAGGAGAGGGGGGCCGACTCCCGAGCAGGGGGGCCAGGTCCCACCTGCCACCGGGGCCCCCGAGCAAGCTCCAGCTGTCCAGGAGCACCAGAAGCAGCGAGAAGGAGACGAGCAGCCCCAGCACGGAGGAGAGCACCGACAGGAGCAGCCGCACACGCTCCCTGAAACACTGCGGACGAGGAGAGAGTGGTCGACGGGGCTTCCCGCAAAACCAAGGCCTTCGAGACAACAAAACCAGAGTGCCGAATTTTTTGCACCACCTAAAGCGGGCCGACGCGGGGTGGATTGGACACGACTGGCACGTCGGCGCTCGGCTGAAAGTCGGGTTCTCACTGAAAGAAGACAAGTCTCGGTCGAATGCCAACACGGTGCTCGTTTCCGATCCCTGACCGGTCTTGGCCCCCCTTAGGCGATGCAGAAAATTTGGCGCTACGGATCTTTTGTCTGGGATGTGTCAGCAAGATGCTCGTAATTTTTAGAAAGACTGAGCGTGTGGGAAGCGGAGCAGTGTGCTAAAGCTACCGCTCGTGCAACAGGCACAAGGCTGGCGGTGAGGAAACAAGGATGATAAAACGCGCAGGCTCATTATCACATTGGTAGCCTTGCTCCCACTGCACGAGTGGTAACTTTAGCGTTCTACCGTGCCTCGCACGTGCTCCGAGTCTTTCTAAAATTAACCGATTTAGTGGTTTTCTATGATGCTAGGCAAGTTCTTAATAGAAACCGCATGCTTATTTTCACCAATTAAAAAGTCAAATTAACATATTTTAGTTCCTTAGCCCATTATTGTGACGATTGGCCCCCATATTGTCACCCTTGTCGTATAACTCACCTGAACACACCGTATTAGTCTAACTTTTACTGTTTTTTTTTTGACAAATCTGCAAAAGCATAAAAACGCGCAGCCAAAGCACAGCCAGGAGGCAAGGAGGCCCGGCATCGGGAAGAAATGCCCTGCCATCCTCATCCTGCCAATGGCCACAGTACTGGTATCTGAGGTACCGACATATAAAGAACACATATTGGTGTGGTAATTTTTTTATTTACCGACACTGCCTTCACTGGGACGAGGCTCTAGGCCGCCATGTCCTTCATTTCACCCACTCATTTGACTAGTTGTCGAGATGCTTACGACGGTCCTCCGCAACGTCCTTTGCCAGGGAGGCCTGTACCAGGGCTGACCGAAGAGCTGCGGCCGCAGGAGAGAGTCCTGCTCGTTCAGCCGGTGCCGTAGCCGCTGCGTGCAGGCTCCGCACAAGGCGTACACCTCCTCGAGGCGTTTGTGGTATTCCTCCACCTCAGAGTCAAAGCGGTCCTGGAAAACCGCAAGGTCAGAGAATGGGTTTTTGAGAAAACAGCGAGGAAAAGACAATTTTACTTTTAGGGCACGGGTTCTCAAACTTTTTGACCTGTCGGAACGCCCATCTGCCTCGAACGAAAGTCGAGGAGCCCTTCAGTCATCAGATTAATACCATAAAGTAGTTACAAAGTCTACAGACCTTGTAGACAACAATGCACAAACGAGAATGTTTAGCTCGTAGGTCACGCATGCCTCGGTAACTCGGATCGCCTAAAGCGGTGCTTAAACTAGAAAAACATTTCATTAAGGGTGGGGACAGTCAACTAATAATGGGAGCTTGGGGAACCAATCAGGCTGCTCCAAGGAACCCCTGGTTTCCTATAGTTTGTTTCAGCTAAAGTACAGAAGCAGCCGATGCTACGAGCTGATGGAAACAATCAGGCAGCGTCAAAAGCGCACCATTATGGTGTTCGTCGTGTTTTTGCAAGTGTTTTATTATTGCTGAACCAATCATAAACAGAAAAGTTCCTACGACTTGTGTGTTTGACGCTGCTTGATTGGTCCCGTTGCCACACAGAATCGGCTGCATCTGGTCTTAAGCTGAAGCAAAGTATAGCAACCCAGTTTAAGAACCTTTACCTTAGGACACTTCAGTTCTGGGCTGCTCACATTGCCTGCTTTAGTGGACTAAAATAAACCCACACAACAAAGTAAACAAGATAAACCTACACACAAAAATTGCCTTTGGGCCATTAGTCCGCATAAAGATGTTGCAGTTTACATTAATTTCACTAACATTTCGTTAAAAACTTTACTCTCGTGTATACTGTAAACGACTTAATTTTTGCAAGGACCTTATTTTCGCAAACCACCTACAGATCGCGAAAAATAGGTCTTGCGAACAATTCCAGTAAAATGTAAACACATTGGAATTTATATTGAGATCCCACCACGTCGCGAAAATTAGAACCCGCAAATTATTCCAAAACTTCAGCTTTGACCTAAATCCTGAAATATTGAGCCTGCAAAAAATAAGTTGTTTACAGCATATCATGTTGTAAAACAAACTACCCCACATCTGTTCACTGTTCAACTTTATTTTCCTAAAAAAACAAAAAAAACAATGAAGGATAGTTAAAGGAGCAGTGCAACGGTTTTAATGCTGAAAGGATTGCCAGTTTGCATTTTTTATATTGTTCATACAAGCCCAAGTGACCAAAAACGCGTCACCTTTCCCCCAAAAAAAAAACTGCTAATCTGCTGCGCAATCGCAAGGCAAAAAACGAATTATTTGCCGATCTGCAGCCGCCGGTGGCGGCTACGGGAACTAAAATGACGGCGTCTCTGGGGGATACGCGGAAGTCAACAAACCCTGTCCCCCTTTGCTGCTACACTCGCCGTCAGCCCCGTGGTAAACCGTCCTTTGTGTCCATCACTCGCCGCGACCTTCGACGAGGCTAATCCTTTGAAAGTCGACAATAGCGGAGGAAGCGGCTGGGGTCTCTGAAGAGAGGGCCCAAGGGAAAACCACGTGCACCCCCAGAGACGTCACTCGAAAGTCGGCGTGGAGAGTTGAGGCACTTCGACCTTCGATTTGTTTCATTTTTTTCAAACAAGAACTAGCGCTCGCAAGAAAATGCAGCTTTCGGTTTTTCGTTCCATAGGTGACGCAGATTAATTTCCGCAGTTAATTGGCCAAGGTCTGAAAATCGTTGCACTGCCCCTTTAAGCACAATGAGGGGCTTGCAAGAATGTTAGACACTGGAAGAAACAGTCCTCGGCATTTCTTTTTTTAAATTCTTTTTGCTCGCATTCCTTCTACTGAAAAGCACGGTGAAAGAGCCAGAACACTGGACAGACACCTAATCTTAGCACATCACCACACCCTACTGCATGAAAAAGACCACCTGGTCTGGTCACCATGGCAACAAAGCATTGACTAACGACGGCTGAAGCCAGCAAATGCTGACATAGCATGCTCGGGCTCTTTTGCCATGTTTCTCAATCAGCAGAATGCAAACGAAGAGAGTTAGAAATAAGGACTTAATGCTGAGGGCTTGTTTTCTCCAGTGCCTAATATTTGGCAATCCTTGTACGTAACACCACGTTTTCTTTTCGTAATCCTGTGGCCGCTTTGTTGTTGTTTTTTCACCCATATGACAGGGTTTAACAATTTGACTACCAAAAGGCCACCTCCTAGAAATCATTGTTGCCTGGACTCAATCAATATGTCAAATCCTCATGAGATTTTAGGGCAGGTGATAGAGCAAATAACAAAGTCATACTTTTTTTTATTCAAGGTTAGCCCATCTCTTTTTTTTTTAACCAGCTCTGTCTCAAAGAGGGGGGAGCAACCTTTCAGGATTTTACTATTTTCATCATATGTTGCTCACCTCTCTGGTCGGTGTGAAGTCGGCCAGTAGGCGTATTTTTATCAGCTGGTGATAGTTGCAGGTAGAGCAGAGCCCATTTTCCCAATCCGACTTGATTGATCCCAACGAGGACTCAGCCAGGTGGCCGGCGGTCGAAGCGAAGTTCAGGGCTTCGTCATACTGCGCTGGAATCGGCTTGTTGTAATCACCATCCTGGGAGAGTAATAAAAAAAATTTTTGAGGCTCCACAATGAAAGCAACGAAGGGCAACATGTACGCTGACAATCGGAGCTGAGCAGTGTGATACAGTACCTCAGCACAAAGAGCAGACGAACTTGCTCACCATGTAAGCATCGCGACACTGATAATCAGACAAATTGGAAGACTCAGGTCATGCAAAATGCCTCCAATGTTATTTGAACGAGGCATGTTGATTGGCTAGTGGGTGATGAATGAATCATAGCAGTTAGCCTGGATGCTTGTCCTAGCCGGCTGAAAGAAGGCCTGTCCAAACAGGACACTCCAGATATGGTGAGGCGACATGACGCCGACAAAAATCTTAAAAGCTGAAGCGTCTAGCAGCCTGATGTCTGTTTGAACACCACCGAGCCAAAATCGTGATTTTCCTACTCGCTTTTCGGTGAGCTCGGTGGTCGTCAGACTTGGCGTCACACGCCAACTGCCAATGCTCTCCATCTGTTCTGCCAGGCCCTCGTATCATTGGACGTGTTCCAAAATTTACACGATCTTACTCCAGGGTAAAGGTATCGTACCTCTGCGTCTGAAAACCTACCCGCGTCCAGCGTTGCTCTATATATGCTATCAGGTGACACGACCCGCAGGAGTAGCTCGGATCTATTTGAGCAAGATTTTGGACACGGCCCTTCCCTTTTTTGTTTTCAGGGCCTGAAGAGAAGCGGAGGCCGTGAGCGATTGACCGATAGTCAACAGAGCTTGTGAGTGGCTCTCTGGACCCACGCAATGAGCATGCTCAAGGCTCCTGTGGAGGACACGGGACAAATTTGACAAAGGGAACTTTCACCCCAGCTAAAAAAGAAAGCAGACCGCTGTCCGGCTTATGTCGGAGTAGTACGTCCCCTCACGATTCCTGTCTCGACAGGCCTAGAGACAGCTACAAGGAAACACGGCGGAGTGCGGGTTCATCTGCTCCTTGCACAGGGGTCGCAATCAGTTGCAATAATGTTAACTCTCATTGGCGTATTAAAAAAAAAAAAAAGATAATGGGCAATTTTAAGGCATCTAGCATTAAAGGGACACTGACACCCCCCAAAATTTTTTTTTAATTTTTTGCCAGGCGCTTCATTATGGTGTCGGAGGACTACCCAATTAATATTTTGCAACAGAGTAGCGTATTTTTTTAATAAAGCCAAAAGACGCAACTGCTCGAAACCGAAACCGAAACCCGACGGAGGTCGGAGAAGTGGAGAGAAGAGAGTGAGCGGCGGAAGTCACGTGGCTACACCCGACCGTGTGCTTTTTTTTTTTTTCTCCTTCCCGGTAGCAGACGACATGCGGCGTACGGGAACTGTTCGCCGTGGGATTCTTTTGCAGTTATGTATGTTCCGCTCGTCGTTCTGTACTCCAAGATGAGTTGTTTTGTACATTGAGGAGTTGGAGATGAGTAGTGAGTGCCCGTGGTGAATTTTGATCGGCTCCGAAAAGAATACACCCAAGATGTTGCGTGAAGAGCTGGCTCACATGTCCTGCGTCCGAAACAGAAGTGGCATTGTGCGACAGAGTTTCCGAAAGATCAACGGGATCGGGACCAACGGCTGGCTGCAATTCCTGAAGAACATATACGGGCACCTCGGAAAGCGGACGTTACCTGATTTATATGCTCCTTGCATTTTGTGGAAAGTGATTACATTGAGCTCGCAGGTGTCAAAACGGAAATCCCATACCATTTAAATCAGCGAAGTATCGTCCACAACATTAGTTTGTTATTTTTTTGTTTGTTTCTTCAGTGATGATTGTAAAAAGAAAAATATATCTAAACATCGGAAAACGTTTAAAAAAAAAAAAAAAGAAGTTTCACAGGGGATCGAACCCGGTCCTACCGCGTGTGAACCGGATGTCTTTCCCACTGAGCTACTGGGGCATTTTTTTTTCTTTATTGGATTTTTTTTTGCGGTGGATCTCTTTCTTTAGTAATAATTCAGCCGGTAAACTGTAAGTTGGAAAGTTTGCTGTCGATTTTTCTCTAGCAAAAGCACTCCCGGGTCGAAGTCGGGAAGCACCACGCTTTGGGGACATTCGCACCTAGTAAAGAAATCGTACGCGTGCATATTCAACTCGAAGTAGACACGTCGTGCTTGACGAAATTTGCGCGAGCGATGTCTTCAGCCACGAGAAGGGAGCGACGGCTCGGCGACGTCTTCGTGCAAATCGGCTTGGTGGTCGGGTGTGTCGTACAAGATGAATACCAATTCTTTTGATTAGTCCCAAATTTCTCTTTTAAAAGCAGACAAACTTCGCCGGTACCGCGAACGACAGTTCTGAAATAGAGGTCCCACGCCCGTCGTCCGCTGCCATCGCCGTCCCTGCGAGTCCCACGATACGCGAAACGACGCACGCACAGAATGCTTCCGGTTGTCTGTGGAACTTTTTTTTCAATCAACGTATTTGCAGGTTTTTAGAAGCCACAAAAAATGGGTTTCATATTTTTTTCTATTTTTAATACTGAGTGTTTGCCTTCAGTGACCCACGACTTTGATTAAATTTGGTGGTCGCATCGATACCTTAGAAAACGGCCCGTGATCGCGGAAAAGAGAGTGAGCGAGACTCGAACCGGCCAGTCCTTGATCGGCGGTTTTCGGGCGGAAAGAAACCGAATTTCGAGCCGCAAATTCTGTTCTGGGTAGTTGAGCTCTCATATGTCACGTACAACTAAAAACCTCGGCGAGCATAAATACCCTGTCAGTGTCCCTTTAAGGTCTTCTATGCACTATCCTTTCAATTAAAACCAATCAGAGCTCGGCGTCGCTCTGACGTCATCGCAACCCCTGTGCAAGAAGCAGACGACATGCTCTCTCATAATTATGATGATGTTTACATGTCCATCATAATGATGGACGATGTTTACCTGTCCAGAACTTCGGCATTACCTCCCTTCATCATTGAACACACGTTGTTTCCCTTTTTCCCCAAACAAAAAAAAAGGTTTCCGTCGCCTCGTTACCTCCTTGAATCCATTGTACTGCTCGCAGGAAGGACAGTCCCAGCAGTTGATGTTGCCGTACGGGACGACAGTCGTGTTCCCGCAGAACCAACAGTTAACCTTCACCGAAAATAGCGGCCTGCAAAGTTAAAAAAAGAAAAAAAAAAAGTCATCGTAAACAACAAGACTCTCACAATAACACACGCGCGTTCGAGCAGTCTCTGTGCCAATTTCACAACCCGGCTTTCAAAACAGGGGGGAAAACAACAAAAAATTCTACCCTCCTTCCACACTGGACTCAAAAACCAACAGCACTGGCGGAGTAATACCAAAAGCCACAGCGAAGTGACTGAATAAATATAGTCGTTGAATGCCCGTGTGGAATCTCTTGAAAGGTTATTAACCGCTTATTTACATGTCAGGCAAAAAATTACAAAAAAGGTAGAGCCAAGCCATAACACGTGGTGATCGTGCGGACACGGACTTACCGAATCTTTCGGTACAAAGTCAGAACGGCTGGCACACCGAGGATCAGGCATATCAGCACCGGTAAAATCATGAAAACCGAACCGATAATTGTCTGAGGTGCCTTCTCCAAGCTCTCAGGTGTCCCACCGAACTCCAGAAAGTACACACGTGAAAAACGTTCCGCACTCCCGCCCTCCCGCCGCTGCCGCCGCTCTCCGACACCGGCAAGCCAGGCCAGTGGCCTCCGTCCGGCAAAAATTCCCTTTGATGATGATGATGATGGTGGTGGTTGGCGGGCAACTTGGCGGGATAGCGAAAAGCGCGGAAAGCCTTAAAATACATTCAAATATAATCAAAAGATGGCGCCACCATTTCATTCAAATTATCGCGCGGTAGTTTAAAAAGGTCAAATTAAAGCGCACGCCAAAAACAGCGCCCTAAAGGGAGATTTTTTTAATGTTTCGTGCATATTTGTCCGAAACGTGACGAAAAAAGTTCCCTAAACAACTAAACCAACCTTTGATCGCTTTTTATGATATTTTGTTTTTTGCAAGTAAACTGTTGTGCGCTCCTGAAATTTGACATAAACTCAAACTGAAAAAAAAAGAAAGAAAAAGGATTATAAAAAAAGGAAGTCGTTTACAATCCCCTGTAACGCCGAATTAGAGCGCAGCTCTTGAGGAGGATAAGGGGAAGGAACGGAGAGGAGGGTATGCCACTTCTCCTCATCCATAGCCTCCTCTCCTGCTCCTCTCCCATTTAGCGGGAAAGTTCTGCTAAATTTCCCGCTAAATTTAGCGAGAATGTTTTTCCGGTACATTACTTTTTCCTCAGGTAAGTTCGCTCTTCGCTAATTTTTCAAAAAAAAAAAAAAAAAAAGCACCATCTCTGGGCAAACCGAATTTTCCGGTCGATTTAAAGAGCTTGGCGTGTTTCACCCTGTAGAAACCTTCTCTTCACTGAGTACCTTTTGTTCTCCGATTACAATCTCCGGTTTCAACAACCCGGTTTAACTTACACCAGCTCGCCTGCGCTTTAACTATCTACGTATATAAATGTCATCAGTTTGAAGTGCGGAGATCCCGAAGCGCGCGCGCGCTAGTACGCAGCAGACGACAAAGGGCGCGGACGAGCGGCTTGCATGCTTTCGCATTCATAACTCATCAGAAATGCTTAGGTGTATCTCGAGCTTTTTTCTTTCCTACGCGCATACAGATGTACACACTCAAAATTAACTCTACAGGAATCCTTATGGGAAGAGGGGAGGGGGCTTCAGCTCCACTTCCCCCCCTTCCAGATATTTCCGACTGTTAAAGAAAACAATACGGGGAAAGAGGGCGTGGTCGAGCTTAGATCAGTGGTCGCTCTTCACTGCATAAAAGATCGCGTAGATGGTCATTGTTAGAAACTCGTTGTCAGAAGGCACCACTACTCGTCACATGCTTAGTGGTTCGGAAGTTCAAAGCTATGACTTTACGACCTAAATAACTGTGCCAATGGTAAAAAAAAGAAAAAGAAAATAATAATAATAATAACAAAATGAAAAAAAAAAAAAAAAAAAAAACATATTAATAAGGCGGGGATAAAAAGTTGGAGAAAAAAAAATATCAAGAATTCGCCGGAATGTTGTATTCTTGCTATTCTTGCATATTCAGAGGTTCAGAACTTCGAAACACGTTTCTCCTACCAAGATGTGTACAGGCTAAAAGAAACACGTCCCAAAAACGCGAAGCGAAAAAAAAAAAAAAAGTTTTCTTTTAATGACGTGCTGAACTTGAACAATATTAGAAATCTTCTCTTCTAAGTTAATTTATTCCTTAACGTGAAAAAACATTAAATACATCATTTTGTATTCTGCAGATGACAATGTAATGTACTGTCTGTGGTGTTAATTTCAATGCGATACCTCAAACAACTTAGACGAAAATAAATACCAAGTTTTTGGCATAATTGCATGTAGATACATGTTTGGACATTTCTCTTAAGACGACACTTACCTAGGCTATGCATAGATCATTCTTAAAAAAGTATAACATCTCGACTACAGCGCGCTTCAAATCTGGCACGAACGATAATCGTCAGAAACCCGTCGTCCTTCCTCGCCCCTTCGGGAATTTATTTCTTTAAAACTAAGCTTGCCAGATGATCGAAATAAACGGCATTGTATTTCGCAAGGAATGCGGCACCCCATGTGAAATTGCGAAAAAAACATTACGAATGTACCTCACTGCTTGAATCCAAATGAAACCGCCCGCCGGTCTTTCGAAGTTCGACGAACGTCGAACTTTTACCCTAAAAGGTCGAAGTTCGTCGAACCTCTGACTTTTCAAGATTCGAAAGTTCGAACTTTTCGAATTCTCTTGATAAATAAGGTCGAAAGTTCGAAAATTATCGAATTCCTTAGCATAGGAAATTTGAAAGTTCGAAAAGCTTCGACCTTTTTGGTGCAAGAAATTCGAAAGGTCGAAAATCATCAAATTTTTTGGTCAGTCAAGTTCGGAAGTTCGACAAGCATCGATTTTTGCAGCGTGATAAGGTCGAAAGTTCGAAAAGGATTGAATTTTTTTAGCGTAATAAGTTCGATCATCGAAACTTCGGTTCGAAAAAAAGTTCGCGGCATCCCTAATCATGGTTCCTCCTGGACGAACTCTCGACTCTCGACGCCAGCTGAGCCGCTGACGTTGGCTGACGTTATTCACCCACACTCCCACACGCTTTTTATGCGCGACCTGCCGCGGCACCCTATCCTCTCCACAACGCCGCAACGACCTCGGGTCCTCGGTCTGTGGACGACGCGTTCGTCGTAGTGTTTATCGGCGCTGTGTGCATATATCTTTTTTGGCAGCTCTTCATCGTCTTTGCCGCTGGAGGAGTCGTGCCGTCTCTGTTGTCATCCTCGACGTCGCGCTGCGCTTTCTTGCAATGGTTTTGAAGTCGAAAGCTACGTCTCTCTGCTGCCGACTAGTCCGCGCCCAGCTAGCGCCGAAAAGCCAGCTGAAGGCACCCGCCCGGCGAAGCTACTACTCGTACTGCAATGAGCCCTTCCAGCCCCTGAACCGTGAACCACCGTGGATGAAAGCCGAAGAAGCTGTCAGTGCCATAAAGTCCGGTAAGGGTCAATCCCCGCGTACAACGGATCGCTTTCTTCTCGTGGACATCTTAAAATTGTTTTTAAAATGTCTACGATCGAGAAAACGGGATTTTACGATTAGGAGACAACTCTCTGATCAGCTCGATAAGTTAACCGTTAACAATTACGTCAATTTCAATTCAGTGCCTCGTTAAATGAATATCAACGAGAAGAATCATCGAGCATATCGACTCGCCCTACTACGCCGCAAAAACAAGACATTTGTCAAGGGCGTCTTCACTCTTCTACGACTTCGTGTAGGATTATCTGCTCCGCGTTTCACCCGCTTCCTGTATGCTGATTGTGCTGTTCTCGAACGCGTTCGGTTCCGGAAACGATTACGATATGTTATCTTTCGAGATTTCTGCCTCCGTGTGGTCACTGTTATCGCAGAGAGTGCACCGCACCCCAGTCACCCCAGTACTAAACACGGATCGTTTAAAAAAAGAACGCGGATGGATCATCCTTTGTGCAACGACGCGGGAGATCGTTCCAAGTGCGGCTAAGACCAAAACACGGAAGGAAAAATAAACCCGCTCGAAAGAAACTGAGAGAACAACAGAACAAAAGAAAAGCGGTTTCTTCAATGTCATTCGTGTTCGAGGCTTCTGATTCGATGCGCGGTGTCGTCTGCTCGGGTGAAAAATAAAAATTCATTTCGTCCGCTCTGCACCCCACCGCTGTTCTAGCAAAGGTTTTATTATCTATTGTGTGTTTATTTTAGCTTTATTTTTTCGTAAAGGGAGAGTAAGAACGCCTGTTACCCTGCTTGCCTAGTTCCCGCATATGCAAAAGATTGCTTCCAGCGCCATGGCCACGGGAGTCACCGCTTCGCTGGCGCGGGTCGCAAATATCCAAAATAGATCCAGCATTTTTTCTTTCGAACCGTGCACTTTACCTCTCCCTGCGCGTGAAGCAGGTATATTTATGCTGCACACTGCGACGTCACTCGTGACGTGCAGTCTCGGAAGTAGGGTTTCGTTTCGTCCTGCGAGGTTCAAATGATTTGTTTGCTTGACTTCTCCGAGTAGATTCAGAATGCTCAATTGATTTATTGCATTCCTAATGGCAAAACGCAGTAGTCTCCTTGCGCACACGGTCAAGGCAAGATATGGCATTATAGTGCAATCTTCGATTCGATGTGTGCATCATTTGTGGGAAATGAATTCGATCTGTAATGCTTTATGCGTTGGTCAATATTTCTCCTAATAAGCATTTATTGAAACGGGCCGACATAACCCGACCAGCAGTTTAGAGGATGGAATTGTGTTGGTCGATAACTTCAGATCATGCAGTAGAGAATAGCAGTTTTCAGCGGTGCTTCATAATTTCATTCCTCTTTTCAGCGGTGCTAATTATAATTTCATTCCTTTTTAACTTCTCATAATCTTTTATCTCGACAGCCTAGTTTAAATCAATTAAAAGTGTGGAGCTCTGTTCTTAATCCATGGCAGATTAGCTGGAACCTTGAGCTTGGAATTTGCATCCAGCGATTATCACTTGCATGGAAATTAATTTGGCCAGTGACATTTAAGCGACTCCACAAATGATGACATGCTCCCACATTTCTGCTGTGCTTGACTTTTCCATCGCAGCAATGTTTTTTCGCACCTTGGTCAGCCCTTATCCTTGAGGTGTTTATGTCAGAGAAAGACGAAAAGACAGGCTACGGTACAACGAGATTGACATCAAGCACTCCTCTGGCACGCTTGCTCTGCCGTGTTAACTTATCGTGGAGTCCTCTGTTCATTCTTGTTTTGTTCTTTTGCAAGTGCAGTGAACTTGAGACAAGTGCTGTAGAGGACGAAGAAAATAAAATGGAAGGGAAGGGGCACCGGATGGTCTTTCTACCGTAGAAGTGCTGGGATTTTTAATTTCCATCCAGTCTGCTCTTGTTTTTTGATTCCTGGCTCAGGGCCAGCCTATATCAAAAGCGGACAGAGTGCTTGGATATCTGTTTTCCTTTTTCGTGCCAAGAATCTTGCGCAATATCAGCCTCTGTCTTGACCTGCACATAGGCTAATTATAGCGCGTATTCACTGGATGCCATGTTTAAGTGTGGTGTTTAGAGCGCATGCTCCAAACGTGCTCACATAAATGGGCTGCTAAGACTGGCAATCTTGATGGTATGCACATTGCAGAAGAACTGTGGAGGCTCGCAGTCAGTAGTTGAGCACACAGCTGCAAATACTCCCCATAGAATGGCAAGCGCATCCTTGCCGCTTCTGTTCATATGCCCCTCCTTAGTTTTTTTTGTTTTCTTTTAATTTCACATTTGGGTAGGGTTTCACAATGTATCTGTAAGCCTGGATCAATCAGGTGTTCACCGCTGGTAGCAACACTATTTTCTTCTCACTTTCAATGAAAACTTTGCACTTTATGATGGGGACGTATGCAAGCATACTCAACTCCTTGGGGCATTGAGAGGGCTGGGAAGGAATTCTAAAAATTTCAGTATGGATGGCAACATCCCAACGAGTGTTAGGGTAATGGACATGTTGCTGTACTTTAATAGATACTGTAAAAAAAAAAAAAAAAAAGGTGTATTTTTGGGCTTTATATTCCACAGATTTGTCAAAACACTGCCTTTCCGAATAACTGCAACAGTACTTAAAAAACAAGCAAGCTGGTGGTGATTCATTGTAATAAAAGCCCAAGACTCAGGAACACAGTAAAAAAAATTTAAGTAAACTGTTAAAAAAAAGAATTATTACATTTTTTATTAATACTGTCAGCCCTATTGGGCCACATCAGGAGTGGGGGATTCAGATACAATTGGGAAATTTTTAACCGTAATAAAACAACAAAATTTGTGTGTGCATCCTCCTTTTTCTACAATATATTCATCTGCATTCAGCAATAATTTTTTTTTTTTTTTTCAGTATTTGACAGAGCACAGTTGATGTTACAATATTACATGCATTTATACCCATTGGTGCCCTCGTGTGGGCTATATGTTTTCATATGATAAATGTTTTGCGATTACTTGTATGCATTTAAATTTGTAAAATTTTAATCGCTGGCAGAAATATGAGTCGTTTACCGGAGCCCGTTGCAGCTGTCTGCAGGCGATTCAATCTGTAAATGGAGCAAGGCCAGAGGTTGGGGCCGCGCAGCCGTCATTGCACAGGCTAGGCTTGCAGCTGCTTATGTACAGGCCTCATTGCTTGTGCACCAATGCGATGCCTACGTCGCGCCTGTTAGACTGATGCTTGTAAGCCGCCGTCTGGCATAGCCTCTGAATCATTTCGTTGCATTATGTATAGACACCAGGGAATAGGAGACATGTTTGATGTTGAAGTGGTTCCGATAAATTCAGTCTCTATTATTTCAAAACTTTTTGACCTCTCATTGCATTTTTTTGTTCTATAAATGCTAGGCATTGAAATTTCTTTATAACACATAAAAAAGGAAAGATTTCAATTGTAGGCCTTTTTCCTCTATATCAAGTCAATGTAGTATTTATGTTTATTAATGTGAAATATTCCTTGGCTCGTCAGGTAGGGTGGGGGGGGAGTCGCCAGATTTAGTGAATCCCAAAGGATCTACCGTGAAGCTTGATGCTGATTGGCTGGTGGGAAGGTCACATGATCAATGCTGATTGGGTGATTTCGATGGGTATAAAATGTTCTGGAAAACCGCCAGGCTTTAAAACCCTACTGGCGCGAGTTTCTTCGTTTCTTCGTTCCAAGAACTGCTATCAAGTTTATATGCCCCGTGTTTAAGTTATCTGATGAAGAGCGCCGTGAGCGAAGGGGCCAAGCTCGGTAACGTTCCAGAGCATTACCGGAATATTTCCCGTGTAAGACGATTGCCCAGCAGTTTGCTGCACATTTTTATGGATGTTTTAAATTGAGTTTTGACGCAGTGAAGTCTGTCTTGGACACTTAACTGTGTCAGCAGGTGTGGAATTTCACCATTAAGGAGTATCTTTCATCAACTAAAATTGAAAACCACTTTAGCGTCTCTTTAGCATGACACAGGCTGCCTGACAGCAGAGCGAACATGCCTTTTCCAGGGAATTCAGCTTCGTAAGTAGAGTGACACAGTTAGTGAGAACATGCCATCTTCTCAGTTTTGTTATAAAGAAAACTAGTGCCGTGATGGAACACGGGTTTGCACTATATAGGATGCAAATAAATTCTAGCGTTCAACATTTACCCAAATCTTTGCAATTCGTACGAGTCGTATTCTAGAAAGTGTGGCTGTCGTGTCTGTGCTAACTGTATTTTGTTCGGTACATGGTTTGTCAACTTGAGATGAAGTGATGGAGGAGCGACTGCCTCGTCCGTCACTCCACGTCAGGTTTACTACGCCTGGCTGCTTGCACAAGCCCCTGCTTCCGGAGTTTGGGAACTTCACTTATGTTATGTATAATATTGCCAAGATAGCCAAATTCTCATTCCACAAAGTGCTAGGAGCATTCCACAAGGAAAACATGGACATTTGCACATACTGGCCCCCAACAGATGTTGGAACTGAAAACATAAAAGCATAGCACATCACCATCATTTATTTTCTTGAGGACCCTCAAGAGGTATTACACAAGGGAGTTGGCATATATATACAGGGTGTTTGATTTTAATCCAGATTTTTTTTAGGAAAAGGAGAGGAAGTTTGGACAAGTGCCGTCTTCACCTTGTATTTATCAGGCTCGGTAAACATTAGATAAGCGAATAATCGTGACGGTAGGTTGACTAATTAAATAAAATATGTTGACTAACTTTATAATTATTGGTTTTACGGGTCATATTGCAAGCGCAATATTTACGACAATCACTATTAAAGGCCAGACCACATTGAATAACTTGTGAAAAGGTAATACTTTTTTTTATAGTAATCAATCGATTCCCGAGTTCTTTGCCCCAATTTAGAAATTGCATGAAAAAAGAGTACTGCAAGCTCTGCCCACAATTATGCTTAGAAGAGTGACATAGTCGTGTATGTCACGTCGTTATTTGTGTTGTTGGTGAATCCAA